ATATTCTAGTCTGGATATATTTATTATTATAAAACTTATATAATAAAGTAATTTTATTTTTTAATAAAATATTTAATCTCCTAAGCTTACTAATCTTATTAGTTTAGAAGATTATCTTTTTCAGTCTCTAGAATATTGAAAATCTTTAAAAAGATTTTAAAAGTCTACTTTAAGTCTCTCTTATATTAGTTATTAAATTTAGTCTAATTAAATCTACCAGTCTGGTTTATCAGGTAATATTATAGAAAGTTATTAGTTATTTTTAAAACTAAGAGTCTAGCTACTTTCTCTAGCTATTTTATTTATTTGTTTAGTTAGTTGTTGGGTTTTTTAGCCGTTAAATATTATTAAAAATATAAGATAAAGATTACTGATAGCTTAGCAGAAGCTAGTTATATATAATAATAAAAAAGAATAAAGAATAATATTTAAAGTTATAAAATAGCTATTTAATATAGTAGAATAAGGTTATATTAGTACTAACTACTCTAGAACTTTAAATATAAGAAGGAAAAAAGGAAAACAAAAAATATTATAAATACTTGCTTAAAGAAAATAATATTAAAATAAATAAAATAAATATAGTCACATGATTTTAAATGAGGCTGCCGTCACAAAGTTCCTGGGCTTAATTATAAGCTATAATAGATTTTATATAAATCTAAAAAAAATTAAAATTATTATTAAATAATTTACTTTAATTTATATAATAGATATATAAGATTTTCTAAGATTTAATAATTTTTATTACTTTTTATTTATAATTTCTTAAAATTTATTATTCTTTTTATATAACTTATAAAAAAAATATCTTCTTTATCTAGATTTCTGTGTACTAAGATACTTTGAATTATTTAAAAAAAATTTTTATAGAAATTCTAATATTTTAATTATTTGATTAGACCTGAGAGATAATATTAGAAATTAATATTTTAGATTATATTTCTACTGGAATTTTGTTTTAGTATAATAAAAATAAATTATTATATTTTATAATCTTTTTCTTTAAAAAGCACTTCCTGACTAAATATAATTATAAAATCTATAATAAAAAGTTACTTATAATTATTTATTGTTTTAAAAAATAATATCTTAAATTTAAAAAATTTTTATTTCTGATTTAGATTATTACTAATTACTATAATCTAGAATATTTTATATTAATTAAATTTTTAAACCATTATTAAGCCTGATGGTTAGAATTCTTATCTTATTTTAATTTTGAAATTATATATTAATCTAAGTATTATAGAACTAAGTTTAATAGCCTGATTAGAAGATTAGAAAATCTTTTAAAAAAAGAAAATAAATAATTATTATACTAGAGCTAGACTATATTAAAATAAAAAAATCTAGATTCTGCTTGTTTATCTATCCAGACTAAAAAGAATCTTAAATCTAAAATTATTAAAAAAAAATTTTAAATTTATTAAATATAGAATACTCCTAGATCTTAAATAATTATTTATATAAAAAAAATCTAGGGAAGATTTTTCCAGGAATACTTTAATTTTAATAATCTAATTTTAAAATAGTATTACTTTTAAAAATAAATAAAACTTACTATTATTATTAGAAATGTAAAATATCTTATAAAATATATATAAAAAAAATAAATAAATATAAAATATACTAAAGATATTAATAATTAATAAAGATTATTATTTAGATATCTCTCTAGCCTTTTATAAGAGAAGAAGAGATTTATTATTCTATAAAAATTATTTTTAGATCTTTGATCATGATAAATTAAAAATTAATTTAATTTAATTAGTATATAATAAACTATTTTTAAAATATTTTAAAAAATTTTATATATATAAAATTTTAGTTTAAGAATATTACTGGCCCAACCTCTACTATTATATAAAATAATAAATAAAAAATTATTATATTTATTATTATATTATTTTATTTTAAAAAATTAAATAAAATATTTTAAAATTTTTACTAGTCCCTAAGCATGCCTAATAGGATGTATTTATAAATTTTATTATATATTTATTTAAAAATTAGAAATATAATACTATACTAATAATTATTAATAAATTTATTAAAATAAAATATTTAATATTCTATAACTCCACTATTAATATTATTAAAATAGTTATAATATATATATAATATATATAAAAGTTATATAATCTTTTCTATTCTATAATCTTTAATTAAGGCTCCTAGTTTATGGCTAAATTCTAGAAATATTTAATCTAATATTTAAATATTATTAATTAATTATTAACTATCTATTATCCCGAGACCAATAGCTAGATAGAATAAGTAAATATTATATTAGAATAATATTTTTATATTTATATAAATTATTTATAAAATAACTAGAATATTTAATTTTTTTTAATTAAATTTACTTTAAATATTATATATTCTAATATTATTAAGATTATACTATTTTTCGCTAACTATAGATTCTATTTATAAATAAGATTTGAACCCGTATCTGTCCCTAATTAATCTATTATTAAAAATATAGAGTAATTTACTATAAAAATATATACTATTATAAAATTTATAAAAACTAAGATAACTATAGTCTAAATTAAATATATAAAATAAGTTAATAAAAAATACTACTCCAGCTAGAGATTTTAAAAAGATTAGAAAATTTAACTAGATAATTTATTAAGATCTTATAATCTAGTAAGAAACTTGACTAAAATATTCTAAATCTATATTTAATTAAAAAAATTATTAATTTTTATATGTACTGTCTGAAACTTTTATTAAATATAAAAATTTATTTAATATTTAATATAAGTTTATTTATTTTTATTAATAATAATTTATTATTAAATTAATATTAACTTCCTTCTCCTTATATCAAGATTAACGGATTTGAAGAATAAAAGATTAAAAATATATTAAATTTTTTTTTAAAATTACTAGAGACGAGACTATCCTTAATTATTATATTTTATTAAATAAGTAGAATATACTAATTCTATTATTAAATTTATAGAATATTTAGAGAATACTTACTAGATTAATAAGAATTTTTATTATTATTATTTATATAAATCTTAATCTTCATCTCACAGGAGCTCAGCTTAAAGAGAAAAAGAATATTATTATAATATAATTTTTTAAATTAAAAAAAGAAAAATATTACTAAGTCTTACTATCTAATATGTGATTTTAGATATAGTTAAAAATCATTTATTTTCTAAACCCTATTCATAGCCTCGAGCTATATCTTATCTATTAATTTATGTATAGCTTGACTAGTAGCCAGCTCAGCACCCAGTTAGAATCCTAGTTATTATTATTATCTGAATCCTGCCTGCCTGCCAGAACCTGCTATCCTACTACCCCTGCCTGCCCGCACCTTGACATAATTTTAATATTTATAAAATCTTGATAAAATCAAAATTATTTAAATATAAATAAATATATAACTTATTATGTAAATCCTTAATATTAAATAGTTTATTAATTTATTAAAAGATCTTTATAAGATTATATGTGTTTTCTAATATTTTAATAAATATTTAATTATATTAATAAATAAATTAATATATTAATAATTAAAATATTTATAAAATTATATTTTTTATTACCCTTGTAGTAATACTAGTAAAAAATTAATAATTTATTATTAAAAATATACTAAATAATAAATAGAATATTAGTAATAATAATATATTTTTTAAATTTAATTAAAAATAATATATATAAAAAATTATATAAATTTAATAACAATATTATAAGTAATATAATACTTAATAATTTAATAGATATAAGATATTATAATCACTTTCTTAACTAAATAATAATAAAAAAATTTAAAAATATAATATAATTATTAATAACTAAAAAGATTACAGAATTAAATAAAAGAAGCTATTATAAAGAATAAAAAAAGTATAAAAAAAAGAAATAATAATACTAGTATTAATATTATAATAAATTATTATTATATAAAAAGTAAAGCTATTCACTAATTTTAATTATAATAATAAATATAAATATAAATATATTATAGTATCCTCCGCTTTTCTTACTCTATAAGAATATATTAATAATTATTTTATAATTTATTTTTTTATTTTTTATTATATTTTTATTATAAAACTATTTATATACAGCTTCTTAAGTTAGAAGGCTTAATTCAGTAGAAAAAAAGATAATTATAATAAAATAACTTAAATTAAGATTTTATCTTATTAATACTAATCTAACTAATGTTTTAGCCCTATAATAGTCTAGCTAGTGGAATTAAAGTCCTTAAGATAATATACTAAAATAATTATAAAAATTATAAAATTATTAGTAGTAATTCTAACTTTTTTTTCTTTTATAAAATAATATTTCTTAGTATTAGACTACTAATCCTTTAAAGATTAGTCTATCTTATAAATATAGGCTATCTTTATTATTATTAGTATAATCTTACACATTTAGTAGCCAGTTCCTTACCTAGTCAACAGGCTTTCTACCCTGACAAGTAGATCCTATCACATAATTAAATTATATATAAATTACTAAATAAGATATAGCTGAAGGTTGCGAATGGAATGTAAAAAATAAGTAATTTTCAATTATATACAAAGATTATATACTAGGTAGTCAGATTCAGCAGTATCCCTCTTTTCCTGACTTGGGAGGTTGCACTATGACAAAATAGATCCTATCATAAGTGTGCATTACTTATAAACCCCATTCACGGGAGAGGTGAGTCATGTAAGGGGACCAAGCCTCACAAATAACCTTACTATAGAGAACCTAATCTATTAGTCAATACCTGCTCTATCCTGCCTGCATGCCCGTGAAAACTGTAGTGACTCTATTCATCTCATAACGTGTATATCTATATGTTAGCTTATAATTCATCATAGCATATAACTAAATAATAGGGTCTCAAATGATAGCAGGATGGCAAGTCAAAACTAACATATTAAATTGCACGTGAAAACTATTGCCAGATTCACTTTTAGGTGCGTGTCTGGCTCAGTAATCAGTATCATCACCCCACTGACAACTTACCGCCCCAACTAGGTTCATCAGCCATGCCACCAAGTGAGCAGCAGAGCGATGCGAGTATCGCACAAGTAAGTTAGTTCCATCCCTGAAGGCTGTTCATTCCTGTCATTGATTCAGGTGTTTACAACCATGAGATGAGCATATAATGGGTCACATTGCATGCTAACTACTCATACGCAGGCCTTCAAGGACATCTCAAGGTATGTGCGCGACACGAGTCGTCATCCCTACGAAGCTATGCCTAATTACTGGAAACTAGTGGCGAAAGGACAGCGCTAGCGCTGGAGAATCATCTGAACGCCTTGGAAAATAAAATAGAAGATTTACTCAACGCATTTGAGACACAGTTAAAGAAACATGATCAAGGAGAGGAGGCAAGGGCGCCCGAAGTCAGTGGTGAAGGGTCGCGGAATAAGTGTCCCAAATGAAATTGTCCATCGGCATCTTTTTCCACCACTCCCCTCTCTGTGATGATACCATCAATAAGCACAGATGGAGTGACATCAAACGCTGGGTTCCAAACATTTATTCCGTCAGCAGCTATGCGCACTGTTTCCAATTCAATTTGGGTTGAATCCTGATTTTCACGTGGCCCTTTAATCTTTGTAACCTCAGAGGCGGGGCGTTCCTCAATTATGATCTCGTTTCCAGATGGGGTGGCCAAATCAATCGTAGTAAGGGGTGCAGCGACGAGAAATTTCACACCGTGATACTTTGCGAGGACAGCAAGACCATAGGTACCTATTTTGTTTGCAGTGTCCCCATTGGCCGCCACCCTATCCGCACCTACTATGATGGCATTTACTTGGGCACCTGGCCTGGCAAGTAGAGCAGCGGCCATGGAGTCTGTTATCAGGGTAGCAGGGAGACCATCGTGGACTAACTCGAATGCCGTCAGTCGGGATCCTTGATTATATGGCCGCGTTTCGGTGCAGTATGCGTGGTGTAGGTCGCCTGTTGATGCAAGTGCGCGAATTACCCCGAGAGCTGTCCCGTAGCCCGATGTTGCGAGAGAGCTGACTGTGGGTTAAAACCATATTATCTGTAGTTGACTTTGTTGTACTTACCCCGTATTGCAATGGGTGAGAACGGTGGCCTTCGAATCCCCGACGGCATTTGCCATAATCCATCGGGCACCATACATTCCAATGTTTTTATTGTCCTCAACATCCTTCACCAGCATATCCTCTGCTGCCTGTATCAAGGCAGCAGCAACAGTGCGCCCGGTCGATTGGGGCCTTTGGGTGCGATCACTAACAATGGCCCTGAGTTTTCGAGCAGCGTCACCAAGGTTTACTGCTGTAGGTCTGCTGCTCACAAGATAATCGAGCTTTCCCATGATTAAGGTCTGCACCTCTTCTGCTTCATGGGGAATCTCGTTGCGTGCTATGAGTTTGTGGAGCTCGGACGCAAGAGCGAGGGCAGCTACAATGGCAATGGCAGGAGCTCCTCTTACTCGCATGTCTTTTATCGCATGCCAGGCTTCTTCAGTTGTTTGTATTGTTATAAAGCGTTCCACATATGGCAACTGTAGCTGGTCGATGATGGACAGATTGCCATCACTGTATTTGATTGCCTGCAAAGTCATGATTCGGGTCCGATTCAAGAGAGGCCGGTAATAAATTTCTTGGAATAATTGCTGTGACAGTCAATTTAAGGAAGAGAACAAAGATAAAAATAAGAAGAGAGGATAGCTACCCAGACGGAACAATGCGAAGTTGACAAACTTAATCCCAGGGCTTAGCTTGGTGGTCTGTAATGGATTAAGAAGCCTTCCATATGAGTTGGGACTAGGATCACACTTTTAACGGTTAGGTGGGGCAATGGCAGATGTGTAGACTGGATAGGCACTCTGCTGTATCATTTCCATATACTGAGTACATATAAAGGGACCAACAGCTGGACATATCTCCGCCTAAAATGTCCGGCCTGCATTCAATTATTCGTATATTGAATTAAGATGACTGTTATCATATTCTGTGCTGGGTTTACAAAATGACGTATTTGACCCATTAGGTGTTCGCCATACTGACTGTCGAAGTTTACTGGCGCCTGCCTCACCTTTCTAAGATCAAACAACGAAGGAATTGGGTCACTTCATCGGTTACTCCAAACTAGGCGCCATCCAACCTTCCTCATCTTGAACTCATATCATATAACATAAGAATATGCAAACGCTCGAGGGAATTCTGCTCTTTCCAGTTTCACTGAGACCAAGGAAAGGAAGGCCCAATCAGCCTTGAAATTCAGTTCATAGTATAATGCTGCTGGAACTCGAAGGGATATCAATATGCGGAGATATACAGCACTATAATTCAAATTAATAATCTTAGAAGCGCCAATCTGAAGAGCTGATATGACAGACCATTATTTCCTCGAATGAAAGCATCCCCATAGCTGCGCGTCAATTGTCCATTAACGAACTCCTCGGATTTCTCCAGAGCAATATTCATATAGCCGTCTACCGATTGAAGTTCTCCTGAACAGCTCGTTAGCGCTATATGTTTTCTCCCATAGATGTATCGATCGCCTTTCTTCCATTTCCTATTCAGACGAAGGAAATATGCAACACAATTTGGTGAAGGAGCTAAGGTAACGGCTGAAGGTAAAGATATAATTACCTTTATAGACAACTCCAGAGTTCAATTTGACAGTGACTGGGGCGCCGATGATCTCGCCCAAGAATGTTGAGGGATCCTTGCCATCAGAAGATGCACCGTTCTCCATTTTTTGTTGCCTTTCCCTCGACCTATCTTTAATTTGTGATCCGAAGGACTGGGAGTACTCAGGAGGGGCCGGGTAGCTTTTCCTTCCGGGGAAGTTCACTGATTGCCGAAAAGAGATCGGGGGCATCAACTTTAGCCCAAAGGGGACTAGGCGATCGCTGGGAAGATTTAACACGTGCTTCCTGGCGGGGGCCATACCGTTCCTAGGGAAGTAGGGAGCGCAGTGTTCAGTTTCTCGGTCGTCTCGTCATAATTACTCTTGGCGACCGCTCATCTGATGTCCCCTCTGCAGTTATTGAAATTCTGCAGACTTCATAACTGGCCTAAATGCGCTCGTTTTTCAACAAGCCTTCATGGGCGAGCAGGGGGGACGAGCAAGCAGACCCTAATTTCTACCGCCATGCTGGTCAAGTCTACAATGATATCATCGCTACAAGCCAAAAAGCACGTGCTGGACGACTATCAGCAGAGACAGATAGCCCCAAGCGTCGACGTCTTTCTTCCAGACAATCCCCAGACAACACTTTAGATCGGCCCTCCAATAATGGTGAAGTGTCGCATAATATGGAACGATCAGCGAACGCTGAGCCTGGCTGTTGTGATGACTTACAAGAGAAGAATAGCAGCAATAGTCCTCAATTCCGGACCAAATCCATTGGTATCTCGGTTGCAACTACAATGATGGCCGACATGCACAGATGTGAGTCATCAGCAGACATGAACCTGATTGATACTGAAACATCTGCTGCTGGCTCATCACTTGCGGAGGGTGTGAAGAAAAACACGACAGCCCCCGCCAAAGAAGGCTCACATCATCAGGATGTTGAAGGAATTGATCAAGCTGCTATATCTCATAATCACCATGTCGGGCATAGTGAAGCGATAGTTCAGATTCTCATTACTTCGAAAATTGCAAATACCAAACCGTTGATTGTTCGCCGGAAAATGCACCAGCCGTTAAAAGATGTTCGCCTAGCATGGTGTAACCGTCAACAATTTTCCAAAGAAACACAAGCTTCTGTCTTCCTGACTTGGAAGGGCAAGAGGCTATTCGATGTTACCACATGCCGAAGTCTGGGAATTCAGACAAATCGGGGTAGTGTTTTCGGTTTGAAGGAATACGATCCCTTCCAGGTAGATGGCGAAGATATACAGATTCACATGGAAGCTGCCGTTGAAGATAGTCTCAGTACTAGTCTACACCAGTCGCCGATTGTGACCGACTCCAAGTCTATCTCGGAACCTGCAGGTTCGACTGAAGGAAGTTCATCTGCCGACAGGGTTATTCTAAAATGCCCTGATTATGGTGATCTGAAGGTAAAGCTCAACTTGGAGATGCAGGTATCACAGCTAGTTGCTGCCTTCCGTGATGCCAGGAGAATCCCCGCGGAACGTGAAATGTTCCTGGTATTTGATGGAGACCGCTTAGATCCCCACTCATGCCTTGCAGACCACGAGCTTATGAATAATGATCTCGTGGATGTCATTGTTAGGTGAATAGTAAAGATAGAAGGTCTGGATTACGATTAACATTACATCTTCGAGAGAAATGAGCTTGGAGACTAACATATGCAAAAGGGGAAATTTCTAAATAACATAAACTTCTCCGTGGCTATAATGGCTTGAGTCTTTCCTTTTTGTTCTTCTGTTATTCGGCTGCGTTTGCCCCTGCAAACACCCTATATTATCCACCAACATACTATCAATTCATTGAACTGTAATGCAGGTGATGTTTGTGTTGCTATTTGATTCGTTTCGCTATACATCACATTGTGTACTGCAGGCACTACTCCGTATATTCATATACATCCACTTCGAGAATGGCCAAGGCCTGATCTGCGGCACCCAGCGTATGAAAATTACTGATAACGTAAGGCACTAACTTTTTCCCGCTCTTCATTCCCAAAGCACACTCTCATAGGAATAACGGATCCTGTCTCTCATCTTTCGGAGGGTCATTTGAATCAGAAAATGAAGCTGATTACTGTCAACTTCTTGGCCTGTGCTGTGAAGGGTTGCAAGGCAGCGCCGGCGTCATATCCACTACATTTTCGAGATGCCGAACTAGAACTACAAGAACTTGAATTCCAGCCAGAGTTCATACTCAACATCATTCCTCGGATTGACTGGGAAGGGATGCGGGTCATGGCTAAAGAGGTGTGCACTAAAAATCTGACAACATCATTGTTACCACTTGTGTAGGCTGTCTAACCTTACTCAACTTAGCTTGGTTTTCCTAATATCCCTGATAATAAGCCTGAAGGAGATGCCCTCAAAGATGAACGACTGCTTAAGGAACTTCACCGATTACTGTTGGAGACTCAGGTTGTCGAAGGAAGGCTTTGCTGCGGGAATTGTGGTCATGAGTACATGATCAAGGAAGGAATTGCCAATTTCCTTCTTCCTAGTCATCTGGGTCTGGTGATCCCCTCCATTGCATTTCTGAACGCCTGCTAACTAAGCTTAGTTTGAGCTTATCGAGAATTTTGAATGAAGTGACCTCTTGTCACTCAACCGGGTAATGCACATCCTCTCTGGCGTTTGTTCTGGCAAGATTCCACCCTGCTAGCTTCCGCCTGTCAGATCTGCATTCATTTTAACATAACTGGGTCATCAACCACTGATGCCATCTGCCATATAATGAAAGAGGCGAAGTGTTTTGGACCCGTTGATCCACAGGTGCTTCTGATCTGGCAAACCCCATCGTGAGGTACACACTTCGCTGTCATAAATACAATTCTACCTACCAGATGCAAGCCCTTTTCTTCCCAACCATTTCCAAACGAACGCCTTCAGACTAATGCACCTATCTATAAGATGGGACTGCAGACCACGACCAAGAGCGAGTTTTTCCGTCAGAATTGGTATAGGGAAAGAAGCGGAATAAGGAGGGAAAGAGTAACGGAAAGGAAGCTCTTTGGCCTGGATTCATCAAGTCTTCCTCAAAACGTCTTAGTTGAGGAACCCTTTACACCCAGTCGAACCACAAAGGCAGGGAATCCTATCATCACTATCCCACTCCCTCTCAAATTTGTAGTCATAGGTCAGCTCTTCGTCTGTTCATGCAATATATTAGCATGGCTTCCTCTTGGCCTGCAAGGATAATTGCTAGGTCCACTTACCCCTTTCAATGTCACGTAAAGCATATATGACGATTCGCTTGCTGCCATCGACCTTAATTATCTTGGCGGTGCAATTCGGCGTACAACTGTGGTTGATGAACCTGGCAATTCCACCTCGCTTTGTGGCGTCTATAACGGTGTTTTCATCAATACGAAAAAGGTAACTACTACCAATTCCGCTCTTCAAGTAACGCCTTTCTCGCATGTCTGCAACCTGTTGTCTCACCTTCTCTCCGACGTATTCAATGATCATATCGTTCGCAGATATATTCTCCTCTGCATAGAGCCCCCAATTATGGATAGCTGACCGAGCGAAGCGAACCGGTTTCTTCCGTTTCTTCAACTGATTGAACCGAAGAACATCTCCTTCGCCACTCTGGGTAGGAAGAGCCTGTTTCTGAGCATTGATGTCGGCAATAAGACGGCGATTGTTGACTCTTGTTGACCGGGAGGTAGACTTGGAAATTGTCTTTGCTGCAGCGATCCTTGCGGCTTCAGCAGCAACAGCGTGTGGGTCACTCTTTGCCCTAGCCTCTCGCTCCTCACGAGCCCTTTGGACTTTAATTCGGTGGGGTAAGTATTTTGACTTCTCAGACTCCAAGATTCGCTTCCTTCCTTCAGTCCTTGCTGCACCAGTGATATTTGAGACGTAGTAGCCGGGAATACTAGTCTCTTCCCGTACGGGTCCAGGTTCTTCTGGGCGATTGAGTGCCTTGATTTCCTTCTGTCTCCAGGCCCAAGCCGATAAGTTCCCGACATTAGATCTCGAAACTTCGCCCAGGATATCACGAAGAAAGCACAGGTCCTCTTCGTCCTTTATCAGATTCTGCCAACCATCGAGATCCAGTACAATGGATTCGTCATCCTCGACCGTTGAACGAGGCTCGTCATTTGAAACTCGCCACTCAATCTCCGTTCTGGGTTCTTCTCGCTGCTTCCCATGCTCGAAATCCCCGACTGAGGATATCAAATGGCGATGATCTTTGCCGAACCCTTCAATTTCAAGATTGGAACCCCATGAGCGCATAAGCGCCACCGTATCATCTTTCTGATCGTCTGCCAATATGTGGCATTGAGAGCCCAGAGGATCTGTGATGGTTACAAGGGTGTCGTTTGCCGCTGTGATCTCATCCTGGAGGGCTTCAGGCCCAGAGGATGAACGTCTAACGGTTTGATCCTCCTCAGCCCCTCCGGCATCGTCCACATCAAAGAACTCACCGTCTTCTTTCTGCCTCTTCCGCGCCCTTGCTCTCTCGTCATCACGTTTCCTTTTTCGCGACGACGGGGAGAGATCGTGGGTGACATGCTGTAGAGCGTCGTTGGGTGAACTGCGAGATATATCGTCCCTCGAGTTGTCTCTGTCACTAGGCTCATCTCTATTGGCCTGCCTTTCCGCAACAGATAGATCCAGCGTTTCCGAAGCAAACCTATCCACCTCTTCTTCTGAATCAGACGTTTCGGAACTCAATCGACTCGGGGCACGGCTGTCCAGATCTTCAGTGTCCCTGGTAAAGGGTGCCCTCTGCTCATCGTCTGAATCGTCCACATCGTGTAGTTGCTGGAGTCGATGGTAAAGAGGCCTAACTTCCTTTCTCCTTAGCGGCTGTTTCCGCCTCTCGTCCAGAAAGGCGGCGTTTGTGCGATCCAGCCGATGGGCCTTCCTTATTCGCGGAAGAGCAAGTATATTGAGTCCAGAGGAGCCGAGAGGATTTCGGCTGGTTGAAAAGTCGGAGCGTGAATCTGGTGTGCCAACTGAGCTGTCGATATCAATCCGGAACATAGGCCTTTTGGCCCCCTCTGGATCAGGAATGCCCAGTTTCTTCCTCTTTGCAGCATGCCGATCTGGATCCAGGTAATCATACAAAGCCGGGGCAGCAATTCGAGATTTCACATCTTCAAGAAGCTTATCCCTCAAATCCCGGATGATTATTGCTACCACCTCTTTGCAGGGGTCTAGATCAATGGCACGTTGTCTTTTCTCCTCCTCGACATCCAATTCTGCTTCCCTTTTCAGCCTGTCCTTTTCGGCTCGCTCTCGCTGTTCGGCCTGCAATCGTTGGGGGCTTGGACTCCGCTCGTAGTTTGGATTCCCATAGGGCTGGCTCTCCATGTTCATGATGTACGTGAATAGGGGTTTCATATGGCACATCTTGTAGCACCGCTCGGTTTCTTCCTCACCACGCCTCGAATTCTCGAACACAATGTAATACCCTGTTTTATCGCACCGAATGTCTTTCCAATCAAACAGTTTGAGCCTTTTCTTTAGGTGCGGAACGGTAGTACTGAGCACGGGTACATAGCAGTGTGCGATGAAAATATACGGGTCGCGCTTGATCTGACTCAATATAGGAACTTCTTCAACCAGTGATGGCACAGCAGGCCTCAAGAAGCTTGCCCTTGGTCCTTCGGGGACGGTAGCCGCAGGACGCAATGAGGACCTTCCTGAAGGTCCCTTGGGAGCCGTTGGAGGAGGCTCATTGTTCTTCGTCGGGATGTCTGTCTTGAATTCTTCTGCGATTAGCAAATTATTCTTGTCTCCCATTCTCTGAGAGTCAATTGCCCGCATGACTATCTTTTCCGAGACGATGCCATCACGGTCCAGCTCAACCCTGATCCTGCGCGTTCCAATGCGCTGCTCTTTTTTGCATTCATAATAGGCTCGCCTGGCCGCGCTTGCCGCAAGAACGGGTCCGCCTCCTCTGAACGACGCACTATCTTTGTATTTGACAGAACATACACCGAGGAATCTACCGGTTATTGGATCAGTGCGGTTGTTGATTTCAGCGATGTCTCCGAAACTTGAGAACAATGCGTTGATTGGAGCAATTGGAGTCAAAGGATCAAACCCAGTGACTACTATCTGTACCGGGGGTCCAGGACCAATGGTTGTCGAAGCGTCGTATGCCCAGTGTTTCAATGAATAGGGTGCGGGTCGATACTTTGTTTTCTGCTTGCAACCGGCACCACGTGAATAATTGGCAATCTTGAGACGAGGGTCTGCCGGTCGATCGTCTTGTTCATTTAAGACAATGTCCGCGTAACGCGCTTTTCTTCGCTTCTCTTTCGAGGAAATCCGTTTCTCTAAATCGGGATCGTACGTCAATTTCCAACCCCTCACACTTCCCGCAGGGCGACTCTGCGATCGCGGTGTCGGCGGGGTTTGCAGAGGCGTCATAGCAGGCTTTGTTTCCTCGGTCTTGGAAATACGCGAACTCTCCTCGATCCCGTTTATCACCCTTGCGTGAGATGGACTAAGCTTCTGGCCAGGTGAGGATTCTGCATTAGTGAGCGGCGTAAGCGTATCCAGATGTGCTTCGTTGCCATATGCCGTGCTTTGATTATGGGTTGATGAGCGGGAACCCGAGATGCTCACACTTGCAGAACTTGCAGGACCATCGCCATTGACGGCAGACGATATCTTCTGTTCCTCCGCATACAGCCTTGGTGTCGCATCATGGATCGCCTTAGGGTCTGGAGGAAGTATAGCTCCTTCATCGCTATGCTCTCGATCCGTATGGGCCCCAGAACGAGGCCGCCCCCGGGTGATCTTGCGCTTTTGCTGGAGGACGGACGGTGCGGTTGGAAAGAAGTCTGCAAATCCTGCTGATGAGCGTGACATATTGAGAGGCGGCTACAAGCCAAAACCACAACAGCTGCAACCACTAGGTAGCATCCTTAACAGTCGTTTATCACACAGTGCGCAAATATATGGGCAGGAAATATCCTGTACTGAAGGCGGTAACGAGAGAGATCGAACCAATGAATTCTGGACAGGGCGGGTAGGATTGAGAGAAGAATAAATTAAAGGAAACAGGATTGGGGAATAGAAGGGGCGGGATTAAAAATCTTGGTATGAGAAAAGAATAATCAAAGAAAGAAGGGAAGGGAAGAAGATCAGGAAGAGGCTGTACGGAGGAAAGAACTAAACAATCTCGTTTGCCCCGTTCTGGTGAACCCCTACCAACGCGACAGGAAAAGCGCGCGCAGAGAGCGACTCATGGTAAGAACACCGGTTGTAGAGTGGCGGGGAACATAATAATCCTTATGAATACAGCAAGCGGTTCAACTAGCACGGCGGTCGGCTAGAGAACGAATGGAACTAGGACGGCAAAAGAAACTAGAAATAAAGACCAGAAAGGATTGTACATTCCCAAAAGTGCTGTTGATGTGCGGGTGCTTTCTGAGTTGCGACACTGAATCCACCATCTTCTTTTGCTTTTATAGGGGCGCGGAGTAAAGAAGCCACCCACCATAGTACTTTGTCGTTCCTGAGCCCACTGTTCCGCTGCTGTCTGCTCCGTACTCTAGAAACTGTGCCTACCCAGCTTATCTTCGGCGTTGCCCGAACATTGCATATGGGATCCCCAAGATTCGTGTGCTAGTTATGATCTATAGGTATCTGGCATGACCTACTATTATTCTTTTATCCTATAAACCATGTACCATGTACTGACTTTGACGAATATCACTTATTCTCTTTCCTGGCCCTTCCCATATGCAGGGGAGGGGACCTTGAATTCGACCCCAAGGCAAGACAACATTCGGGTGGTTCTTCCAGTTCATACGCAGTGTATTTCAAAGTCGGGATTCTATATAGTACTTCGGCAAGTAGGAAAAATTTGGCATCGGTGTTAAATAACATGGGCAGATACGGAGTATAATGACCGCAATTGTCAAGACTAGACAATATACGTCGCAGCGAGGATCGTCATCATTTTGGGTAGCCTTGATAGACTTTTAGGACCTATAGCAAGGCGCCCCGGCATGCGATTTCAGGCCCGGCGTCTCGGGAAAGGATGCTGTGACTTCGAATTAATCAGTATTCATTCCAGGATCGGGTTCCCTTAGGATCCATACCTTAAACCTGTTACTCCGTAGGCGGGTGTGGTATAAAACTTTCCACGGCCAGTGAGACTTGGGTTTTGAAACCAACGGGATTCGATAGTCCATATTTCCCTGGCCCAGTAAAGCAAAACAGTGCACGCGGGTGATCTAAAACGCGTGTGCTCATAAAGTTGCAAAGGGTACATCCAATACTGCCTGGAAGATAAGTATATAGAGATAGGACTGTTATATAAACACTCTCCAGCCTAGCTTTACGTCCATGCAGGTAGATAAAGGATCATGTAGTCAAGTAGCAAATCTCCTGGTTGATGCCGTATTAGGATATATTAACGTCCTACCTAGATCGATGAATGGCAACCTTTCATTGCATGCCGCGCGTATCTCAAATAAATAAGCGATCTTCGCGCAGGGATTCGACTATTGTGACGTTGGAATAAAATGAATAAGACCATGGTCATGTCCCCGGCTATGCGTCGTACTATGTACATACGGAGTACGGATAATTTACCCTTAGTTAACGGTTTATATAAGGAGTACATACCAGTTACTTAGGTACTCCGTAGTAGTCATATGGATAATTAGCCACCAATGATCCAACATAGAATCGCCAATGCACCGGTAAATCTGCTGTATATACAGATATAGAAACCCCAGCCACTAGGGCATAGATATCTATTATCTACATAGTAGTCCGTACATTCTACAAAGTAGTACTAGTACGGAGTACTAGTAGTTAGTATACGGGATTGTTGTGTGGGGCTATGATACAGGCTGCTCCATATTAGGGGCGTAGTCGTAGTTGCCGAGGATACCATGTAGGCAGGTTTTTAATCGGGAATATGCATATTAATAGCAAGTCACATATTAAATAAAGCATCATAGTTGGAAACAAGTCCATAGGCTTGAGAAGTGAATCATGGTAGTTTATCCATCATACACTCCTTGCTTTCTGGAATCTAACCATGGAAAACATGTGGGGTATCTCATAGGTAGAATTTTCGCTTCTCACAAGTTACCTACTTCTTTGCCTTTGCCACCAAGTTGGCGGTGCTGACCTGCATGCCTAAGCTTTTATGCTAGGTATGCTGTCTCTGCCCAACTGTTTGACCGGAATTCATTATAACTAACGATAAGGTGGCCAGCCCAACAATGAAAACGAAAATAGTAAGGAGAATAATTTTATACTATGAAATCATCAGCCCGGTGACATAAATCTCTATTACCGCGGTGGGGAATGTTACCATGACCAGTTGTCTGGACTCCGGTGTACTAGTTAGTCCAAGAAAGGGGAGCGAGCCTCAACCGAGTTTCTGTTTCAGTCCTCCACGGATCAGATGAAGTACCATCGAAAGATAAAAACGGTGGCTTGTTGGAAGGGTTCCATTTCCACGAACACACCTCCCCTTCTCACCTCAATTGGTAGATGCCTGGAATATTAACAGAATATATCAGCAGCTACAGCAAGATTACTACACAGTTAACGAACCGGGAGCTAGACAGAAGAACCACGAACAAGACATGGATAACTTAGTACCTCTGCAAGATTCCTGATCCAATGACTTGGGCGGGAATAGGCCCCCCACAAGCTGCGCCTGCCTCCTTCTATAACAACCACCATGTGATCTTGGAGTCTACCAATGTTAGGGAAAAATGTCTATAAAAGTATACCAATATCATGAGTACAAAGTATACTCCCATCAATTATTGTTCTGACCACTCTGACTATTATTAGAAAATTGCTGCGCACTAAGTTTAGAAGTTCCCTCCTCCGTCAGTCGACGCGGCGACGGAACCAGATCCATGGCGTCAGGCAAAGAATTTGCCTAACTCGACTAATAATAGTTAAAAGTGGAGTGTTATTTTGACCTTGCAGGTGGGGGGTTGAGTATCTTACTACCCCCCGTAGTACAAACTAGTACAATAATTTTTATCGGTACCTTGGATGGGATAGGCCTTAACCTCAGTCGAGTCACGGGTGAAACATACCATAGTAGTAGACTGTGTGAGGCGCAGGGGGGGCTTATTGGCTGCTACCTCATTTGATGAATGGTTGTGCCCTGGGGTGAGTGCCTATAGCAGCTTCCCTGGTCCGTGTGCCAAGGTGGGTCGATCTCACCACATAAAACATAACAGCTCCCCCTCCTTTCAACCTTCCCAATTGTTTGTTGATCCAAGTTAACCACCTACTTCAGCCTCTCTCCATTCAGTTTATCCCTTCTTCTAACTCTCCCACCCTTACAAAACCGTGTGACTCACTTTGCCTATTCTACTCTAATAGTAAGTAAAATACCTTCTCTCGACGTTTCCCTGTTGCTCTCTAGGCTAACACTATCCTGCCTAGGTGACATTGCCTTGATTATCTAGCCAGAGTGTCTTCTTGTGGCATCGACTTAATACCCCTCCTCTCTTCATATTATCAACACACGCGTTAAACCCCGTCAGTCGACAGAACAACCATGTGGTACGCATGACCATCTACCTTATACTTGGCGATCTCATGCCTAACAATTACCTTTAGTGGCATTTTCGGTTACATCAACTACCTTGTTGAAAGGGACCGCAGGTTCATTCTTGATACCATTCTTAACGGTGTGTTCTCCCTACGCCGGGCCTCGAAATTTATCACAGCAATGTCCACTGTATCCTGACGATGTGTAGGGCTTTCGAGACTTGAATACCGTGGCTATGACTCTGCCGGTCTCGCTGTCGATGGCGACAAGAAAAATGAAGTCTGTGCCTTCAAAGAAGTTGGCAAGGTTGCCAAACTGAAGGAGCTCATTGAAGACCAAAAACCCGACTTCACAAAGACCTTTGAATCCCATGCTGGCATTGCTCACACCCGTTGGGCTACTCATGGAACCCCTTCTCGCCGGAACTGTCATCCGCACAGGTAGGTTTGCTGCAGCCAGTGTTTTGTTCCCTGTTTGGTCGGATACATGATATCCCAGAGAGCATGAGACTAAGAAACATTCATTGTCTAGGTCTGATCCCAACTGGGAATTTTCTGTTGTTCACAATGGTATCATTACCAACTACAAAGAATTGAAGGCCTTGCTGGAGAGTAAAGGGTTCCGCTTCGAGACTGAGACAGACACCGAATGCATTGCCAAGCTTACAAAGTATCTGTATGACCAGCAGCCGGACATCGATTTTACGGTGTTGGCCAAGGCTGTCATCAAAGAGCTTGAGGGTGCCTTCGGTCTCCTCATCAAGTCTGTGCATTATCCTCATGAAGTGATTGCGGCCCGCAAAGGCTCCCCACTTGTCATTGGCGTGCGAACGTCAAGAAAAATGAAGGTAGACTTCGTTGATGTGGAATACTCTGAAGATGGACCCCTTCCAGCGGAACAGGCCTCTCAAAATGTTGCTATCAAGAAGTCTACGACTGGGCTACTTGCCCCGCCCGATAAATCGCTCTTGCACCGCTCGCAGTCTCGTGCTTTCCTGTCCGATGATGGCGTCCCCCAGCCTGCTGAGTTCTTTTTGTCTTCGGATCCGTCTGCGATCGTTGAGCATACTAAAAAGGTTCTCTACCTTGAGGATGATGATATCGCTCATATACACGAGGGGCAGCTGAACATACATCGCTTGACGAAAGATGATGGCACATCTAATGTTCGCGCCATCCAAACAATCGAACTCGAGCTACAAGAAATCATGAAGGGAAAATTCGATCACTTCATGCAGAAGGAAATTTTTGAACAGCCCGAATCCGTGGTCAACACTATGCGAGGCCGATTGGATGTCGCAAACAAACAAGTGACACTGGGCGGTCTCCGACAGTATATCTCTACCATCCGTCGGTGCAGAAGAATTATTTTTGTGGCTTGCGGAACCAGCTACCATTCATGCATGGCTGTGCGTGGTGTTTTTGAGGAACTCACCGAGATACCTATCTCCGTCGAGCTAGCCTCGGACTTCTTGGACAGACAAGCACCCGTGTTCCGTGACGATACATGCGTCTTCGTTTCTCAGTCGGGAGAGACCGCTGATTCTCTGATGGCCCTGCGTTACTGCCTCGAGCGCGGTGCCTTGACTGTTGGAATCGTTAACGTCGTTGGCTCTTCTATCTCTCTACTGACTCACTGCGGTGTGCACATCAACGCTGGGCCAGAAATTGGTGTGGCTTCTACCAAGGCGTACACATCACAGTTCGTAGCCATGGTTATGTTCGCTCTCTCTCTTAGCGAGGATCGAGCTTCAAAGCAGAAGAGACGCGAGGAAATCATGGAGGGCTTGGCCAAAGTATCTGAACAGTTCAAGGAGATTCTGAAGCTTAATGAGCCCATTAAGCAAATGTGTGCGAAATTCTTCAAGGACCAGAAAAGTTTGCTTTTGCTGGGCAGAGGCGGCCAGTTTCCTACGGCCCTTGAAGGTTAGTAAGATGATAATATTGGCAGCGGTTCCTGGATGCTAATGTGCTCTATAGGTGCGCTCAAGATCAAGGAGATCTCCTACCTCCATTGCGAGGCCGTCATGTCAGGTGAATTGAAACATGGTGTCCTTGCTCTTGTTGATGAGAACCTGCCCATCATCATGATCCTTACCAGAGATAACATCTTCTCCAAGTCATTGAATGCTTATCAACAAGGTTAGTCAACTGTTTGACCTGATCCTCCAGACCCAACCACTAACTGTCTGACAGTGATTGCTCGAGGAGGGCGCCCTATCGTGATCTGCAATTATGACGACCCGGAGTTCTCTACTGCCCAAACAGAGAAGATCGAAGTCCCCAAGACAGTGGATTGCCTCCAAGGTCTTTTGAACGTTATACCACTGCAGCTGATCTCTTACTGGCTTGCTGTGGGCGAGGGCCTCAATGTTGATTTTCCTCGTAACCTTGCGAAGTCAGTCACTGTTGAATAGGGGACGATTGCGTGAAGAGAAATGCAGAGACACGATAGATTCGTGGGTACGAGGCTTTTAATTTTCAGTTAATCCATATGGTTTTCATATTTGTTAATGATCCTATGCATCTAAATGCTATAAACTCCGTAGTCCTGGATGTTCTTTCCCCTTTTCTCGTTTTCAGTTTTCCTCTGGCCCCCTACTTGTATTTGCCTATTAGCACTAGGTCTGGCCATTGCGTTCAGTAGCAGCACCGAGCGGATGAACTCTGTACGACTAGAGACATGGTAATTTATAAGCATGCGGCTCTCAGAAGACCGACACGGACACTAGTTCACATCAATAGAAGAGGCCTCATACAAGCCCCAGCGGGGTAGAGTTTGGGTTCCCCACTTTGTGCCGGAACTCCAACCTCATGTTGCACGTCGTTGCTGCTTCAGGTCTATTGTCCTAACACCTGTCCTGGTAATTCTGTCGATTCCTCCGATAGACATTTTAAATCGAAATCCTAGAATATCAATCGTGATGGCTTCCCTGAAAGGTCCTGGCGCTGCTCAGACACATGATGGTAAGTCTTCTTTCAAACACGCCCTACATTTGACCATTTGGTTTCTCAGTGCTGAGTTTTCTAGGCTCTGGGCTACGAATTGCAATTGTGCATGCGAGGTGGAATATGGCAATAATTGGTCCACTCGTCGAGGGGGCTAAGCGGAGCCTCCTGTCAGCCGGGGTTGCTGAGGATAATATAACAACGCACACAGTTCCAGGCAGTTATGAGCTACCATTTGCCGTTCAGCGGTAAGCATATCGCCATCCTATTCTTGCTTTTTTATACTCTATGCAATCGATGTATGCTCATCATGGTCAACTGCACTCTCAGGATCTATGCGGCTTCCCAAATTGAAGCTGCCAAGGGTCCAGCCTCAGCTCAGGGCATCAGTGCCACTGATTTGCTCTCCTCCTCTACAGCCGACCTTACGAAAGCGTCTGCGCAGTCACCAGCGCCCGATGCACCCAAGCCTTTTGATGCTATTATTGCGGTAGGCGTGCTAATCAAGGGGGAGACCATGCATTTTGAATACATCGCCGAGTCCGTCTCTCACGGATTGATGCGTGTTCAGCTCGACACTGGCGTGCCGGTTATCTTTGGTCTGCTTACTGTTTTAAATGAAGAACAAGGCTTAGAGAGGGCAGGGCTGGGTAAGAAGGGAATGCACAACCATGGGGAGGACTGGGGAAATGCTGCGGTAGAACTCGGAGCCAAGAGGAGAGAGTGGGCCGAGGGCAGGGTTGTTTAGTAGGTGGTACGCCGGCAGGTGTTAAATACTTTGGCTCGTTTGGTGATTGTTGATTTATTTGTCGACTGGCTTTTAAAGTGAGGATAGGCAATTGCACGCGTCATAGATTGAGAAGCGGAAGTGGGGACCAAGGAGTAGGTGCGATGTAGCATACATTTGTTTACTGATTATCAAACCAAGGAGCCCGCAGGAGAAGATAAACGCGATCTGAAGAATGTTTCCGCGACCGAGTCCCAGGTGCAGATAATGGCCCCGCAACTTCACTCTTCCATCCGTTCAGTCTCGTTCGAATTGCCCTTTGTTGCATCCTCTTCCTCGTCCTCTCCTTCCAATGCCCTTTTTGCAGCCCGTTCTGCCTCCTCAAGGAGATCTTTAGGCACCTCCTCATGTCTCCCCTTTGTTGGGCCGTCTAATGAACTAATCCAGGTCATTTCAAGCTCGAACTCCTTGTCCTTACTGTCTTCATGGGCAACATAGATGATTCGAGCAGCCTCCTTCACGCCATCGACCAGACTAAGTGTGCCGGAGCTCAGGTCAAGCTTCTCAAGCTCAGCCTTGGCTGCCTGTCGTCCTTTCCCGGTGGCAGCGCCATAATAGCCCTTCCATAATGTCAGCATCGAAGAAGCACATGTATTAACCATAGTCTCCTACCCAATACAGGCCACTGGGCTCAATCATATATAAACCCGGGCCTCCGGTTTTGGCCCCCTCGACCTTACCACCAGAGCCTGACTTGGGTCCACTTCCGACCTGGCCGTCGACGGCAAGTTCAGCTTCGGAGTCCCAGCCTCCGACAATAGCAGTTACTCCAAAAGGTCGTACACTAGAATAGAGCGTATAAGCTTGTACATAGCTTCCGAGGCGATTAGACAGCGCAGAAATCGGGATTGGCCCCTTGTAGACCCCTCTCCACGATGAAGCCTCGTCGCGAGCCCGGGAGACAAAATGCCGACCATCTGGCACCAGTCCGGCTGAAACCTATAGTGTGAGAGATAACATATTAGCGCGACCGATGCCTGGGCAGTGCATAGGAGCATCCATATCAGGCCAGTTTGAAGCCTTACAATGCCAACATGACGATCCACAGTGGCTATTCTCTTGTTGGAGCCAGGCTTCAGAAGCTTGCTAGTAATGATCTTTTCCACTGCCAGCACGACACCGTCTTTGCATCTGATGCCAATTGCTGTTCCTCCGTTCTCGACTGCCTTGACAGCATATTCAACCTAGTATGAATAGTTAGCAGCCTGCGTTTGCTATCCATTTCGCGGGAGACGAGATCAATACCTGGAAGTTGCGACCGTCCGGAGAAAACACTGAGTTGGAAAGATCGTACCCAGTCCCGATGGAAGTCTAGATAAAGACCCTCAGTCAGTTAAAGAGGAACGTCACTTGGGGAGCACGGCTCAAACCAACCATGGCTGCCAAGGTCGACACAGGATTAGGGTTAGAGAGCGTAAAAGCCGAAGACAAGAGGACCTGGTGGAGTTGATGCAATAAAGAAGCTGGGAACTCCCGAAGCTCGAATGGAGGGCAACGAGGAAGTAGGGTAAGGTAGGTAGGTAGCTAAGGTACGCGTAGTTAGTAGTACCCAGCAGTGCCTAGCCCGGGCAGGCCACTAATTAGTTAGCAGTTAGTGCTGAGTGCATCATCCCCTTCCCGATGGGCTCTAGCCTCATGCCGCTTTTATCGCGTTTATGACCAAGGGCCGTGTCAGGTGATCGCCCGGCTGCTTCCCTTTTCGACTTGCCAGATGATGAATGATACGGAGGGAAAAACCACAGTTTATCGACATATGGAGTACTCCGTATGACCTACGTACTATACGATACCATACTAGTAGTAGTACCGAATCTGACTACTTCGTTTATAAATTTAGCTATCTACCACAATGAATGATCCACTGTATAATGTACAGCAAGTCAGGCACTGGGCGGGAGTCTTATACTCCGTATGACGTAGACACTTCGACCTTCTGAATAAAGACCGGTGGTTTGTTGGCTGCATGCCACTCTTACCCTACCGCTACTAGTATCTAGCACCTACCCTACTTTCTAGGCCAAGAGAGGCCAGGCATCCATGCCCATGGTACATGAATTGATCGCTGCTCTTCTAAGAGTGCCCAACCGTTTTAGCGTTTCGGGCATCGACGATGTATGGGTTTACTTCTGACCTACCTTCCCCCACCCGCTTTCTTGATGATTCATATTTAATTCTGCTCCCTACGTAGGTTCAGTATCCTTGAAATAACTTGCTGGATTCTGCTTTTAATCGGAAGCCTGGGAATTCCGTTTTATATCGCTGGTTCCAGAACCTCAGGGCTGCCTGGCTCTACTTCTGCTATACTGCCACCTCTTTCGCTTCCCAGTACCGAAGAAGACAGCCATTTGTTCGACCCTTTCCAATTGTCATTACGAGGACCTCAAACCACAATATGTCCTCGTCCATATTGCATAGCTGCCCCTGCTGTGGGCAAGTTACAGATATCTCCAATGGACTTGCTGCTTTCATCGAAGACCCTTATTGTAGTCAGGTAGATGCTTCATATGTCTAGTTTTTATATTTTTACCAGTTCCCTGACCAGAATACCGTGCAGTGCGGGTTGTCGGCTTCGGAGATCAATCTGAAGCTACAGGATGATCTCGCGGCGCTCTTCGAGAAAAGGATGAATATAGGAGTGCCGTTCCCACCTGAAGAAGACCAGGGAGTCCAGCATCCTTCCATTGCTCCCCCAGGAATGTATAGCATCACACAGCACTACCACCATTCGGCGCATGTAGTTCACCAGGTTGCTACACGTCCTTCGGCAGAAGGCCCTTGCCAAGATATCAACAATGCCATCAAAAAGACACTCAGAGAACACAACGTTGACCCTTCGACACTATCATCGAAGCAAATGGAACTTTTTGAACGCGCGATGCCAGAACAACGATCACGTCTTCTCCAGATCTGGCAAATCTCCCCAGAACACAGTTATGCGGCAACTAGCAGCGTCGCCAGAAGCAGCCTGCTAAACCCGGGAACCTCAAATATAGCCGGCACCGCGGCAACAGTCTCAGCTCCATTAGATTGCACATCTGGAGTTGGTGATCGTGAGATGTGCGACGTAACTGTGAGAAGTGAGAGTGAAGATGATGTACACCAGTATGCTGAGCCATATATGGTCACGGGGTATGAGATGACGGCTCAGGGAAGCAATGGGCTCTCTGCATCTCAGCCCACACATATCGTGGCCGAGCCGACAATAGGCTCACCATACAAGCTTGCAAGTGACCCTGTCTACTATGCCCAGGGTCGAAGATGGTGGGAGACTACACAGCCGGGCTCAATGGAGTATCAATATGGGTTATTCGATGAAATGAGCCGCCATTCCCATTGTGGACTAGTACAACCTCGATCAGCCGACTAGCAAGGGTTCCATGAGACCTGATTCGCAGTTGGGTAGTACTATCAATCTACTCAAGTGGGAATCACAACTATTCACAAACTTATCATGTGGCACTTGGTGATCATTCTCCACTTATCTAAACAGTAACCGTCTCTTATTCTGTAATTTTTTGTTTCTCCATTGATCGACCGAATGCATTTGAGGGCGTATGTATGTGAAAATTTGGAAATTTTTATAGCGATCTGCCAGCTACAAGCCAGCTGCAGTGAATGAGAGAACATAATCGCGGGTTCCTGTAGGACTATATAAGATATAGACATAGGCAATATATATGAGCTTCCAACTCTACACACAGCGCCAAAGACATGGCATGGCATGTGTCCCCTTCTTGCCCAAAGGTTCGCCACCGACTCTCGCCTCTTCCTCGGAATCTCAATATTATGACCCTTGATGTTTGCACTTGAAAGCTTCAAAAACCACCACCAAAGACATCCAACCGAGATTTGAACCGAAAGATAAAGGCAGGAAGACGTAGTTGCCAGCGTCCAAAGAGTCGATGTAGTAAATATATTGCTAAAAAGAGTGACTCGACTGTACCCAACACTTGTTTTGCGGGTCTTGATTTCGGCCCGATTGTCGTATGATGATTTTGCGATAATATATATTGGATTTTTCTTTTTCCAAGCCAAGCCCCCCAAAGCGATGGTATACCAACATTGAAAGAGAAGATGACGAAAGCAATGAGGAAAAATAGATGCCGACTCTGATCGTTAAAGTCTTAGAAAGACTGGCAACGAGCGAAGAAAGAGCGGCGCGGACCGGTTGGACCACTCTATTGGAAATCTTCCTCGTTGATAGCTGCCATAGCCTCTGCAAAAGCATCGGCGGAGCGCTTGACTTCACTGCCGGCCTCGACAGCCCGCTTGATTTTGGTGCATGGCTGGCCGGGAAGATAGCACCACTTCTGCAAGGTTTCGGGGGTGGCCTCGGCAATAGCTTCGGCCAAGGCATCGGCTGAGCGCTTGACTTCTCCGCTAGCATCGGCCGCGCGTTTGATCATGGTGCACGGCTGGCCAGGGAGGTAACACCATCTTTGCAGGGCAGCAGCTTGCACAGTGGTGGCAGCCAGAGCGGCAAGGGCAAGAGAGATGAGCTTCATTTTTGTAGTAAAAGAGGTAACTTTCAAAGATCAGAAATATTTTGTTTTGTAGATGCAGTTAGAGCATTGGCTTGGATGACCAAGATCTTTCACGACCGCCAGGGACCAGAGGTCTTATATAGATGGTTAGAGAGGCTGTAGAGAGCCGATTTGGCTCCATCATGCTGCGCATCAATGAAGACATCTCTATTCAAGCCTGAGCGAGGGGGCTGCAGGTAGGAAGCCACGGCATAGTCCTGAATAGAGCATCAATTGACAGGGAACTTAACACATCATTCAATAAAGCGGACACGAGTTTTCTCCTACTTTACTGAATGGCGAGAGAAGAGAAACGAGCTAAAGCCTCGATCAAACTCGCCATCAATAGGCAAGTTGCGGCGAGATAGGATCGTTTCAATTCATGCAACTGAAATTAGGGTCAGATATCTGGTTCAATGGACAAGCAAGGCAGGCACATAGCAAGAAGAAGGAGGGCCATGAGACCCGCCATCTAGACTTCTTTCTTCATCCATCGTCCTCTATGCCGTTTAGGGCCTTGTAGAGGGCATGGGGTTGCCGAATCTGGGGGTGAATAAGTTTGAAGTTGTGAGGTAGTGGAGATAACGCCCCCGCTTGTCAATTAGACAAATTTGGCCGGATCGAGTGATCAATAAGCCTTGAAGGCTTGACTTCGAAAAAACAAAAAGAGTGTTGAACAAAGCATCCGCTCTTGTTGCCGCAAATCGGGTGACTCAACCAGGACCGGGAGGTTGCGGACCAATTCTCGTTTGGGGGTTCCTTTTGCCTCTCTGCCAGATCAGGGGATCAGGAGTCCGGGAATTACCCTCCAGAGTAAGGCCTACGAGAGGGGTGGGTGGTGAAGGTGATGGTGATGATGATGAGGGCGGGAGATAAGATCGGCCCGCGTGTGTAGTTGGTTGCCCGACCGCTCGAGTGGATGCCGAGAGGATCCGCCGTTTTTTCCGGTGTCTCGTGCACGCATCGCTGGCTTTCTTTCTTTTCTCGCCGTGGCCGTGTCCGTCTTCGTCTTCCCTCCCTCCTCCCTCTTTTGCTCCCTCGTCCGCACGGCTTTGGATCCCCTCTCCTCTCCGCCCCCCTCTTTGCCAGTCCTTTCATTTTTATTCTCTTTCTTCCAATAGCTCCTTGCCCATCAAAATGTTCTCTCTCAGGACGGCGCAGCCCGCGCAGGTGAGTGGACGAGTCCTTACTTTCTGATCGATCAATTCCTTTATCCGACCCGATTTCGTTCGATTTCCCTTCCCTTACTTCCTTCTTACCGCCGCCCGCTACATCCTTTAGCCCGGCTGGCTCCGGGAGGCGTCTGGGATGCTTCGTCGATATCCCTCTTGCCTCCGTTCCTATCTATCGTCGACGCTAGTCCTTTTTTTCTACTATCATTGCCTATCCGTCTATTAACGCGACTATGCTTGGCAGTCTTTCCTCCGTCGCGTTGCGGCCCCGACTTCCTTCGTCCGCTCATCCATCCCGGCGAGATGTGCGTTGACCTTTCAGCACCCTTCTCGAGAACCTTTGTTTATTGACTCTGTCTACAAGCCTTTGCTAGCGTGCAGTCGGATATCTTTAAGCCCACCAAGTATGGAGGCAAATACACCGTCACTCTGATTCCCGGTACCTATACGCGCCCTTCTTCTCCCCGGTTTGGCAGTGTTGCTGATGCGTCTATAAAGGTGACGGAATCGGTGCCGAAGTTGCTGAATCGGTCAAGACTATCTTCAAGGCCGACAATGTCCCCATTGAGTGGGAGCAGGTAGATGTTAGCGGTGTGGATACCGGTAACAAGCATTCAGAGGAGCTTTTCAAGGAATCCATTGCCTCCCTGCGGCGTAACAAGTTGGGTCTGAAGGGTATTCTCTTCACCCCCGTTGAGCGCTCCGGTCACCAGTCTTTCAACGTTGCTCTTCGTCAGGAGCTCGATATCTTTGCCTCGATCGTTCTTATCAAGAACATTCCGGGATACAAGACTCGCCACGAGAATGTTGATCTTTGCATTATCCGTGAAAACACCGAGGGCGAATACTCTGGCCTCGAGCACCAGTCCGTCCAGGGTGTGGTGGAGTCGTTGAAGATCATCACTCGTGCCAAGTCTGAGCGCATTGCTAAGTTTGCCTTCGGCTTTGCCCTTGCCAACAACCGCAAGAAGGTCACTTGCATCCACAAGGCCAACATCATGAAGCTTGCCGACGGACTTTTCCGCAGCACCTTCCACAAGGTTGCAGAGAACTACCCGACTTTGGAGGTTAACGATATGATTGTTGACAACGCCTCCATGCAAGCTGTCTCGCGGCCCCAGCAGTTCGACGTTATGGTCATGCCCAACCTGTATGGAGGTATCCTCTCCAACATTGGTTCTGCTCTTGTCGGCGGTCCCGGCGTTGTCCCTGGCTGCAACATGGGACGTGACGTTGCAGTGTTCGAGCCTGGTTGCCGTCATGTTGGGCTTGACATCAAGGGCAAGGATCAGGCGAACCCCAGCGCTATGATCCTTTCCGGATCCATGCTCCTGCGCCACCTGGGATTGGACGACCACGCGAACCGCATCTCGAAGGCCGTCTATGATGTGATCGGTGAAGGGTGAGTAATGCACATTTTCTATATATTTTTTTTTTCCTTTTTGCCCCCTTTGCCTAGGGTCTAATCTAGAGCTGTTGCTAATGCGCGGATCGTCTAGCAAAACGAGGACCCGGGATATGGGTGGACAGGCCACCACTCATGAATTCACCAGAGCCGTTCTTGACAAGATGGAGGCTGCTCTGTAATTTTTGTCTCACTTGAGAATTTACCCTTCGCCCTACGTTTGGTACTTGCTACAGTTATGATGATGAGAGCTTGTATAGGCCAGTTAACTGTTTTCGTTTTTCTTTGCTTGTAGACCATGTCTGGCCCTCCTGAACTATTTCTATATCCTGTATCTCCTTTCACCTGGAACAACACCGATGGTGTCTTACGCAACGACTTGCGGCGTTAGACAAAGATGTGGGCTAGGGTGTGTAAAACTATACACTATCGATGGAAATTAGACGCATGTTTCTGCATCATTCTGGGTTACCCAGTGGCCCTAGGTTCTTGATTCAATGGCAGTAGGGGGATATTTACCGTCGTATCAAGCGTTTGCTAGGCACGACCTCCCATCGCCCCGAGCATTGGTGATGTTAGTTTCCCTGAGATTATCGCTGGGGAATGACTCAGCCAGAAGCCAAGAACGGGCAAAGAAGACAACCCAGTGGAGAGAAATTAAGCATTATGCGAAAGCAAGAAAGAAGGCCGAATACTTGCTGCCGAGCCCTCCGCTTTTCCAGTAGAGGTCGGTCCCAGAACGTTAAGAGCTCTTCAGTGCTGATTGACCGCCAGTGGGAGATCCGCCCCGCATGGTGATGGTCTGTATTGGGTGAACCAGTTGGCCAGAGATTATAAGGGAACTGTGATCTCGTTGCGCGATGAAATCAGAAAGCAGGACGTCGTTTTCTGCCGGTATATTTCGAATTTGCCTTGACGACTTTGCCCTTCCGTGTCATCTGTTCCTTTTTGCGCAGGATCCAAGCCTTGTCACCCTTCCTGGACGATGGCTGTTTGCCATGCTCCATGGCTCTTTTCCGGGCATCCAAGACATCCACGTCATTCAAGCCATTCACAATACCAGTGATGTCGCCTTGCAACCCACCGCCTCCCACTGTGAGAACCAAATACAATTTGCTGTTCTTTGTACCCGGATCATCTTCAAGTATACCTGCTCCAAAGCCAGCTTTCATGGCAGCCCCGCTAATCATACTCCGCTGGGCATCATTCTTAGGATAAAACTGGCAGACTGCGCGACCTCCACGCCGGAGGCTAGCATAGAGGCCCTCAAAAAACCGACGGAGACGACCTTCCGGACTAACATCGCTCGACTCCGCATTGCAGAGCCACTGAATCGCACTGATGCTGATGGCTGCGTCGAAAGTTCCGGGACGGAAGGGTACCCCTTGCCCAATATCAGCAAGAAATAGGTCGCCGTCGACACCGCGTTGAAGGGCGACGTCGAGCATACTGGGCGATATATCCATGCCGAACCAAGTGTGCGGACCGCCATGTTCGGGAGGCACCTGCGAAAGGATCTCGCCGGAGAGACCAGAGCCGCAGCCAACATCGAGAATGAGGGACGGCGACCGAAGGTCCAGAAGATCAAGGGCCCGATGGGTCATATCGGACTGGATATTACGGATACGTGATGAAGTGGTATACTTCCGGGACTCATTGTCATCATAGAATAGATCCGGAGGCCTGATATTGTAGCACTGTGTCAGTAAATGCTGGCGACTTTGTTCAGTCCGATCGGGGTAAAGGTCACCTACAGGACATCTTCAGGACGCGACATGGTTGCAACGGACTCCCCACAGGGTCGGGCGGCTAGGATGGAAAGCAATGTTGAGACTGGCGAGAGGGGAAAAATCCTCTTTTTTTTGTCTAGCCGCGGGGACTTGGCAGATGGCACAACTTCCTCGCCGCCTGAGGCACCCGAGATCGTCCCGGTCGGCCCCAGTCAGTGCCCGCTGGTATGCTATTAATTGCTGCTGCATCTTGCCAGCTATCCGGTGCTTGGTTTCTACGCCAGTGATACCTCCCTAAACTGAACCGGTTTCCGCGCCCTTCTGTTTTCTTTGCGCAACATGTGGATCTTACCGTTGGTAGGGTATTTGGGGGTCATCGTAGGATTCGCTTTCCTTACCTTGGCGATAGGTATGATATGCCCGCGATGCGCGATGAAGACGACGATGGCGACGACGACGACGTTGCTGCCCTCATCGCAAACCATTATCCTCAATTCCATGCGATCCAAAAGCTTACCTGTTTCTAGCTTCTGGCCTTTACTATCTTTCGGAGCTTGTGGAGGAGCATACAGTCCTCGCCCGTCGGCTGTTGTACCGGCTGATATACAGTATCATCGCCGTCCAGGTCCTCCTCACCGTGTTTGACCGATTCCCTTTCTCGCTATCTGCTCTCAGTATCGTTTCGCACATCGTGTATGCCAGCAATCTTCGCCGATTCCCCATTGTCAAATTGTCCGACCCGCTCTTCGTCCTGTCATGCATCCTTGTTGGCTTGAATCATTGGCTTTGGTTCCGCCACTTCTCGCAGCCATTGCCTTCATCGCGCAGCGCAACAAGCTGGCGTCAGCCATACCAAGTCAATTTTGAGGACATGCCAACCTTCACGGAAGTTGCGTCTTACTTTGGACTGTGTGTCTGGCTCGTTCCATTTGCGCTCTTCGTTAGCCTCAGTGCGGGCGACAATGTTCTGCCCAGTATGGGTTCCGAGTATGCTACAGGCGACCGCGTGCCTACTTCAGGGTTCCCTCGCAGTTCTTCATCGTCTGATGGAAAATTGAAAAATAAGGGAATGGCAAAGGCCTTGGTAGATGGTGTGCGGGACTGGGTTAAAGAGAACGGGGAGTTGATGGGTTTCTGGAAGGGCAAACAGGCAAAGGGTTTCTAGAGTCAAGGTCTTTCCTTCTCCATCCGTTCCCAGCACTATCATCTGGATACCCCTGGCCTTCTGAGTTCGTGACGTGAAAACGGTCGCTTGTTAAACCACTGATATTGTTTCTCCTACCCCGTAGTCCCTCAATGAGTGACTGGAGACTGTCTTGGCGATTAACCCAAGTGGCAGTCGCTTGTTTAAAATAATTCTCATATTTGAATAGTTATATAGGCTGGAGACCAGTGACAAACCTATGGGGATCTGTAGTTCTTGAACATAGCATAAGCGTCGGCCAAAGACCGAAGGACAAAATCATCAGGTTGGGGGTATATTGTTTCTCGGACATGCCTCCTTGAAAAAGGTTCATAATGCGTACAACCCGCGCTATGAGTAGTAGAAAGAGATATCTTGTGCGGACTGCTGACGGTGATGGACAAAGGCGGGAAAGACAGGGGGAAATGGAGATGACTCCCGATTATAATTAGTATTAAGAGTCCCCGTAGCTCTTGATTGATTGTAGCGGAAGTACAACGTCGTCATTTCACATTCGTTTAGATCGTCGAGCTCAGTCGTAGAAGTGGGGCCATACTGCAGAGAGTTTGAAGGTCTCAATGATAACGGGTGAACCACGGCAGAAGAAAAAAGGGTGACAGGTCGTGGAAAGAGAACAAACAGCAAAGGCGAAGGATAGGGCTAATGAGAAAAGAAGAATAACGAAGTGGCGATGTGATGAAGGAGATCATTGAAGCACATCTAACCGTTCATATCCATGACGCATCAGGGCGTTCAAGCTATCGAAATTAGCGGACGTTAATCAGTAGTAAGTTTATTAGGTAGTCTACCATTTTCACCGTGAATCGAAGTAGGTAAGTCCTGATGGTTGACCTCCATGAATAAGAGTGAACTTTCCCTCCTTTTTGCCTTTGCTGACCGAGAATTATCAATGTTCGGGGTCAACATCCTACTCGACGAAGGTGAGCTCGCGTGGCCAAGGCTGTATTCCTCTGATCCACTACCAGCGAACCGCTCATAGCTTGGCTGCTTTGATACGGAGCTTATACCGTTCTGTAGAGAGGCATCTTCCACAAAGCCCGCATGTTCGCTGAATGTCGCTTGACTGTAACCCGGCGAGGACAAACCCGAGGGAATCTGGCGATAAGGGTAACGGAAATCTTCAGAGGAAATAGGATTTTGGACGTTCAGCTCTAACTGTTCGGTATTGTGATTGGGTGGCCCATCGAAAATGTCGACAAAGTCGGTAAGAAACATAGAGAAGACGGGTGCTGGGATGTTCAATGTAGGAGCGAAGACGATACCAACATTTCTGATGGTCATCTTGTTGACGTCAGAATTGTTTACAATAACTATCAAGAACTGGACCAATGCCCGCAGCAAAGCCATATTCGGTTTCGGAAGTCGATGGACAAGGAAATTGAACGCGGCGACCTTCTTTTGCTTTTCATGAAGCTCTATAGAAAAGCGCATTAATAGAGAATCCGATGTACGCCGCGAAGAAGTGACTTACCAAGCACGCGCAAGAAATCCAAGTGAAGTTCACGAGTTAAGACGGTTGTAGGCAGTTCGCGAAGGTATTGCTTGAAAAGAGAGGCGACAGCATGCACATCGTGATACTGGTCATCGGCAAGGAAATCCACATCACCCTCTGTATTGAATCGCTCTTTCAGTGCTTTGACAACAAGATTCGACCCGCTTAGTCGGAAAATACCCTCTTCCGACTCTGCGCCTTTGGCTTTGAGATATTCTATGCAACGATAAACAACCGCTGGGAGATCGACATCGACTCCTTGTGGCGCGCAAAACTGCACAGCCTCGGCCAACGGTAAACCGAAAACTGGCCTGACGAATTCTCGTTTCTCCGCATTGTTGTTCACGTGAGAAGTTGAGAAATCATGGCTAGCCTGAAGCTGAGAAGCAAGATCGAACGATGACCTTGTGCGAAACCCCCAAATACTGCGTTTCTTCTCCTTAACGCTCGTAGCTGCTTTGTTACCCCAAGCCCCTGCGTCGTGGATTACTGTTCCATTGGTGGGGCCGGATATGAATCTAGATGAGAATTGACCAGAGTCTTGACCGGAATCTGCAGAATCCACCAAATGCCCCGTGGAGACAATTGGGGATTTGGGAATGTGTTGATCAGATGATGGCCCGAGGACGGGTGGCTCGGCCGGAACAGCATCGTCATAACTGAATCCTTGAACCGTATCAGGGCCTTCCATGTCTAAAATGCCGGTTCCTTTGTCTGCCTTCTTGCCTCCATTATTAGGAAATATTTTGGATTTGGCAACGGCGTTCGCATGCTGCTTCCCTACTGTCGATGATGGAAATTTTGAGGTTCCATTGTGCCCGTCGTTCTCTGATTGACCATCAACATATTCCAGAAGTGCGTCAACCCAAGCATCTCTTTCTTCATCGCTCTCAGCGCACAAGACATGGCGAACAAGAGCCGATGAGTCCTTGCGTTTGGGTTCTAGAATGAGGAAGGCATGACGGTACTGGTTGTCCGAGTCCTCTTCACTGCGAGAAGGTGAGCTATTTCGACCGCCTGCACTCTGCGATTGCTTCCCAATTTGAGCGTTATAGAGCTTGATCGTCCCAAGATGAGGGCCCCCTGGAGACTCGAAATATTTCAGCTCGGGACCATGTAAGACGAAATATCGCGCTTTCCAGCCACCAAAATTCTTTCCCCTTTTCGTTAAATAACCTTCCTTCCTCGGTCTTCCATCCGGGCCACGTAGTATTTCAGCTCCGGCTTGATGGTTCCCTTTCAGTAAGCTCATTTCATCGTCTCGAGGTTCAATGGCATCAGATGATAGAAATTGACATATGATTAACGCTGCCTTGTCATCCATCGGGGTATCAAGGAGAGTCTCAAAGTATGCATTTAATGCAGCACGTCGTGTGTCAACTTTGGCGGGAGAATGTCCGCTGAAGATAGACCTATCAGGCAACCTTCCCCCGAAAGACGATAACAGCCTTATCTGTTGATCAAGCTGAGGAAGGGCTGCTATAACCTTTTCAGTCCGCCAAAGCTCTGCATTGTCGGATCTTGAGAAAACGCCTAACGTGAACACCGGTTCCTCCTCGGATGGCCTCGAAGCCATATAACTGTTCCTAGATGGGCGAAGTCGCGATGATGAAACCTTCACATTTATGGAAGGAAGGGCATTGGGGGGTAGCAGTAGGTTTGGGAACTCATCCGACACTAATCCTTGAAATATACCGTTATTTTTCACGACTGGTTCATGTGGAGTGTCTATCTTAACAGCCGCATCAATTGATGGTATAGGCCGATTGTGAGTATCAACTGGCACAGAGGCAAATGTAGCACCATTGGCTGCCGAGCTAGAGGCGGTACCCATGGAAAACGGAGTTTGGTAGTGGCCGAGACGGGGGGACAGAGTTAGCCCAGAAAGATTATTTTCTGACGACATAGGCAAGGAACCGGGGGTTTCCCTTGGTAGGCGCGGCAAAGGAGAGCCTAACGGACGGTCTTCGGGCCTCGGGCTGACTGGCAACCCAGGACTTTTCGGGATACTGATAGCAGGGAGGCCGCCGAATGGCCCCGCGTGTCTCCTACGCGGACTGGAAATTGGGGATTCGGAATATTCAAATGACGGTAATGTTTGCTGTGGGTCTGACGGTGATTCCATAGCCGCCATAGCATGTGTATTGCTTCCCTGGCTTCCAGAGGTTTGCAGTACATCCTTTTCTCTGGTGAGGGCTGCTTCACGTTCTCGATCATCGTCATCTCTTGTCCTCCTCCTTCCGCGTTCCACTGGCAGCTCATCCGCAGCTAAGATATCCTCATATTCAGAGTCAGAGTCAAAGACATCGGGTTCTGGTGTTGCAAAATCCTTTTGGCTAAGATTTAATGGCGCAGGGGGAGGTTTCCGGCCCGGAGGAAGCACTTCCTGCTGCTTATCTTGGCTCGGTATGGAGCTATCCACAGGAGACCTAGAACCTGTGGATGAGATTGGACTCGCTGTTGACAGTTCTTGCCGGGAATAAACCAGTGATTGATTGTTCCGCGCTTCGGCTTGTTGATCATGAGACACGGTGGGGGGTGTTGTCGGGTGTTCCCTGTCTAGCCCGACAGGTAGATCGCCGACACCAAGGCCGTGCAGAGAAGCTGAGTGAGATGAATGTTGCCTTTCGGCAGTAGTGGAGTGTAACTGAGTGAAGTCACGCCCCTGACTGGCCGAGTCTGTACTGTTCGAAAGCACTCCTCGATTGTTTGGTTGGCTTTTCCGGCCAGGTCCATAGCTGGCCAAAGTGCCACTGCTTTCGGTGTCTCGCAGTCGTAGTTTTGATTCATCGGCTGACGGCAAAGGTGGTGGAGAGCTCTGCAGTTCCTTCACTTTCTTCCTGTAGCGTTCCTTTTCCTTCAATGCGCGCTCGAGGTCTTTATTCAACCCCAGAATAAGTGTTCTTTGCTTATCAACCAACCTCCAGAGCTGGGAGTTCTGAGATGCCGCATGATGCTTCTCTTTCAGAAGGTGTATGATCACAGCTTCAGCTGAGCCTGCGGTGGTAATCAAGTTTCCAATATCGGCCTGGCTGAGCGCATTGGCATCGAACGAAGACTTATGCGTTTGTGAAGCAGACGAAAGCGATGAGATTGCCGAGTCAATTGATGAGGTGCGGGGCATCATACGCTGGCCCGGTCGATTTTGGGGCGTCGATTGAAAGGAGTTTGCTGGTGAGATAGGGGAAGACATTCTGGACTCATGAGAGTCTGCAGGATCTGGGACTTGTTGCACCCGGTTATCACGCATTTTCGGATTCATATCATACTGCTTGAGACTTTCCCAAGGGTCCCTCGCTACTGCTTCCGATCCGCTGGATGCTCGTGAATGAGTGTCAGATGAAGGGGTCGGAACCGTCGCATGTGCCGGGTGGCTTATCGTAGAGTTGTTCTGACACGGGGAAGTACTGCCCAATGACCGTGGAGAGAGTGAAATCTGAGATGGGCTGGCGCTGACTTGTCGGGGTGATGGGAGGTGAAGGTTCGTATGTAGAGGCGATGGTAGAGGCTTGCGGGGGGAAGCAATGGCAGACCCAGAACGTAAAGCCTGTCCGTCAGATCGCGGGCCTAGGTAGTCGCGAGGAATTAGGTCGCTTGACAGTGGCGGGTGAACCAGGACCTGATGCTTGGATGCAGGCGGAATGGGAAGGGGTGCAGGTAGCTGGTTGACGCTGGTATTGTCGCTACCTTGCCGCCGAGGCTGCGACATGGCTTGTTTAGGAGTTGGAGCTCACTCCATGCATGGGAAGGAAACGCGGAACCAGACAATGATTCGACGCTAGACTCGGACGGTTCGGCTGGGGGGTTTCAGCACCAGCGGGCCAGGGGCCAGAGCAACGGTTCTTACGGAGTCGATGGAACCACAAAGATAAGTACCGCGATCTTTCGCCGTAGGGATGCCCTCCCGCTTCACGACATCTGTAATCAGCTAGGAATGCTAGTTGGGCGTGGGGAGAACATTGGAGGAAAGTCCGGTGGTTGCGGTGTTCCTCATAAGACAAGTTGCGAGATCCAAGTTGAGTGGGGAAGGGGCCGGGGAAGAAAAAGGGGGAGGGGGCAGAGCATAAGCAGGAAGGACTCTGCCGCGTCTCTTGAGAAGAGACTGCAATTTGGGGCGAAATCCAGAAAGCTTGGAACGGCCATGGGGGAAGAGAGAGGGAGGAAACGCTCTACTACAATGGTGAAGCGACAGTGCTCCCGAGTCCATGCCTCGAAAGATGAATTCAGGTTCTGCTGCACTCTCGGATGTCTGGCCAAAACGGCTATCCTTTGTCTCGAAAATTGATTGGCTTATATTCCCCCAGTGACATACCCTTAAAAGGTAGGTGCAGATGCCGCTAGTGTCCATGCATGATAAAGCCCACACAGCCAAGGGTCCCTCAGGGGCTTCGTAATCTTTCGCATTGCTTAGATAGTTCCCAAACCGTATCCACCGGCCGGGAATGAGAAACCGAACAAAGTGTCTTCCAGGGTGAACAAATCCACATCTGATGAGAAGAGAGTCATACAATAGGACAGAAGATCGCCAGAACACCATTTCTAATGCATCTTCCGAATGGGAAAATTGGGGGGAACGAAAAACTCAAGAAAAGGAAAGAAAAAGAGTGCCAAGGCATATGTCATAACGCTTTTCCCTCTCCAACGCCTTTATCCCTGCAAATCAACAATCCATCTTGAACTCCCAGAATCCGTAGGTTAAAGATACAATGCTATGCTATATTCCCGGCCATGCCCATGAAAATGGCCTGGGCTGCCAGTTGAAGTGACCAGAAGCCGACTTTCTTGAAACGTCGCTTCCGAGCCTGTTCATCAACCACATCTCGGGCGAAGGCGTCATATACCTGCCCAAAGTTAGTACCATCAATTGTGTGTATGGAAGGTCAACTTACTGCAGCCGAAAGGTCGTCCATCAAACCGCTATCAAAAGTGGTCCAGCTGCCATCAAAATCTCCGACTCGTTTGACAAGACGGCAGTTCACAGGGATGAAAGTGCGCCTTGAATTTATGTAGGCGACAATGGGCCGGATAAGTGCGTTATTGATATAAGAAAGATCACGCGTGAATAGAGGAACGACGGCCCTGACATTGTTCAAGTGGAGGCGAAGGTCCGTGACTAGGAATCGTCTGTCGTCTTCAGAAGCGACCTCGTCTGACGAAGACACATCGGATGTGGTTGCGTCAAGATCCCGATTAGACGAGACCGTCGCTTCTAGCCGGTCATAAAAGTCGGCCATAACCTTCGCAAGGCTCTCATCATTCTCCGCTGGGAACATGATATCGGCGACAATGTCGACCGTTCCCTCGTGGATCCAGGAAAATGGGCCCTGGACTCCGCGGTTCAAATGATCAATATTCAACCCGTCAACGCGAATCCTGTTATGTTTCTTCCATGGGCTAGGTTTACCATCGTCCTCCGCCCCATTATCCAGCTGTGCACCGGTAAAGCTATGGGTTTGTCGAGGATGGATTGTAAACAACGAATTGTCAAATGATCCGGACATCATGTTGGCAGACATGAAGTCATAGAATAGCCATTGCTTTCTCAGTTGAGGCAAGTCGCAGGAGAAGATACTAACAGGGAAAGGCCTGAAGTTATCTGGCTGGTATACGGTTACCAGCACATCGCTCATCTTAAATGAATCAATCTCGAAGTCCCCGGGATTATGCTCGTGTCGATATGACTTAGGATCCAAATCGTCGTCCGACCAATGAACATATCGGCGGTCGACTACTCCGCGGATACCCCGTACCTCCACATCACGGAGCAGTCCTTTACCGTTAATCCATTTCGTAAATGATAGTGTGACATTGACTGTCTCGATTGACACATCAAACTGGGTATAATTGGTGTCCTCCTCGTCCGAAAGGACTCGCTGGTCGGGCATTTCAGGCGTAGATTGATCACCGCGAACAGCAGCGGCAGCTACAGCAGCGGCAGTTTTCGTTGAGCCCTTACTTACATGTCCCGTTCCTTGTCCTGGCCGCCTTGAGACAAAGACGTTTTTAAAGGTAATCACACCATCTCCCCATTTCGGGACGATCGCCGATTCAAACACAACCTTTACCCCGGAAGACTTGGTGAGATAATTGCCTATCCAGCCAGCCAAAGTTTCTGTAGAGCTTAGCATTGAGTCAACGCTCGCCAAATCTCACGCCGGACATACCTTGAGCAAACACGGTATTGATTGCGATAATAAGCAAAGAGAAAAAGGTGGTTGTACCCAAGACTACCCAAACCACATGTCCCAACAGCACCCAGGAAAAGAGAGCGGTTATTTCGTCAAGATTGAATGGCCTCACGCTTCTTATAGAGAACCACTTGAATCGGACTTTGAGCCGTGACCAGAATCCAGTTGCTGCAGCCAACAGTTCTTCTTTCGTGGGCCGGTGCAACTGGGGTATGTGCGGCAAACGATCCATTAGATGGCGATTTGATTGAGCCTTTGGGTGCACCTCATGCAGCTGCTGGTCCGGGCCATGGCTTTCATTATGGACGGCAGAGTCGGTATCCCTAATCAGACGGTCCGGGGAAGAGCGCCCGTCATGAAGATCTTTTGTATTCCTCCGTAAATCGTTCTGTCCCCGGGCATCTTGACCCGTATGAAAACCACGCTTCAGCGCGAGTCGCGAAACATTGCCCAGAGAATTCCTATTCAGTGTTGAGACCTTATGCGGTCTCAACCTCTCCAGAGGAATGGCGCGCGGTGTCCCCGCAGTGTGAATGGAAGAGGCACCAAATACCTGGAAGCCCCGGGAAGCAAATCGTCTCGTAACGTGGATTGGATTTTGTGAAGATGAATGAATTCCGTTCACGGTCTGTCTGCTGAAGAGACTGACTGTTGGGCTTTTTGTATTAGGCGTATGTGGTAAGAATGAGACGCGTGTTGCTTGCAGTCCCCGTCCAGGTAATAATTCCGTGGTCCTCCAGGAGGTGTACAGCCTGCGCCCAAGATTGCCAGACATGATTGCCGTCACATGCTGGACAGTCTGCTAAGGCAGGCAAAGAGTTAAGTCTTCCCCAGTCCTTATCAAAAGACTGCAACTCAGGGCTGTATACTGGAGGTACAGCTGAGATGACAGGTGCATGCGTCTCAATTGCCGAGCAAAAGCACGAGATGTTATCTTGACAAGACCTCGAATAAATTTCCCATGAAATCATCCCGCCTTGACTGGAGCGGGTCCTGTTTGTAATGTTTGCATCAAAAATTCACAATTTCACACCACCACACATCTTTTCCATAGAGTTTAAAATCTACGATAACGGACTTTGCATCCAGTTTACTATCCAAACGGTTAAAGGTTTTTGATCCAGGTTTACTACAGGATGCCTGCACCCACAGCTTTACGGCAGCCTGCCGAGGTTGCAATGACGGAAACTCCTGTTGCACCTCCTATGCTAGGTCAGTCCCAGCCAGTGCCTTATGGATTCCGATCGGGTGGCCATGCTAAATACCTTCTAGAGCAAGATGAAGAAATTCTGATCGACGCTCAGACATCAGCGGAGCAGATCTCGTCAGGGCTTGCACCTTCATTCGAGCCTATCCAGGATGGCGACATGCGCATTGACGAAGAGGGACGACCCATTTTTACGCCAGCAAAAGATACCAACCGGGTATATCGAGTTGAGAGTAGGAAGGTTCCTGTTCCTCCACATAGAATGACTCCTTTGAAGGCTAGCTGGGCACGCATCTACCCTCCTCTCGTTGAACACCTCAAACTCCAAGTGAGGATGAATATCAAGAATCGAGCTGTGGAATTACGTACGTCACGATTCACAACCGACACGGAAGCCCTGCAGAAGGGTGAAGATTTCGTCAAGGCTTTCACCCTTGGATTTGATGTCGACGATGCTATCGCGCTTCTGAGATTGGACGACCTCTACATCCGTTCTTTTGAGATCCGGGACATCAAAGCACTCACTGGGGAGCATCTCAGTCGTGCGATCGGCCGTTGCGCAGGTAAAGATGGGCGAACGAAGTTCGCGATAGAGAACGCTACGCGGACAAGAATTGTTATCGCAGATCAAAAAATCCATTTGCTTGGCGCCGTAAAGAATGTCGATTGTGCCCAACAGGCCATCGTGAGCTTAATCATGGGCAGTCCACCGGTCAGCGACCCTGCACTCATCTTTCCCTTCTTTATTTGGAAGAAGCAACAGCTACTAACCCCTTGACAGGGCAAAGTGTATGGCAACCTTCGCAAAGTGGCTTCGCGCATGAAGGAACGTTTTTGATCGTCGGCTTTATGGGGATTATGATATGCGATTTGCTCTCTTCCTTTACTCTTCTTCCCCTTTCTTCTTATTCTTACGACATGGTATCGGCGTTAGGTATTGAGGTGGTATATGACTTTGATAGAATATAATTGATACGACAACACCGAAATGAGGAAAACGAATACTCCGTTGAGATTGTATCTATTCATATTCGGAAAATTATCTCAAGAGAAGTATGACGTTGAACAAGACTTGACGAGACATCGAGGAGTGTCAGCCTTGACATGCCTAGTCCTTCTTCAAGGGATAGTAGATCTCCTCTACCCCACTCCTGGTAATAACCATCATCTGCAAGCCATCTCCGACCTCGATATGTCTTTCGACGGCGCTAGTGAAGGCGTCTCGTACCAGCTGTTCAACAGTCTCTCTTGGCAACGGCTCCGCTTTCTTGGGCTCTAGAGCATGCCCTTCTCCGCTCCCGGGGATATATTGGTTCTTGAAATTGACCTGGTTATCCAAGAACGGCATGATCAGGCTCGCTGCAGACCCCGCAGCCCTGCATTGCTCTCTCTCGTACGAGCCTACTGGATCGTAGCTGTACAAAGCGCCTTTGCCCTCCTCGTCCAAGCCTGCTAGGATAGCATGCACGTAATAGGGAAAGAACCGTTTCTGGTAGAGGATTGTCGACAAGCGCTGGGCACATGCTCTGACAGACATGGGTTTTCCATGTTGGTATTTGTACATCTTCACCACTGCGTCTAGTCGCTCCTTAAGGGCCTGTCCATCTGCTGCAAAGCCCACAACTGACAAGACTATGTGGGCTCCATCGCCAGTCTCATCGTCACCGCCAATTTTGAACACCTTAGGAACGTAACGGGAGTTGATGTTGTATCCTGCAACGGAACGAGTATCTCCAGCAAGGATCGCGAAATCGGAGCCTGTGATGCCTAGGGTAGAGCCACCGTTATCGGTATAGCTGTTGAGCTAGGTTAGCCTTTTCCTGCGCATTTTAGCAGATGGGAGTGATACATACGGATAGAAAGAATGTTCTCTGTGGGGAGCACTGTTTGCATTTGAGAAGGAGTATCCGATGGCCTCGCTAAGAGGCTGGCCGGAAAGAGTCGTCATTCTTCGTGGAGTTCGATTGAGGCGAAGAGAACTGGTCAGAACCAAGTTTTTAGTTTTGTCGGGCTTGGATCAGCTGGACGTCGCTGCTGTAGCTTAAGGCTTTTCTGAATGTGAGGTCCTGAGGTTGAATCGTAGCAGGGCAGCTAGCTGAGCTGTTACTGACCATCTGACGCGGTGTTGTAGCTGCCTTCTGCTTATATAATCACACTCCAGCTTCCGTCATGGTTTATCCTAAGAAGCTATTACTACAGTTGCCGCCGCCGGACACAAATGTCGTCCTTCCGAGATATGCGCAAGCAGATCATTCAATGAGTCAGAATTGAATCCGGCGCCATTGTCCCTTTTTTACTCCCTCAATGATTCCTATCCTTCCCAGACATCTGATATCATAGCTGCGCACTGCCGTACTCAATCGACGGCAGTGAGCCTTGAAGCTGACTTGGCTTACTTAAACCCGGTGTCGTATCAAGGACTGTCGCCTAGAACGGAGTAAACATGCTTGGTCTAGGGGCCTACGATAGCAGCAGTGACGATGAAGTGGAGAGCAGATCACCTTCTATTCTACCGAAGGTAAAAGAAGCATTAATATAATGTCGACGTCAACTAATACCAAACCAGCAGAAAGGCGACAACCAGCAGGCTCAACCCTTGCAAACGATCAAAGATACAGGTATTGGAGGAATTGTCTACTCGCTTGAACCTGCGGACGTCTAATTGTTATATTTTTAAAGTAGGAACTGTCAATGAAAATACCCCACTAGAGAAGATTCCCGGCTCTGAATCAGACGGACCTGTTCTTGGGCCGACGCATGAGGACTCACAAAATGCACACCAACACCCGGCCCAACCGTCACAGGTTTTCTCAGCGAGCCGTACATTGATCCATGACCTAACACTTCCTCCGACCCCAAACCTAGACATACCACCATCTCCACCTGGCTCTCCCAATCCCGCAGTAAACGCCAAGTTTGTTCACTTTCTCTCTTTGAAAAAGCAAGGCATGCATTTCAACGAAAAGCTAGCTGGGTCTACATCACTCAAAAACCCAAGCTTGCTAAAAAAGATGATGGATCATGCAGGAATCGATGATCAAGCACAGTATCATGCTTCGCTACCGCCTGAGATATGGAGCGCAAATGGTCTGCCAAGATGGGGGTTTAAGGAGGAACTGCTAAAGGCACAGCGAGAAATTCATAGTAGGGCCGAAGAAAGAAAACTGGCGGGGCAAAGAGATGCTATCAATTTCGTGGCTGCCACGCCTAGCGACTTGACCCGAACTGGCTCCGGTTCTAATTCAAGGATGAAACCAAGGTAATATGCTTCTTTGCTTCTATGGTTTTCCAGCTTGTAGGATTTGCCGCCAATTGAAGGCCAGGGCAGTATGGCCAAGCGCACACTGTTTCAGAAGCCAGGAAAGATCTTTCTCCGGCCAAGAAGCCTGCGAGATGCCTCTCTGCGTTGGGGCAAGAAATTAGGCTAGTGATCGTATCTCCCGTTCCCATATGTCTATATCAATGGACCCTCAAGGGAAGGAGTGCTGGTCGGGTGGTCGTACGATTGATCGGAAAGATGGTGGCTACTAGGGGACAACATTCAGGTTTTATTTCCTCCTGCTAGCGCACTTGGGAAATGAAGTTTGAATGACGAGGTAGTGTAGGAGACACCTTATGCTCGCCATGTTATTAGGCAGAATCAACTCCGTACTGTTTATTCTCGTTAAGCGCGTGTCAGCCTCTGATAGGCGTGGCGGGAGTGATAACATTGCTCACGTAACATGAGCTCCGTCAGCTCTACTGCCTAGTGCCTACCGACCTTAGGAACGGCGCCGATATCATTACAAGCTACCGATCTCCTCGCAAGCATCACTTAGTAAACCTCCACATCAAGCCCGCGTCTCCCAACACATCTAGGCGATAAATCATTCCTCAATACAGTTCCAAATCGCGCTATTTGCCCGTCATGAATCACTTTCCCGAAGCTTGGGGTCGCGTAAGGGCATCGTTGCAATGGTTCCATCATGTCGCTAACAAGTCGCTAAAAGCCTAGGGATGACGTTTACGGAGCATACAACCCTTTATATCTTCAGACTACTGGCCCGAAAGCCCACACTCAGTCACCTGCTGTGACTGGAACGTCGGTAGTGGCAGTCAAGTTCAACGGCGGAGTTGCCATTGCTGCCGATAACTTAGGTATAGCCCCGACCTCGTGTTAGGAATTGATTTCATTCTTCTCTAATCTGGAAGCTCCCTATAGCATCATACGGGTCTCTTGCTCGGTTCACCGATGTGAAACGCCTTCGCAAGTTTGGCGAGTCTGCCATTGTCGGATTCAGCGGTGACGTTTCGGACATGCAGTATATCGACCGTCTATTGGAATCCATCGATATCAGGGAAAATTACTCTACCAACGGCAACACTTTGAACGCCAAAAACCTTCACACCTATTTGTCCAAAGTCCTCTACAAACGTCGTTCCGAATTCAACCCCCTCTGGAACCACATCCTGGTGGCCGGATTTGATGAAGATAAGAAACCATTCCTCAGCTCTGCAGATCTGCTGGGGACCACCTTCTCGGCTCCACATCTGGCAACCGGTTTTGGTGCCCATCTTGCCATCCCTATTCTTCGTCGCCTGTTCCCCGAAGAGACGCCCCTTGAGTCAATCAGCAAGGATGAGGCCGTGGCAGCGCTCAGGGAGTGTATCAAGGTTCTCTGGTATCGGGATGCCCGGAGTCTCGATAAATATTCCTTAGCTGTTGTCACTGAAGCAGGAATTGAAATTCAGGAGGACCAACAGGTTGAAGCCCAGAGCTGGGCATTCGCAGAAGCCATCAAGGGATACGGGGCTCAGGTCAACTAGGGTTTGGCATTGAAACCATGCTTGTGCTACTTAACTAATAGAACAAATTTAAGAGACTATGTTAACCGAAAGTCACAACCCCCCGTTTCTTGTTTATGAGTTCCTATATATCAAGATGAACAGACTACCAGGGAGGCTTGGATGAATTCCACAAGAAGCTGTGATACTCTGGAGGTGCGATTCAATCCCCAGTAGGGTCCGGGATGCCTACCCCGTTTATATATCAATTCAAAGCTTAGAAGGGGGCTTGTCGAACACAACACGGTTCACACATGAACCGACGCCCTCGAGGGAGACCTCAACCAAATCGCCGTCTTTCAGCCAGAGTGCGGGTTTACGACCCATACCAACACCTTGAGGCCTAGATGCAAAATGAGCGGGGTCAAGGACACTTGATTAAAGTAAACATAAGGTAACTTACGTTCCTGTGAAGATCACATCTCCAGGCAACAAAGTGGTGCCCTGAGACAAGAATGACACTGTTTTGGCTACATTGAAGATCATGTCCTTGGTCGACGAAGACTGAACCGTCCGACCGTTCAGTTTTGTCGAGATCTGCAAGCTGTTCGGATCATGGATCAGCTTCGAAGAAACAATACCGGGCCCGAATGGTGCCCATCCGTCGAAGCCTTTGCCCAGCCCCCACTGGCCACCGCCGAGTTTTAGCTGCCATTCACGATGAGATACATCGTTTCCTACGGCATAACCAAGGACATAATCCAGGGCCTGACTCTCAGGTACATCTTTGGCTTCTTTGCCGATCACGGCAACCAATTCGCATTCATAGTCCAACCCTTCGCCTCGTTGAGCCATGCGAGAAACGGGAATCTCATCAGTCGGCCCAGTGATGGATGTGACGGGTTTGTAGAAAAGAACAGGAAACTTCGGTAACGGTAGGTTTGATTCTTTAGCGTGCTGCTCATAGTTCAGTCCCAGACAGCGCACAGTCCCGATGTCTTTCCTCGCCAGTGGGGCCAAAAGCATTTTGATCTCAGCGACCTGGTCTGTGACATTATGTTGACCGAATATGTCACCTTGGATGACCCGTGCTTTGGTCGCCTGAGCAATGTCGCTGGCGCCAGCCGACAAGAGGGCGTCTCCGTAATAAGTGTGACCATCCTTAGCTAGAAAGCGAACGAGGCGCTGGGAGAGGATACACGAGTAAGTTCCCTGGGAACAGACTGGATGACCAGATCTACAGACCAGATCTGTGGAGGGGTGGACTCACAGAAAAGGTAGCCATATTGGTCGGATGTATTATAAGCCAAGTATAACAATAAGCTAGACAGAGTTGGGAGAGGAGTACCGGTAGGCAGTGTATATATATCGTGGGGATGTAGGACAACAGTCAGGGTTCGGATATCGATGACTTTTGTACTCAGCGACCAAGATGTCGACTGCTTCTCTATCTAATCCTAGATAGTGTCTAGTACGTACACAGATAACAGGCGGGCTGGTTCCTTCCTCGGCTCCAGCATTCTCGGCCGGAAGGGGAAGGAAGCTTGGCTCCTCCGTATGGGGTAAGCGGATCGGCATGGAACCTCCGGGGCAAAGCCGTTTTGCACTTCCGACACTCAGGTCTTCGACTCGGTGGTGCAGCAGCATCAGCATTTGCACCCAATTCAGGCACATTTGTATAGAACCAATGGCTCGACTGTCAGGCCTGCAAAGGGAAGTGTTGTCTCTCTATCGGAAATGCTTGAGGGAGACCCGGAAGAAACCCATCGTGAGCACCTCTTGACACAGTCGAATGCTTGTTCCTTGCAAACCAACGGACACCGGCTGATTCGCTACGCCACTTCATTGTGTCATGATCAGGAGACGAGGGAGAATTTCAGAGGATATGCTAGGTGCGTCCCCTGGTTGAGATGAATGCTGGATGACATCTCGCCTCGACAATGTCATCCCCTGGCTACAGCCGCGGTTTTGTATACTAATATCAAAACAGAGCAGAATTTCGGAAGCATGCTTCTGTTAGCAAGAAAGATTTCAGTGCGGTAGAGTATCTACTACGGAAAGGGCAGAGGCAGCTCGAGATGTACTCATCCCCGGGAATCCGCAACATTCGGTGACCGCAGTGCCCTGCTCCCTCCGACCAAGCCCTATGACCTCAACCCGGTATTCCGGTATTACTCGTTCGGATGTAGGTAAATGACCCAGGAAACGAGATGTAACAGTCTTGCTCCCTTCAACCAGCTTATGAGGCTCACCACCTAGGGAGAAAGTCCAAGTACCACGTGACCATGGAAGGTTCGCGCTGGATCCCGTAGCCGCTTATCTTATCAATGCCGGCAACCGAAAGCTCCAGTGGCATCTGGGGTCATCCAGCGCCATCGCTATCCTACCGTGCATCTCCTAGAATTCTCCGTTTGCTTCTGGATGACGGATCAACCTGGATGATGGCGCATTCTAGAAGTCCGCAACTTGGAAATATAATGATGGATCGTAACGAGCTCACACTACCTGTTTCTACTCAGTATCTACATCCTCATCGTGAGAGTATAAGTCGCTATTCCCATTCAGAATACAAATCCACAAGAACAATTTGTTCAGATTCTATTCAATTTCCATCCCAGCGCTCATCGCTCTTGACACTATCCAACAATGGCTTTCTTTCCTCGATTCACTGGTGACTTCTCACCCTTGTTCCAACTTCTGGACGACTACGATGTTCACCGCTCCAGCCGCCCGAAAAACAGAAAGGTCACGCCTGTCCGCTCTTTCACCCCGAAATTTGATGTTTACGAGGTGAACGATGTATATCACCTCGATGGCGAACTGCCGGGGGTCGAGCCAAGCAACATAGAAATCGAGTTCTCCGATCCACACACCCTTGTCATCAAAGGTCGTGTAGAGAAGAACAATGTGCCGACGCCTCTGGCGACGGCTCAAACTTCGGCCATAAAGCCACACCAGCCAACGGTCGAAGATGAGAATGAATCAGAAGACAAGGAAATGGTTAGCTCCTCAGACAACAGTTCCGCGCAGTTGGACGCACAGGAGCAACCCGAGCCGGCCTGCAAATACTGGGTTTCCGAGCGCCAGACTGGCGAATTTTACCGCATGTTCACCTTTCCCACGAGAGTCCATCAGGATGCAGTCAAAGCCAACCTGACAAACGGCATCTTGTCCCTGCTGGTTCCAAAGGAGCCTGTTCCTCAAGTCAAGAAGATTCGCCTCGAGTAAAGCAGCAGACCGTGATATATTCGCATTCGCATTCTACCTACCTGTTTCCGCCTTCAGATGTTTTCCAGACCGGCTTTTGCAAGAATAGCATGGGTTTGCGGTCTTCCGTCAGTTCACTAATGACATGGCTGTCTCTGCATTTGGTGGGGTTTAGGGTCGGGAGTACATGGGTTGATTGTTGTATCCTTTCTATTTGTCTATTTGTTTTTTTCTCTCTCTCCTTTTTTTCAAGTCTGTATCATAAAGCTATCAAGGGATGATGAATGGTGAATACTTAAATTTTCCATACATGCCCCTCGTAGAATACAAAGTAGCAGCGACACCAAGCGATGGGCCCAGCACTAGACCTCCCATTGACATGTCTGATTCGGTCTCCCGCTACTGCTCGACTCCATGCTCTTCCACTTGGGATCTGGCGAAAACAAATCATCCACGTGGTGTAAGTCATATTCGAATCTCGAGCCACTGGTGTGGTGATTCTGGTCAGCACTATGTATGACATTAAGATAATACCTAGCCTAAATTTATCCCTTGCGTTCACCCAGCCCATGTGCATAGGCTTCAATAGTATGCATGCAGGATGCACTATGGGTATCAATCATTGCGATTGCGGGTCTGCGGCTCATGTAAGAGCCATGATCTAGCTGAAGAAGGTAACCCGACGGACCGGCTTACACAATATCATGAGGCGGTTACTCCTTGTATACCTAGTGCCGGGGCCTAGATAGCTACTTGGCGGGTCGGGTCTCTGTTTGGCGGAGGATCACCGCCACATCCTTCGGGCGGAAGAGCTGACTTGATATGTCCACCGGATGTGTAACATCGTCTTCTGCTTATGCTTTGACACCCCGTCTCTGCCAAGTGGTTCGCTCCGTTATGGCGAGTGTCTTCTGAGTACTCCGTAGATCACGCGCGACTCCAGACCTGCCCGACTTCGCTAGAGATGCACGGATACTGCCTTCCTCACCCAACTCGCAAATACGATATCTAAGGGCCTCACCGCTACATGAATTTGTTTCCGAATGTTGGCTGGATGGTAGCACGCCACATATTTTCCTCTTGGCATTGGTGAAGTGTTCGTACGATACACGACGCTCACAAACGAGATGAACTGAGGGAGTATAGTGCCTCGCTTTTCCCTTTACCAGCCCCAGATATATACACGGGGACGGAAGGACTGAAGATGGTGAATCAAGTGCAAAAGATAGCCCAACACAAGAGAGAACTCCTGACTTCCCAGCGCCGGTCGAACTTGGTATATAGAAAAGAAAACACAAACGCTCATCCACAAAAGGGTATTTGTAGGGTAAGGGTGATAAAGATAACAATGTAAACAAGATATCCGCCCGTAAACCTCCAAGTGGTATCCCAACACCAAAGCATTAGACTATCAGAAAAGAGGCATTGGCGAAGAAATGGCGATGTAGCAACTAAATAAAAACGCGGGAATAATAAAGAGAATAGTGACATAAAAAAAAAAAAAAAAAAAAAAAAAAAAAAGGAGCCATCGCGCGTCAATGGAAGATGAATGGTGAAGCCGCCATGTAAAGATTTGGGCGTTTAGCATGTTTCGTCAACCTTTTATGTTGACATTCAATACTCCGACTTCTAGTCCTTCCTCGCGGTGGACCAAATGCAGGTCTTCCTGCGCCCGCATCCCCCGCGCTTTCTGGGACTGACATCCGAAGTGCATCAAGATTTGGCTTTGGTAGCCGAGCAGTCTCCATGGAGCTGCTGCTAGCCTGTACGTCACACTCTTGTGCTGTTACCTGTGGTAGTTTCGTTGCGCAGATTGTCTCCGATTGAGCTATGAATGCCCCTGTGTTCTGCCACTTGGCTGACGGGTAAGGTGCAGAATCCGCGGAGACAACTGAGATCCCTGGGGAAGAGGCTTCAAGGCTTCTCAGTTGATGGCAATACTGAGAGAAAGACATCGCATGCCTAGTTTCATGCGAAATTGTGAATGATGAACTCCTTAGGCGCCCTTTCATGGGTGTCCGTTGGAAGTCATGGCACATTGAAGTTCCGTGGGTCGACTGGCCACAGACTTCGGCTTTGTGCCCTGCCAAAGGATCATGAAGGCTTGAACGGCGGTGCACAGGAATCTGGTCTTCAAAATCTGAGCAGGTTTTGGCATCCCAAGTTTCGAGATCCCTCAGACTACCACCAAACGTAAACCTGCGGGATCCTCCGGAGTAACGCGCAGATGTGTGGGAATCCGTGGATCTTCTGGTGGAACGGACAGAAGCTGCGGAACTGTAACCGCTGTCGACTTTACTGTGTGGATGTTGGAGTTCTTTGTGCTCGTGATCTCGCAAGGTGCAATCCAGCTTGGGAGCAAACATTTTCTCCTCGTCAGGTACACATATTCCTTCGTCTCCTGTCTCGTTCCCACGGTGTCGGTAAGGGGTTGATATTGTCGGCGATTTCTCAAACGAAAAAGGACTTGCAGGGTAATCTTCAGACTTTTCGGTCTCAAAGGCTGCAGGGATTTGTAACATTGACGCAAATCCTCTGTTTTTATGGAGACCCGGATGATACTCCTGCTTCATTTGTAGGCTAACATCGGAGTTCTCAAGTTCATCATGTCCGCTACTTCTAGTGAGTTCGGCATCTTGGGATGAACCAGGTACACACCCATAGGCTGATTGGGGTTCACAATTCAGATTGGTTGGAATTTGGTGTGCATGGTATTGGGTTTCCTCAATAGGCTGCTTGGATTCCGGAGCATGCGTACCGACGTCACTGGCCTCTATAGTTGGGCTGTTGGGACGATTTAACCGAGTCCTATCACTAGGGCACGGAGATGCAGAACCATTCACAACCCGTAGTGATCCTAACTTGAGCGCCCCTAGATGGGTGTACTCAAAATCATTGGGTGTCGGTGGACGTAACTGAGTGAGTGGGCCGGATGGCCTATGGGCAGCATTTTCGCAATCGGACAATAATAGCCGTGATGGTATGTAGGTTCCGTTCCGGTAGTTGATTGAGGTGTTAGTTTCCTGATCGATTGGCGAAGACAGTCGCCGGGCAGTATCTCTGGTTGACCTCCTCGTTGCGACTCCAGGTCGTGTTAGCAGAGACCGTCGACGAATCAGAGAAAACCCTTGGCTGTCTACCATGAAAAGTGTGTTCGACGATGTTGCTTCTTCGATTGTGCTATGATGCATAGTACTTTGGGTTCTTTGTAGTGGAGAGTGCGTAGAATATGATCTGCTCGGTTGTCGGGCTATTGAAGGCTCTGGACCATTCCGGGGTGTGGCTGTATGGAAGCTGCCCTGCCTGGAAGAACGGTGGGAGGCTTGCGCGCCCATAGAGTCTGACATGCTCGTAGTACGAACAGATGAGCGCAGGCCAAGATCATCTGGCGCTTTGACCATCGACTGGCATTTCCTGGCCTTGTTGACAGACGGCCATGGTGCCCCAGGTTGATAGGAGACAGAAGGGAGAGACTGTGATCTCCTTCCACCTGTGTCAGACTCAGGGGCACTGATGGGAATGGAAGTCCCGGTCCAAGGGTCTTGCCAAGCAGTAGCCTGGGAGCGCGTAGGGGAGTTGGAACAAGAAGCTTGATGGGATGCGCGGGGGTTGGATGACCCTAGCGCTGCTTTGTTTGGCGGCGGTTTCGACAGCCGATTTGAGCGGCGGCGCTTTTCTTTGCTTTGCACCGAAAGGAAACCTCCCATGGCTTCCTTTCACAAATGGACCCGATATAGGTTTAAACAGAACCTGATACCCTCTCTGGTCTAAAGGTACGAGGACGACATGGACGGTCTGCAACGTCAGACGGTTCAGCAGTGGCGCCTAGTGGCTGGTGTAAAATTTCTCCCAGGATTTAATCCTGTAATGCCATAACAGTGGTCAATCCTGAAAAAAGGATGTTGGTACCAACCAGGTTGGAAGCGCCAGGCGCCTGCCTGTGAGGTAGGCCAAGAGACGTCTCGATGGGGCGATCTCTACCTCCAATGGATTTGAAAGATCGATTAGACCCGCAGCAAAAAGGGAAAAAAAAAAGAAAAAAGAAAAGGAGCAGGAAATTCTGGGAAGTGTTGTTTCGATCTTTCGCCCGAAGCGATGAATCGTGAGGCTTAGCCTGGAGCACGAAAACCAAAAGAATATTTTCGAGAAAATGGGGCCAAAAGCAAAACCCAAGGCGACTATATAGACGGCGAGAGGGAATCGAGACCCAAGATCAAAGGCGGAATAATAAAATATAAAAACAAAAAAAAGGCACGGGTAGGAAGAGCCACGTCCAACTAGCGGCTTTTGCCTTCCCTGATTCGCAAAAGGAACAGACGACTATAGACAGACTCGAATAAATGAGATGACAGCCGTAGGTAGGAAACGAAACCAGGAAGGGGGGAGAGGGAGGGCGTTATGCACGAGCAGAACAAAGAAGGTACAAGAAGGGAAAACCGAAATACAAGGAGCCCCGATCCCTGATCTTCCTGGGAAAACACGGGGTTGACTGGGACGGACTGAATGAGAAGCAAGATAGATTAGGAATCGCAGCTGGGGTAAGTAAGGGAAATAAGATAACGAAGTGGAGTGGAGGTGGACTGGGCTGCCATGGTTGAGGATGCACGAAAGACACAACAATGACGAATGCGTTATCCACAGGCAACTGTAGCTCTCACGGACAACGGAATTGGGAGCGAAACGATGGATCGACAGGTTGCAGACGGTCGGGATGGGAACCAGCTTATGACAAGATCATTGTGTGAGTGGGTGGGTGGATGTGCCAGGGCCAGAACAACCACCGGTCAATCAGCCAGCCAAGGTACCCAAGGTACGAAGTACGTCGTAGTCGTAGGTAGATGTCGGATGGAGGAAGGAAGATGGAGCCATGGACAAAGACAGCTGGGACGGCGTGGCCACGGGGCAGAGGGTTTTCCATTCAAGACACAACGCCATCCCTGAATGCGGCAGAGGCAATGCAGCCAGAAGCACCCAAGAAAACCGAAATGAAAGGATGGACTGCATTGATGATGATGATGATGATGATGATGATGATGATGATGATGATTATTCTTATTATTATTCTAGTATCCTTCCTCTTCTTATGACCATCCTCTTTGATTATTCAATATGTTTCGGGCGGAAAAGGATAAAACACTATCGTCTAGTGTGGGTGTCTGCCTGCAGTTACGCTGTGGACTCAGTCCGACTGTCAGTGCTCTTTCTTAGGACTTGTGGACTCGGAGTGTCGGAAAGGACTAGAGGAGGAGGGGATACGTACCAAGAGTCTACGAGAACTAACTCCTGCTTAGTTCAAACCATTTGGGATCGAATATGGATCTTCAGGACCATCGTTTGTTTTAGCTCCAGCCGTGGATCCCTCCAGGGGGAGAAAGCTTGACGGGGATGGCGCCTTGATTGGTGCCGGGGTGGCCGCAACCAGAACTAGGCGACTAGTCGCTCCTTCCGTACCTTGGTCAGTGAGAGTAGTCAGGATGTTACGGAGGAAATGAAGATGGCCGGTACCTAATCATCCATCTTTCTGGATACCACAATTCAGGAAAAGGTGCTTCCTCGGCGCCAGTGTATCTATCTACTCCGTACCGACCACTTACTTAGGTAGATATGACTAGATCCCCGATCCAGTGACAATTGCCGACCCAGTGCCTACATAGATACAAGTCATCCGTACCGTACTCCCCGTATATGTATGTACCTAGCCACCGCCAACTCCTATTGAACTACCGTACTAGACGCCTACCTATCTAGATGGTAGATAATGGTTAGCTAGTACTACGGAGTACCTACTTCGTAGGTATCTACATTGTTTGATTGAGCACGGAGTATCTACGAACGTATTTTCTTCCAACCGCCCCGCCCCACCCCCTCCTCCTCCATAAGTACCTGCCAGTCGGATGTTACGAACTTACGATGTAAATACTCGATACTCCCCGGTGGTAGGTAGTAAAATTATACTGTTTGGTAGGACTCTCCTGTCAGCAGCGACCAGCATCAGTCCGCGCAGTCCGCACAGTCCATCTTTTGAACGAGAGACGTTTCAAATCCCTGAATCCTGACAAGGAGTCTCTTATCGATGTGCCATTACCTCCACTGCCTGGGGTTTAGGTAGCTTCTGGCGAGTCAGGACATCTCCTTATCCGGGTTGAGGTTCGGTCCTTCAGGCTTTCCCCCTTCCGGCTCCGGCTCCCTTCTACTAAGAGGACACCCCGTCCGCAGCCACACTAAGTTGGCACTTAGTACGGAGTACAACAACCGGTTACTGCAAGCAAGCAGGAGTGTGTCTCTGACGGTCCGACCTGACCGAGAACGGCTAAGGTTTGGTCAGTTCACATACGCTACGAACCGGATCGGTGTGCTTGCACTGCTTGGAAGCGTACAGGATAGGTCTTCAACGCAGACGCTTCTGCAGCATCTGCCTGTCGGTCAGTGGTCGGATTACACCGCGTCTTTACCAGTCGCATGGCGCCTTCTCCCTCGAGCCAACCGACCTTATCGGTTGTCCCTCTGCTTACTGCCGAGGAATTTGAAACCGCCTGTCACGCCTTTTTAGATCGCGTTCACGTGGCGGGCGATACGAAGGTGGGATGGTCGTGGATCCGACTCGATCAACGGGTATGTTGTAGTTGCCTTGCTGCTCCATGGTGTCCGGCATTTCTTTTCTTTCCCGCCCCCTTTCTGCTTGTCGACAGTCGTCCAGATGGAAATCCTTGGTGGTGACGACACGCATCTTGGCCATTGATTCCGGGGATGGCCTGATTCGTCCGCCCTTCCTTTCTTTTTTTTCCCCAGCTAATCCATCAGGCAACGGGTCCGATTTTGAGCATTTCAAGGGAGGTTGGTCATGTGAGCACCCTCCATACTAGTAGCGATGAATCCATGCCGGACCCGGAGATGAATCAAGTACTACAGTGGGGGGCCTCAGAAGAAGACCCCGTCCGTGAAACTGGAACCCTTTCCATTGAACTCGATTCTATAGGTATTGTCTAACATCTGACAGGAAGCTCTCATCCGTGCGCCCGGGCCCAGCGTCTCTTTACAGGTAGTTTATGATGTTCTCCTTTCCCCCACGTACCAAGTCCCGGTCTTGTATTTCCAGTTACGGCAGGACAGCTATCCGGGGCCGCTGGGGATCGACGCGGTCTACCAATACCTGGTACCGGACCAGTACAGAAAGGAACTTCAAAGCGTTGGCATCATGGGTGGTATTAGTTTCGGCGTATGTGCAAGTTCTCTCAACCCTAGCCCAAGCTGGAGCTTATGCTTCGTAGTATCACCCAGACTCTGGAACTCCAGCGTTTTTCGTCCATCCATGCCATACAATGGATGCTATGAGGCATATCGCAGGACAACGCCGCCTCACCCCCGAGGCTTATCTCATAATCTGGCTCGGGTTGGTGGGTAATCGTCTCGGTCTTCAGCTGCCAAAGGAACTCTTCACAAAGGAGGGCATGGAGATATTCCAAGGCACCATGTGACTCAGTTTGAAATGTATCACAGTACTCCCTTCCCTGTTGGGATCCCTCCCGGCCTGGCAAACACATGTCCAGTACGGAGAAGAAGCAATTAGTCTTCGTCGGACGAAGCTTCCATTGGCACATCACTATCCTCGTCCATCGGGGCCTCCTCTTCGTCGCTTTCCTCCTCACGCGGTCTCTTGAGACTATGGCCAGCCTGGGCTTCTCCGTTGACTTCCCCACTGGGCTTTGATGGCAATGCCGCTGATCCTGGGGGGCCGCTGAAGATCGATTTCTGGAGCTCTGTGGATGCTCCCGCGGTTTGCCCGGTAGCAGTTGTAATTGGTAAATTGTACGTCCCGCGGAGCCGGGCGATAACATCCGACGTGCCTTTAGCATAAACAATTTTCTACACACCCGAGTCAATGAACGAGGAACAGCCACATTGCACCATGGAACATACCATTTGTTTACCGAAGAACTCAAACCCCTGAAGCGCCCTCATAGCCTGCGTGCTGGCCTGAACATCCTTGAAAACAATATGAGCTTGACCGCGCATCTTTTCGGTTTTCATGGCGACGACATCCAGAACGGTGCCGTAGGTCGAAAAAAGCATGTAGAGGGAGAGTCGTAGGTCATGTTTCCGTAACTTATCCGGTAGGTTGGTACAGTATAAACTAGAAAGAAGGTGAGTCGATGTGTCAACCTAGACAGAGCAATCTGGATTTGAAACTAACGTCTGGTTTGGTAGACCGGTAGTACCACCGCGCTGTGGAATCACTCTGGTGGCCATTGTTGCAGAGCGACGTCGAAGACCAGGGAATCAGATACAGCACTGGTCGGACAGGACGCAGTACAAAAGATCGAATGGTACACCCCGGCCCAAGAACAGAAGCCAATGGGAAGCGACACTTGAAGCCTGCACAGCTAGTAATAATCATGTCGGACTACAGCTGAAGTCGAACCTGGATTGAGCGCAAGGGTCATGTGATATATTATGTAATTGGAGCACATACCCGCCCGCGTCATCGTCGGGGCCTAAGTAAATGTATACGCTACCCACCTTTCCCCTCCCCCTTTCTCCATCCCTCTCTACCTCATACCTTTCGTTTAGTTAGCACGGCAGTAGAGAGCTCCTCCTGTCGCTTAAATCACCATGGCCGCCCCGGAAGCTCATCATCTTTTTCACAACCCAATTGCCGATCACTCGTTCTCATCTGACAAGTCGACCCTCGCCGTTGCGCGGGATAGCAATGTAGAGCTCTACCAAAAGTCAGGCAACAAGTTCTCGTTGACCGATGAGCTGAAGGGTCATGAGAAGACAGTGACTGGAGTAGACATTGCTCCCAACAGTGGCCGTATTGTTACTTGTTCGCAGGGTAAGCTACCCTTCCTTTCCTTGTCCTGCAACGCCCCTGTCTAAATGGACACGGAAATAGACCGCAACGCCTACGTCTGGGAACGGACTGCCTCAGGGTGGAAACCGACGCTTGTCCTTCTTCGGATTAATAGAGCGGCCACTTTCGTGCGGTGGTCACCATCTGAGCAGAAGTTCGCTGTTGGCTCCGGTGCCCGCGTCATTGCGGTATGCTACTTTGAGGAAGAGAATGACTGGTGGATCTCGAAGCACCTGAAGAAGCCCATCCGGAGCACTATTACCACTCTCGCGTGGCATCCGAACTCCGTCCTCCTGGCTGCAGGCTCGACCGATTCTCACGCCCGAGTCCTTTCTAGCTTCATCAAGGGCGTCGATACACGCCCGGAGCCGAGCGCCTGGGGCGAACGCCTGCCATTTAACACAATCTGCGGTGAATTCCTGAATGATTCGGCAGGTTGGATCCAGGGATTATCCTTTTCTCCCAGTGGGGATGCGCTTGCCTTCACTGGTCATGACAGCAGCGTCACTGTCGTATACCCGAGTGCGCCGGACCAACCTCCTCGGGCGATGTTGACCATCGCCACTCGCCTTCTACCATTTAACAGTCTCATTTGGAATGGGGAAAATGAGATCATCGCTGCTGGCCATGTTAGTCCCACTGATTTTATTCCTCCAGGAGAACTGGGTCATACGACAGATAGCTAACAGCCACGGACAGGATTGCGAACCGTACCGTCTTCGTGGTGATGAGAGTGGATGGCAGCTTACCGGGACCATCGAGAACAAGGAAGGGCCAGGTGCTGGGAGCGCTCGCGAAGAGTCTGCGCTTCACATGTTCCGCCAAATGGATCTCAAAGGACAAACCCAAGCCGATACCCAGCTCAAGACCACCCACCAAAATACCATTAGCACGGTTAGGGTCTATGAATCGGCCGATGGTGCTGTGCGCCAGTTTAGCAGTAAGAAAAATCCCTTTTGTTTCTGCCCCTGTGAGCTGCGCTAATCTCTGGATGACAGCGAGTGGAGTCGATGGCCGTGTGGTCATTTGGACCATTTGAGCAGAGCACATCCTCTTATGGACGCGCTCTAGTGACCGTGGAGGCTGCAGAATATCGAATGCATCAGGCTTTGTGCGGCGTCACGGGCGAAATAGCCTCATGTACATAGATCGAAGTCGCCACCATGTATAAATCCAGAATCTATCTATCTTAGGGCTCCTAGGTCCATCACTCGTAAGTCGTGGGATCGACCCGAATCCTTACCGTACCGTTACGCAAGGGCCGAGAATGCGTCCGTGACTCCACCTCATGGGGCGGTCAGGGGTTCCCCGGATTTCTCCAACGTCACGAGTCACGAGTCCCTCGCTCTTGAACTCCAACAGCGAGTCCCCCAGCTGCTGCACCGCAGCAGATACCGTCAAAGACCATGAAGAGCATTTCAGCGCGATGATAGCTTCTTACGCGACTTGCTTTCTGTTTCCCTCCATTTTTACCTACTTCTCCTTTATCTTGCCGGTTCATGCGTTCGTTCGCCTTGAAGCGGACCCGATATCTCCTAGTCATGCCCTACGGCCTGTCCCCCCGAGCCTATATAACACACTGGAAGAGCTTGCGCGCGTGGTCGATGTCTCGTACTGTGTTGGAAGCACGGGGCTTCAGAAGCCCTTCGAATGCCTGAGTCACTGCGGTGATCTCAAGGGGTTTGAACTATTAACTGTAAGTCGGCCTGCTGGAAGCACGCTACCCGAGTCTATTGACGCCCCCGGTAGACATGGAATACCGGCCCATTCCTTTCGGATTCCTGTGGCTACATTGCGCTCTCCCACTTGCCGTCCCCTAAGCGCATCATTGTTGCTTTCCGTGGCACCTACTCCATCGCGAACACCATTGTTGATCTATCAGCCTACCCGCAAACCTATGTGCCATACAAAACAGGACCCGAGGATGGTGGCGAGGGGCCGAGATGCTACAACTGTACTGTCCATGCGGGGTTCATGACATCCTGGCTGAACACGCGCTCGATGATCCTCGACCATGTCGCGGCCGCAAGAGAGCAATACCCTGACCACGAGTTGGTCCTAGTTGGTCACTCGCTTGGTGGGGCGGTCGCTGCGCTTGCTGGGATTGAGATGCAGCTACGAGGCTGGGAACCTACGGTGACCACGTTTGGAGAACCAAAGGTTGGAAACAAGGGCTTCGCTGAGTTTCTCGCCAAGATGTTTCGGCTGGAGGGTACAGCGGAGGACTTCTCAGCTCGAGAATGGCGGTTTCGCAGGGTCACGCATGTTCGTGATCCTGTACCCCTCCTACCTCTGGAGGAGTGGGGATATGCAATGCATGCGGGGGAAATATTCATCTCCAAAGAAGACCTTCCACCGTCCGTAGATGATGTCCATTTCTGCGAGGGCCCTCATGATGCACGATGCATATCCGGGGCGGAAGGAGAAAGGGCCGTGGCGATCGCCCTCTTTGAAACGGCCTCTTTGGCCACGGACACGAAAGCACACGTCAATTGGGATCGCGCTTATCCTAGTGAGCAGCAGGCCCTGTCGAGCGAACATCAACCGTCCCTGCACCTACAGGATGCGGACGCCCAGCACCGGGGCTTGTTCGATCTACCCTGGCATCTCATCCCGTCGAAGTACCGACTGTGGGAACTCTTCTTTTCCCATCGAGACTACTTCTGGCGCGTGGGTCTCTGCGTTCCTGGTGGCGACCCAACGGGTAAGGGGTGGTAGATCTAGCCGATCCGGATGGCAGATGCTCTTCGCGTCTCAGAGGAATAACCAGAGTCAAATATGGCTGCGTAGCAAGCTGTTCGCAATCAGTGCGGCTGTAGAAGACGGAAATTATTGATGGCTTGAGATCTTCTAATGTGGCTCCAAAATGGGTATCCAGCAATAATGCGGCATCAGCCTAGTGAAACGATGATCAACGAAATATACCATTTTATCTCTTTGCCCTAAACGCATCCCCACTTAACCAGATGATCTTCCTATAAGTGTATGATAGAGAACGCAAGGACCCCTGGCCATATGCAAGCCATCTGTAAACCCGACAGGATGGAACCAACACAGTAGGTAGATCGAAACTGCCCCACCAAACCACCAACTCCATACGGAACAAGCAACTATGACCCTAAAACCGAACTCTACTGACAGTCTGACACAGAACCTTCGATGGACTGATTCTCTGCACAAAAGCATAAGTACTATGAAATAAGTATGAGTGAAACCCACCCAAGTGACCCCCACTCCCCAGCTCCCTCCCCCTCCCTCCTTTGCACTTTCCTGTACGGAGTACATAGTTACAGTCAGTCATAACCTTGCAACAAAGAAAAGAAAAGAAAAAGAGCACGAAAGGGAGTATAGAGTATTTTACTTCCCAAACGGGGTCACATTACCTTACTTTTCGGTATAGTAGTAATTGAATACTAATAGCCAGTATGGAAATAGATTTTTCCAATGAGGCGGTATGTGATAACGATAGTTACGGACAACCTATTTCACGCTTTATGACTAAAATGCAAAGGCCTTGTCTCGTTCCTCTTCGTCGTTGTCAAGAAAGTCAGTGGTGAAAGTAGGGGACCTGAATAAGGAAGATGTAGAGGGACTGAGTTGATTCTGGTATCGTGGTTGTTGTTGGGGGTTGGGTCTTTGGGCTTGGATGGCTGTTCATGGTCCTTGTGGATATCATTATGAGGTGTGTGGGTTAAGTGAGGGTGATGGTGGGGATATTCTGAATTCAGGATTACATATTGTATTGGGCTGTGTGTTGTCGGGAGGGAGCCCCATATACATATGTGTGTTTGTTGGAGGGTGTTTGATGCCCGAGGATGAGGAATGCGCGTTAGGTAGCTTTTGTTGAGCTGAGTAGCTGGGACTAGACTTATTGGATGGATGCGAGTCATGGGATATCGTTGCACATGGCATGTAAAGAAATCGAGAACATATTGAGAGGTATATTGATGCGCTAACAATTAAATAGTGGGGAAAGAACGCACACGTTGAACGGAAACAAGGAAAGAGACAACGAAGAAACACAAAGAAGGAAAAGCAGGGGACGGGGGAAAGAAAGCAGAACAGCCCCAAGAAAAATCTCATCAAATGTCATAACACATAAAAATGTCATCCCAGCATCCCTGGCATTCACTCACTTGCCCGGCTCCAAGCTAGGAACAATCACAGGCCCATACTTTACCACCGTGCCAAAAGTTCCATCTCCCTGTACCATGAAATCGACGGCCAGGTTCAGCTTCCCACTTCCCTGACCTGCCATCGTGTGACCATACATCGTGTTGACGACATCGGGATCGTAGGCAACAATGGCCACATAGTTGCGACGGCCCATGAGCTTCCGGTGTTCACGAGGCTGTCCGGTCACGTCGGACTGGAATAGCTCCAGCATATCTTCTTTGGTGTCGGTTGGTTTTGAAGGCGTCGAGCGCTGGCCATTCACAGGAACATAGAGAGGCTTGTTGCTGCTGTGGAGAAGTTTGATAACATATGACGGGGGAGGATTGTTCACCACTGGGGACGATATGAGCTGATACATGGTCTTGTGGTTGGAAGGAAAAGACGGATCATGCACCAATCCGGCGCCACAGGCATTAACGGCGCCAGAAAGGAACGTCATGCGCAGCGACTTTTGATGCGCAATGCCCTGAAGGGTACGAATGAGGTACGTCCGCTCAAGGTCCTGTACAAGCGTTTAGTCTTGATGGGGCTCAAAGGTGCCTACAAGGTTGACTTGACATACCTTGGACTCATGAGTCCACTGATCTCGGAGCTCATCCAAAAGATCCAGCTCGCCGAACGGGCTGAGGATTCCGCCCATGAGACCGGTTTTGCCTACAGCCCGCTTGATCGAATCGAATCCAGACCCAACCATGTCCTTGGCCCCGACGACGCCGGCGACGGAGCTGGTAACCTTCCCGAGGACATTGTATGCCCCCGTGACGGCCCGCTTGCCCGTAGCAACGGTGTGCGCAATGTGTTCTGCGGTCTCCAGTCGTGGGTAGATGATGGGCACCGAGAGCATCCACAAACAATGCTGTACAGTTGGGGGGAGCATTGCAATCTTGGGAAAGATGCCTTGATAGGTTGGCCCCGCTACGACCTGGTGTGGATTGCGCTCCGAGCGACAGTCCAGGCCGACGGCAACCACGGCGGGCCCCAGGTATTTGACAAAATGCCAGCCAGTACCGGTGATGGTGAACAAATCGATGTCGGACCGGGAATTGCGGAGCAGGTCCAGCGTGGTATGGTGCTGGAACAGCAGGTACATCTCGGTCCCCACGCGTCCGATGTTCTTGAACATGTTCGAGAATTGCATATGCTCCGGGTAGGAGCCAAACCCATCGAATCTGCGTGCGTCAATACTTCAATGCCACCCACGGGGCAGGCACGGACTTACATATCATGATCATCAATCTGACAAACATAGGGAATCTGAGCAAAGGATTCTCTCAGATACGGCTGATCGAAGTGGCTGGTATAATAGTGGAAGTACGCATGCGACACGTCCTCTTCGTGGGCGGTGGTCCAGGGCGTCTTTTTCCTGATTTCCTTTCCACTCATGGCCAGCCACTGTTTGAGGCATGGAACCTCCTTCCACATCCGATCCGCGTAGATTTGGCCCCCCAGGCCCAGCTGGACATGGAAGCCTCCGATCTCGAGATGTTTCTGCATGATGTCTTTCCACATGAACCCGACACCCCCCAGACGGGATCGCTCGTTCGCGTTGACATTCATCGAGAAGTCGTTTCCCGAGACGGTGATGAAGCGCCAGCCAGTTTCGTATCGTCCTGCGACCAGAAACTCGTAGCGCGTGCAGCCCAGGTGTGAGGTGATGGCATACGTCCATTTGGCGGGACCGGTCTCTTCCATCTTGAGATCGATCTCATATTTGTAGAACGTCCACCGCTGATGAACGGCGATAGGCATCGCTTTCAGCTGGCGCGGATTCGGAGACAGATCGATGCTCTGATGAAGGTGGATGGTGGGAGGCTGAGCAGCATCGGTCACCAAGAGAATGGAGCCTAGCCAGATGCCACGCTCCACGTCCATGTTGGTGTAGCGGAGGTACGGGCCGAAGTAGACTCCATTCGTCGGGGCCACTTTATACATGTCGATGCCACTGACCGGCGGCGGCCCCGTGAACCCCGTCACGATTGGCGACTGCAAGCTCTCAAATCCCGGGGTCAGGGGAAGACCAGGGGACGTCAAGGGCTTGGCGAATGTCGATAAGGAGGGCGACGCCAGAGGATGACTGCTGTAAACGCTGCCTACTGGGGATAGCGGAGTCTCATTCAGGTTCAAAGGCGTGGGTCCCTTGGGGAACTCCCACTGAGTGGATTGAGTGGGTAGATGAATATAGTAGTACTGCCCCGAATTCGGGTCAAGATGAGCGATCCAGCCCTCCGGCAGCGGCGGAGGCGAGGATGGCGCAAGCCCGGATGGGGTTGGCAGCGCGCTTACGATGGTCTGTTGCAAGATGGAATGATTCCCGCTCTGGATTGGAGACTGGATAGCATTTGAGGGTGATTGTCTCGACTCCTGTGGCTGCAATTGCGATTGCGATTGCGATTGCGATTGCGGTTGCAGTTGCGGTTGCGGTTGCGGTTGCAGTTGCGGCTGAGGCTGCGGCGTCGGCGTCGGCTGCTGCTGCTGCTGCTTTGGTTCATTTGCAAATGCGGGGTGATCGTGAGCTGACACGAATGGGACGGTGGCTACTGCAGCCCCATTGGCGCCATTCGTCTCTGTGACACCATTCGTCGGGCTGGCGGTTGCCGGATGTCCCATTGATGAGGACGACTGGCCAGTCGATGCTGAAACACGCTGCTTCTCATTCGGATAGCCCTGAGAAACAACGGCCCCTGGGACGCTCGAATATGCCGGAGGCGGCGAGGAGCTTATGCGCATTCTTTCCAGGTCCTGCTCAAGTGCATTTGGGGGGATTCTGCTTGGCTGGGGGGCAGGCTGTGTCTGCGGTTGGGGCCCTGTAGGTAGAGGAGGATTTGCTGGAGGGTTCTCCTCCGACACAACCCCGGCGCCTTGATAGACCGTGGGTGGCCCATGTGGCTGGGTCCCTGGCTGCTCCGTTGGTGTCCATGGCCTTAAAACCGGAGGTGCCGACTGTTGATTTCTGGGCTGCTGGCCAGCATACTGTTCGGCCCTTCTTTGAGCCGCCGCACTCTGAACTTGCAATCCTGCTAAAGTCGAAGTGCCTGCAATTCCCGAGGCTGCATACCGTGCCTCGATGTCAGACGTCGCATGCTGTCCCGGTTCCACCACCGGGGTTTCTGGTGGTGGCGGAGAGCCGCGCTGAGCACGAGTCGTCGAGTTCGACGCCGTGGAGCTTATCCGGTTAATGGCGCCATTCGGTGGCTGCAGATTCGGAGCTGCTGCCAGTCTGGTGGAGGGTTGAGGAGGCGGGTAATACTGCTGGCGGTGGTCAGGGTATCCGGTGGTCAGAGATTGGGTCCCTGTCGCAGGAGGGGCGAGCGCCGGCAGTCGCTGATGAAAGCGCGAGAACAACCCTTCTCGATCTGGCGAGTCCCCTGCAGGAGATTCGGGCAATGGCTTCGGGACGTTGCCCCGTCGTTCGGCCAGGGTGGCTTGCTTGGGCTCGCGCAGTCGCAGAGATGCCATATAATCCGAATGATGAGCGATGCCGGAGCCTGCCGATATATTGCTGGGAATTGTGGGGGAATCTCCCGGGACTCCGCTCTGAGAGACTGGACTGGAGCCACTGGAGCCCGAACTACGGATGTGCTGAGGCCTCTGCCTATCGTCGGGGTAGGGCAGGGAAGCGCTGTGCGACGAGGCCGGGGAAGGGGTGTCTCGCTTGCCAATCCGCAACGGCTCAATGATGGGTGAGTCGGCCTGCGGCTGCCCCGACGTGGTATTCAGGAAAAGCTCCTCCTGGGAGCGCTGGCCCTGGCGGCTTCCGCCGGGATTCATGCTGCACGATGAGCCCGGGTTGGGTCGATAGATCGAGAATGAGGAGATCAAATTGGTAGCTGAAGAGCCCACGAAGTCAGCTACGCCGAGTGAGCAGAACTCTCCCGAACCCCCCGCCAGGCATGCATGCGACGGGGAGGGGGGGCACGGAGATGCGGGGGAGGAGGGACTCACTGGCTGCGGTGGACTGACGGCCGTCTATCGTGCTCCGTCACTCCCAAAGCAACACAAAATCGATCGCACGATCAAGACGGGAGAAGACCAGAGAACAGAGCAACCGACGAGAAGGAAAAGGAGGGAGGGAGGCCGTGAAAGTTGCTGCTCGCTCGTCAGTTAGCCGCCGGGGGGGGGGAGACTGACCGGCGCATCATTGGCCCAGCGCGAGGGCCGCTTTGGCGCCAGAGGGGCTTTCCTCGGCGAATGACCGTCCAGTCCGGCCGATTTCCTCCTTCACGGCCTGCAGGCTGGACGGCGCCATGTCCCAGTCACCACCAGGCATCGGGCAGTGGGCAGTGGGCAGCTGGCAGGTTGCAGCGTGCAGCGTGCATCCCTCTGGGAACGCCGGTGGACCCTGCCAGGTCCCCCGACATCGGGATCGGCCCGCCGCGGTACCCTATAGTATAGTTTATATTTAGAGATGGACCCCAAGAGAAGCAAGAATAAATACCATCACACAAGGTTATGGAACAATAGATAGATATTAGACGGATCAACCTGCCTCGGTTGACCCCAGTTTCGTTCATCTCGTGAGGTTATTCTAACAGCTAAAAGGCACACTGACTGGCACTGACATGTACGGGCCATCTATCTTCGCCATCCTGAAAAACATAAATCCTAGAAACGCCGCGCCATCCCTCCCTTTCTCCCTCCCAAACTCCAACCCGATCCGACCCTTCCAGACTCATCAGCCGTAGTTGACCAGCTGTAGCCCGTGCTCAGCCAGCACCTCCACCCACTCGATCTCGAGCGCATGCCCCCCTCGCCGGGAATGTTGGATCTGCCGCTCAAAAAGCACCTGCAACATCTGACACGTCGTCGCCGAGTTGTACCCGATCTCGTGGTCCTCCAGGTTCGACAACAGCTCCAACGCCATCATCTTCAGCCCGCTCGATGGGGCCACAGCGCCCGCCAGAAATATCGGGAAGGCCGTAAATCGCCGGTCTCCTTCGCGGCCCCTTTCAACCATCGTCGATACGATCTGTAGGATCCGCGCGGCGTGGTGGTGCACTTCCTCGTCCGGGGTGGCCCCGGGTTCCAGTCGTTGTCCCAGCCAGAGGCTGGTGGAGGAAAAGAGTACGCAGGTGTGGAACAAAATGGCCAGCTGGATAACTCGATCGTTAGCATCAACTGGTCAGGAGGATGGAAAACGGGGGCACGGAGGAGACGGGCTCACCTGTTGCAATAGATTTTGCGATCGCAACGGAAGACTGGCCTGGTTCTGAAACAAATATCCAACCTCCTCATGACCCCATAGTCGGACGAGCGCTTCGCGTAGTTCCTTGAGTTCCTGTTGCTGCGAGCGCGAATAATCACTGAGATATGGTCCCTTGGCTCCCCGGGTTTCAACGGCAAGAAGTCCGATCCGGATGGCTAGGATGAGCGTGTCGTAATATAAGCGCATGATCATGGGCAAGCTACCATCCGCATACATCAAAGGCGAGCCGTCGGACCCAACCGGGTAGCAGAGTGACTGCAGTTCCAGTAGCAGCTGGTTGTCGAGGACAGCGCGGGCAAATTCCCCGGTGCCTGCGCCGCCCAACAGCGAGTATAGATCCACGTGGCAAACCCACCAGGCGATGCCGGGGAACCGTTCTGCCCTCGGTATTGATTGCCTGAGCAAGGATAAATGGAGCAGCCGGGAGACATGGTGCGACCAAAGATTTGAACCACCGGGTTTGGCTGCCACGACCTAGAGGACTCCGAGTTAGCTCCCACTGTACAAGCATAGACCGGAAGGAGATGACGGGCAGTCCAACCTCGTAAATGAGCAGGAGGAAATGAGTCAAGTAGACTGCATCGGACAAGAAATCTTCGTTACCGCAGAGGCTACCCTGGGAAGAGGCAACCTGATTATAGTAATAAGAAGCATCGATGTTTTGGCCACCCCCTTGGCGAACCAGACTGAGGGCTGAGAGCGCCATCATTGCATGATAAAGCTACCGGCCCAGAAATTAGCTTCGATGCATAACCTGCCGGGCTTGAAAGGATCACGTACGGGAGGGAAGTTCGACGCTTCGTGTTCGAAGACGGCCGCATCCAGCCCATGGACGTTGAACACACCATCTTGTGGAACCAGCTGCGGACACACAAAATTGCGAAAGTGGTCGAGGAGCAGCACCTCGAAAGGACTCGACTCGGGGCCTTCCTGCATATGCGGCATGGCGTCACCTGGATAGTCCGGGACCAGCTCCGAAACCGAAGGCGCAGATAATGAGAAACTCCCCGGGTCGGATTCGGGGGACTGAGGGGTATCTCTTCGGTCGGCATAGAGATGTCTTCGCGCGGACCTGAAACTCCTCAGAACGACGACATTCGGTCCGTAGGCCCAGTTCCCATCTTCCACCTGGAAATGGTCGCCATTGCCGATCTCCAGCATCGCCCCGTTTCCCGAGTCTATTTCCGATGTCTCGTCCATATACTCAGGAAGTCGAGAGAAGCTCTCGGGGACCGCCACGACATGGTAGGTGCCGGGAACCGATGCCTGCGCCTTTCTCTCCCGCTCCTCATCCGTCGCGAGGGTCGCAAAAGGCGGCAGCAGATCACAAGTTGTGGGGAGGATGTTGGTTGTCGGCGATTTCGCTGTACAGGAGAACCCAAACCCGTCAGATATGATTCAAATGAGGAATGGGGCTCCAAGGCTTCTCACGGTCCCACACCACATTGCCCACCGTCCTCACATCCGGCATTCGCTCCCTGACCCGACGGGTATCATCTCGGAAGCACAGTCGTGGCCGGTAGTCGCACACATGGCCTAGACGAGCGCATTGCTGGATCAGGAAAGGTTAGTCTAAGGCCCAGCAAAATTCAGCCCGGAGCATGGGTAAAAGTACATTGCACTGAGGGTGGACTTCGTCGCACTTGACTAACTCAAGGATCAGCACGGAGGATGCTATCGCATTGGAACCCGGGAACCACTCACCTTTGCGGCTCTACTTCCGAATCAAGCAAACAAGTTAGCATGACACTGCACGACGCCTGGGGGGAATAACTGCATTCGTCACGGAAAGATGGGCTCACTCTGCAAGTCCTAAGAAGATAGTATGACATTAGAGAGATCCCCGGGACGGGTAATAGTGAAGTCTTCCTCCCCGCCAACGGACATACCAGCAACCAGTTCGGGACCGGGGCGGGAAGCGGAGCCGGTGCTGTCGGATCGTAACCTTTTTCGTCGGCGGTACCTCCAAGCCATGGCTGGGGCCCATGAGACTACTCTTGGGGGCAATGATGGGCAGTCGCAGAGGCGACTTCCTCGAGGACCGCGTGGATCGGGTGGTCATTGAGATGCTGACAGCCGCCATGGAGGGGAAGGACGCATCGACTACAGGTGCCTGGATGGTGACAGGAGAGTAGGCACCCATGCTCATGAGCGTTCACACCTAGCCCGGACCGATTTCGAGATGAAATCGACAAAGAAAAAGAGAAGAGCGGAGGGGAGGAGAAAAGTTCAATGGGATCACTATAGATAAAGGCCACCGACCATAGTCGGAAAACTAGAGGCGCAAGAGTCGGGGGTCACGGAGGAAGATAAACGGAATCGGAAGCATCGTCTATGCATCCTGAAATGGTTCTATCTATAGGTGGGACGAATGATGGAGGCTGAAAAACAAAGGAGAAAAAGTCTGAAAAAAAATCAAATCGAAGGAGAAAACTGGAACGCGCGATCGACTGGAGTCTGCAGAAACGGCCAGAAGAGTAGTGGGAGGAAGGAAAAGATAGGATAAGGTACGGAGGGACGAGCTGATGCAGAACCCAAGCGTTCTCGGAACAACATCAGCCAGCCCTGTCCACAGTGGCGGCTTCCGATGGAACGGCGAGCAGGCGAATGAGGAGCCCGCGCCCAACCTCGACCTAAGCGGCGGACCTGACGTGATGGCATGTTTGGAGGGGATTGATCGATCAGTACGGAGTAGTAGTAGGGTTACTGGGTTAGGCCGGTCTCTTAGGCGAGACTCTTGGTTCCAGTGAACCCAATTCGATCTAGAGCATGGAGTGCAGATGCCAACCATGTGGCAGAGGGGAAGGAAACCCAAAAAATAACCCCCCCAACGCCCCCCCAAACAGCGATGATCAAAAATAAGGCTCCGGGGCGAGAGAGGCGTGAAGCTGGTCCCCAGGATGGCGATGCCTCTTTTTTTTTTCCCCTTCTTTTTTTGGCTCGACCCTTCGGTCGATCCAATCAGGCAGGAGACCCCAGTGGAGTATGATCTACTCCATCACCGATATCGTTGGGGTTTCTGATCTGTTCGCAGTTCGCACTTATCGCGATTGATAGGTTCGTCGACGAACACCTTGAGGCTATAGTAGCGACCCGAATATAGACCAGGCCCACGGTTCAGGCTGGATTCGGAGCGTCAGGTGAGTTCGGCCACGCCGGTATACGGGGAGGGGGAAAAGGGGACGAGTCATGGGGGCTTTGGTATCGGACCATGCATCCACATTGAGACTTGAGATGACCACGATGGGGACCATGTCCGGCCAAGGTGGGAGCATCTAAGCCCTTTCTCGGCCACTTCACGTCATATTCTCGGGGCCGAGCCCCTCCTCTCGAACATCGAGTAGATAGAGGGAGTACTAGATACTGGGTACGGAGTATTCAAGAGCCAAACGAGACTCAACGAGGAAACGCGAACCACACAACCTTAATACCGTCTTACCTAACCATTGCTAAACGTTCCCCTGGCTGATCCGATGAATGGGTGGACGGCTTTAAATGCCGGCCCGGACCAGACTTACGCCATGCGTGGCGCCGCCGTACGGAAAGCGTACCATTTCGGTACTAACCATGTCCATACGGCGTATGTTCGGCGGACGGGCACCGGAGAATGAGATACAGTCACAGATACCGGTATGATCCGTCCTGATACCAGGGCGCTAACCCGCACTAGTCTGGTCCGTCTGCTAGACTCGCCTGGGCCAATCTAGATCCTCGGGATGTCCGCAGCCCTCACCACCAATGCCCAGCCTAAGCAAACAAGACAGCCACCGCTTTCCCCCCCCCTCCTCCTCAAGTTTTCCAAATCATCCATGGGACGGAGGTCTTCTTCTCCGGCCGGTGGTGGCTTGGTTTTAGGATGATTGGTTAGGCGCAGGCCTGCAGCACGCTACAGAGGCAGGTTAAAGTTGGGTGCCATGCACTTTGGCTATGTGCCTATCTACTTGGTCCTTGGGACTTAGGTACTCCTGCCCAAGGCACCGGCCGAATCCCCGATGCTGGCACCATGAATCCCCCTCCGCCCCTTTCTGGTGCAAGCGTCCTGATTGGGACGGACGATTCAGGGGTGGCACTACTACTATTCCTGACAATACCGTACCTCATACCGACGGAGCTGAGCCAGGTAGATAGCAGGTACATATGTGCAGTCATGCATGCGTCGGCTCCATACCGTACCGACGCTAGTCCCATGATCAAATGTTCCGACCTGAGACATGCTCCCCCGCATATGTAACCATGTCACAGGAGTCATTGCAGGTTGACGAGTGCCCGATCCAGGATCTGTCGTACTGGCCCCGATCTCTCATCTTCCCGCCAGCTCTTCAGCGACTTCTGGAGCGCCTCGTCGAGCGGGAGGCCAGTCTGCCCGCAGAGCTTGACGTATGCGACCGCTGCCTGGGCGCGCTCAGTGCGAATGGTTTCGACGGAGAGGTCTATCTCCTGGGAGAACATCTCGCTGGCTAGCGCCGCCAAGGATTCCTGAGACCCGCGTAGATCGCGTTCGCCACTCCGGTCCGATGCCCACGTCCCGATTTGGTCAAATAGTGCGCGCAGCTGTCGGTGCAGCGTGACCTGCACGTTTCTGCCCCCATGGCTCACCACCCTGTGCAACACCGGCCTCGACTTTTCCAGATGTCCGTGGATGGCTGGATCTTCGTTAGCATGTCCACGATTGGAGGTCGGCTGACTGCAAGGGGAACCCACTCTCTGCTGAAGTATGCGATGCAGGACTGAGGCATTGTAAGAGACATGCCACACAAGCCGCCAACGTGTCATCCAGGGTTTGTCTGCAGAAACATCAGCACCTGATGTACATTGTCCCTGAATCCAGAGGAACCGCCCCTAGGCTTCCTCCTGCGCCCAGGCCCAACGGTTCACGTCCAATCAAATGCAATCCCAAAAAGAGAAGCAAGCAAAGGGGGGGGAAGCAATCGAATACGAAACAGAGCCAGGGAACTTACTTGGGTTTTTGGCCCTTGCCTGAATCTACATCCATCGGATCCCCTTGGTCTTCGATCTCGTCTAGTACTCGGGTGACAATGCCTATAGCATCTGGCACCAGATCTAGGTCTTTGCGTGCTTGAGAAACCCCACCGAGAGCAATAAGCGCATGGGGGCGATATGTGGGATTATTCCGCTTCGCTTCCCTAATGGCAATAGTCTTGAAGGTTGAAACGATGATCAGGATGATGTCTATTGGAGCGAGAGATGGAGGAGGAAAACATACCTTCATTGTCTCACCGAAGGCTGGCTTCTCTTGCCACAATTTCTTCGCCTGGGTTGAAAATTTCACGAAGGCTTCCAAGACAATCTCTTTGCCATCCCACGTTTTCCCAGCCAAAGCTTTCTCCAGTACGGGCCATATATACTCACTGGTTGAGAGATCAATCTCGGAGTCCAGCGACATGATAGCCTTTGCAAGCCCCAGAGCCGCCGTATGTTTGATAGCCCAACGAGCCGACTCCAAATTGGCGGAGACATGGTCCGTGATTTCTCTGATGTAGAGGGATACCGTGCGGTTGCCACCCACATTATCTTGCCATGTCTTCTCAAACACCTCTCTTACGTGCTCATCCAAGTCACTCTTCGACACAAAGATGAACGGTAGTGCAGTCGTAGCGAATGCCATGAACCGGTCATTGGATAACTTCGAGGCAGCTTGTAAGATTTCAGCTGCAATGGCCCGCTGATTGGTGTCTTCAGCGGTCAAGTACAGCTCTTTGGCGTGCTCGATTGTTTTGAGGACTCGACCATCCGAGGCTAAACGCAGGAGGTAGCCTATGGATGTACAATAGGATGCACTGACGGTGTCATTGCGATCCACCACGTATTTGCCGAGGAGCTGGATGAAACGATCCGCATAGGGACGGAATAGCATGGATCGCATACTCAGGAGAACCAAAACACGGCTACAGCCAACTTTCGATGGAAGTCCAACCGCCGAACGCAACACGCCTTCAAGCTGGGCCGCAAACTCTTTCATGCTGTGCTCATCCAACATATCAATGAGGTATCTTTCAATGACCTCCATCATGGGAGACGCGCGAATGCTGGACAGTCTCATCTTGTCAATTTCCTGGCCTGTCAGTCCGTACTTATCTGCGTTGAGGTGAACATAGTTGACCGCCTGAGGTTCCAGAGAACTCAGGGAGTTGAGAAACTGCTCCATTATGCGGGGTATAAACGGTCGCAATGGACCGCCAGGGATTTTCCTGATCATCTGGATCAACGCCCCAATGGCAAATCCTTGGACCTCTTCGACTCCAGATTCCATGCCTTTGTCACTCAACAAGAATGGGATGGCACTTCGAAGCATGGCATCGGCCCGCTTTGTGTCCGTGTCGCTTGTCTCCAGAGTGCGAATGATAGCATTGGTGATGGTTTGGCAAAGCTTCAATGCCGACACTCGGACGGTCTCCTTGATATCATCTAGAAGCTTGAAGGCCTTGGTAAAGATCTCATCCATGTACTTGGCGTATTTTTCGGGCTGGCGTCCCTGGAGCAAGTCCGCTATTGCTGTACAACTTGCCTGCCGAACTCTCCATTCCCGACCGGCCAACATGCTCCTCAGCAAGTCGTTCATGATCTCATCAAAATGAGCTTCCAGCACTTCCATGGGGTTTTTGACCAAGGCTCGCCAAATAGTATTCATCGACCGTTGGACATTGGGATTCGGGTCGAACCGGTAGCGGAATAGCTTGGGATAGATCTTGGGATTCTTTGCCAAATAACCGTTGACGCTAGAGTCGGAAAAGATATTGCTGATGCCCATCTTGCTAAATGCCGCCCGGCTCGACCAGAGGGCATTGTTTGAAGCCATTGACATGAAGCGGTACACGAGGGTTGGGTCACCGGCTTCGGATGCAAGATTCATTATGTCTTTGTAGGTATTGACTGAGGAACCGCCCCCAGTTGGGAGAGCCCCGGGCTCAAACAGCTCAGTATTTTGGCTCACTTTGCCACCCGCGAGGGTTGAACTGTTTTCAGTGAATGAGTTGACCAGGTCGCGCACCAAATCGTCCTTCAGTCCTTGGTCACCCATGCCGTATACAAGACTCAATCCCTGTGCACCAGTCTCTTGAACCACCTCGTCCCGATCAACAAGTAAGTTGCTAAATGCGCTCTGACATTCACGCAGGCGGGCCTGTAATGGGTGTAAATGGCCACAATCTTTGACCAGACTAAGCAGCCAAATGGCAGATGCCCTTCTGAGGGACGGTTTCGGTGCACCGCAGTTTGCTATTATCGTGTCGCCCACATTAGCAACCACGAATTCCGGCACGTTCGAGACAGGAGACTCTTCATCCACATCGAATTCCGGACCCAATGATTTCGAGTTCCAGCCCGCGGCAGCATTGCTCAGTGCTTCGCCGACAGTAAAATGTATTTCAGGGCTCCGAATTTCATGTAGACCATAGAGAGCGTCTGTGAGGGCACTGAAATATGAATTGTCGGAGTTATACTCGGGGGAGATGAGAGATAAAAGCCCCAACGCCATTATGGCCACTTCGCTTTCGGCCTTTGCATCCCGTATCAGGGATTCTCGGATCGTCTTCCAATTTACTTCAGAAAGCATAGAATGGAACAAGATTCGAGAGAGACTGAGTTGCCCAATTGCTATCTGTGCAGAACGCCGAAGTAGTGAATCGCGCGCATTTTCGAGCATGTCACAGATAACCTGAACAAATTGACCCACATGTGCGTCAGCCACTTTGTTTGTCATGTTGCGGAGAGCAAGTCGGCTCAAGATATATGACAGCGCCAATACTGCCCCTCGAACCTGAAGTGCACCTTCGCCGATTGCGGACTTCCATGACGCTATACGTTCCGAACACTCTGCGATCAGTGACATGAGGTCGTTCTCAGGAAGGGATGGATGAGAAGCCAGAACTCCAATTGCGCGGGCGGCCATGGCCTGAATATCTTGGTCATTGCTCTTCAAAGGTGTTCTCAGTACCAGCGTCTGTGGGACGACCGACTCGAGAACGTCATTTGAGGCCAAAGAGCAAATACTGAAAAATTGCACTCCGCACGGCTGCAGGCCCTCCCGACTATCACGGGCGAGGCCAGCCAAAGCACTGTTTAGAAAGAGTACAACTGCTTCTTGATCCGCAACTCGAATGTACTGTTTCAGCGACAATCGTGCTTGCTCATTGGATGAAAGCATCACATCAAGCTTCGTGTCCCAGTCTTGATCTATTTCAATGCCGGTATCAGAAGCGGAGAGCGACTCCCATAGCAAGACATTCCGAACGAACGATATGGTGGAAACAAAAGCGTTCTTGTAGGGTCCGGATATGATTTCCGAGGCCGACAAACCCGACACTCCATTTGAGGTGACCGAGCCAAGTAGGAAACGGGAAAGTTCCGAAAACTTTGGGAAATCATACCATGTAGAGTCCTTGGATGCCGAAGTAGCCGGCTGTCTGTCGTAAGAAGGGCTCAGAAGCCGGTACCAAAATGGGTGCAGGCCTTTTTTGCCTTCTTCCATTACTTCCTGGCGGCTTTCTGACCCGCGTGCGATTGCCATGAGGTCTATCCAGCGTGCAACAACATCGTTGTATGGTAGAAACCTGTTCGCAAAACGCACAGCAGCGTACTGTGGGCCGCGGACAACACTGAACCCGGTCATGGAGTCCTCTCCTCCCGGATAATTGTTCATCTGCCGAACGAGGAAAGGCCGTAGTTGATCGTGAAAATCGTTATCCCAACTGTCTATCGAGGAGTTGAGGATGCTTCCCAGGGCCTGTTCAATGCTCACAAAGATCTGAGAGCTCGAGTCATCGGAGTTCAACGAAGTGAATAGCCATTGGATTAGCTCGAACCCAGAGAGACTTTCCTCGCCATCATGCACTCCAAAGTTGGCCTTGGGAACCATAATACCGATAGTTTCGTATGCAAGGCCCCTTAGACTCAGATCCGTAGATGGAAGCTTCTGCCCACTGGCCCCGGGGCTCGGCCATCCTTGAGACTGGATGAAGTCCCTTAGGCCCGTCAAAAGCTTAGGTGCCATTTCTTCAAGGTCAGACAGGGAGCCCATTCTAACAACCCAGGTGGTAAAGTTGAATATTTGTGTCCTCAACTTCGAGGCCTGTAATCCCTGGGAAGACCGTGCGGTATCTGACAGAAGGCCATCCTCAATGACCCGAATGACTCTCCATTTAGCCTTTGTTGCTCTGATTGATTTTCCGAGAAAAACCAGGATTCTGGTCTGCAGAGCAGGTCGCGCCGGCGGTGCGCCGTCAGGCGTTTCAGATCCAAAGTACAAGTCATAGAGCTGCTGTATGACATCTGGCTCCTCCAAGTCGGGGACGAATCGCTTGAGAAGCTCTTCGCCAATGTCAGAAAGGCGGGAGTTCGCATCCGCAGAGGCAATCAGAGCAGGTAGAAACCGCTCTGTGTGACTGAAAGCTCCACTAGCGAGAAATCTTAGGGCGTTGACTTTAGTCTCAGTCAGATTCAGGCCACCTTCAGAAGATGGGTTCCAGGTCTCGGTTACAGGTGCACCCTTATTCAGGAACGTGTAATCTCCGGGAGTCAACCCAGGACAGGTGGGCGAACTCTTATCTGCGGGGAACAGAAGCAGCAATTTCTCGAACCATGCGGACAGGAATTTGGTGTCTTGGTCGGAAAGACCTAGTCGAGACTTCAACTGCACATCGTCGTCACTATCTTTGGGGGGTAACTTGAGCAAGGGCAGAAGCCGCAGGACAAGATTGAATACCACGGCAGCTTGGTTGACCGATGTTCCAATCTCGGAGATGCCCTGAAGCAGGGGAAGCAGAATCTCGATTCTTGCGGTTGAACCCAGACGATCAATACCTTGCTGAAGATATATCAGATCAAAATGTCGGATGAGCTGAGACTTCTGCTCTTTGAATTGCTTGAGCAAAGCCGTCACAGGCAGCTTAATGGACGGAGCTTGGACTCTAGTGTTGACATGCTGGCACACTGCAATAACTTTGTTGCGAACAGCAAGACTGTCAGAACCCAGCTTGAGCAATAATGGTGCTAGATAAGTATGAAGAAGGCTTTCAAGTTTGGCATCGGTATCCGCCAGTGCAATCCTAAGCTCAACCTTGGATATCAAGCTCAGCTCGCGAGCTTCGGAGCTTGCTAGCGTAGCCTCTGTAGCCATGATGAAGGTGAACTGAAACGTCAAGGGAATTAATTAATTGACATTCCACATCGAGATAAACCTAGGTCTATAGGTGTAGAAAGGTTACTGGGACATGAGGAGGGATTATAAGGGAGGGAAGGTCTCACGCCATGGCTTAAGGCAGACGTTCCAACGTCACCGCCGCCAAACCCGAGGCCACGATAACATCCCGATCGGGAAAGATGTAAGTTAGTCAGCATACGGGGTTCAGGTACCGTACGTAATTGGTCATTGTAATAATTGTCACCGTTTCCCCCACCATCTCGATGCCCGAGCACACCTCCGTACTCCATACTCGGTATGGAGTATGGAGTACGGAGTACGGAGTAGTAGTAATAGTAGTACTACGTACTATGTACTATTGACAGAGCCATCCACCGAGGTGACGGCACGAACGAACTACTAGAACCGATAACGAAGAGTATATATAAGTAGATCAAGCATCACTAAATGACAGGAACTGTATTGACGTGAGGATCTGATAGAACCAAGGTGAGGGGCATTAAACGTTATGGGTGGGCAGGGACCGCCCGTCGCTGTTCAGCTGCCTCACCCCTCAAGAATCGTGCAACTTCGCCTTCAGCGTTAATCAGATGGCCATTGGTTGGCTTGTTTTGGCTCGGATTGCCGAAAAGGCATTGCCATAGATCATCCTTCTTCACTAGCTCACCACCTGACGCACCGCCCGCCATTAGCTTGGACAGTGCTGCATCTTGCATTTCCAAGGAATTGGCCGAATCGATCGCTACTTCCGTGAGATTCTGGAGAACAGCATCGTCATCGGAAGGGTTGACCGACGGTGTCTCATGCTCTTGCTCCTTCTGCACGATGTGGGCTAGACGACGCGACACGGAGAGGTCATAGATGGACTGCTCAACCGTGTCAGAGACCAGATACATCCACACAGTGGTGGGCCGATGCTGGCCAATACGGTGTACGCGAGCAATAGCCTGAAGCTCGATTGCGGTGTTGATTAGAGGCTCGCAGAGAAAGACGTGCGTGGCATTCACCAAATTCAGGCCCGATGAGTGTGCTTTGGCGTGCAACAGAAAACATTCAACCTGTGTAGCAATGACCGACCTTAGACGCTGGTTTGTAATCTGGTCGAAAGGGAGGAGGACTCACTGCCGGGTCACTTTTGAAGTTGTGTATGCCGTCCTTACCATCAACGCTGCTATACCCAATTTTGAACTGAGATAGTGCATTGGCGAGGATATCGAGAAAGTTTTTATATTGGGAGAATACCACAGACTTGGCCCCAGGATCGTGTTCGCGAAGCCATAGGATATGGCGTGCCAATGTATCGATTTTCGTACCAAAGGAGCTATCCAGGTCAACGTTCTTAATTTCTCTCAACGTGCTGGAGCTGATGTCTGCATATATGGAGTTTGTTGACGAGCGTTCCAGCTCTAATCGGGATGGTGCTTTCTCCTCCTGCACGACAAATTCCTGTGGCTTGTATGTAATTTGATGGAAGTCGTTGGCTTTCAACCGCTTTTTGCAGGTGGGACAAGTGCGGTGTTGATGCCACCACAGCCGCAGGCAATCCTTGCAGTATTTGTGGCCACAGACCGTCAAAACCCCTACTCGGAGTTAGTGAGTCTAGCTTCTGAGCGCAGGGTTGATACTGACCAACTTCGAACCCAGACTGGCATATGACGCATATTCTTGACGAATCATCGGAGCCAGATTCATCTCGGAGATGGATCAAATACCGACGCTTTGCCCGCAAGGCAGATATTTTCCCATCAATAACGCTTTCCTTCCCGAGCTTTGAGGAGAAAAGCGCCTCATCCAAGGGCTTGCCAACACTCTCTTCGTCGTACGGCGCAACGGTATCAGAGATTTGCTGTAGCTGACGATAATATTCAAGGCGGGTATTCATCGTATCTCGGAACATCTCAACCTCCCTTTCTAACCCGGAAGCAGCTTTGGACTGCTCAGCCGCCATCTGGCTTGCGTTTTTCAGCACCAGACTGACAATTTCAAGCTCCGCACGCGCTCGAGAACTTCCTTCATTTGCTTGCCATTCAAGCGAGGTAGCCAGGCTGCGAAGCTCGCTGATGATCCCACGAAGTGAGCCGAGTTGTGGATCAGGCTTCATATTACTGCGTATGTTCATAACTTCCAAGAAAAGGGTTGGGGATGGGCCTTCTCCTTTCTGTGCTTGAATAATCCCTCCTTTAACTTCATGGGCAATAAGGACGTTCTTTTGCCCAGTTAAGCAATCATGACGGTCGGCGAACATCGCGCGCAAGGCTTCCATATAGACGTACATTTCGTCCTGATGTTTGGTGGATCTCTCGTATTCATCACCTTCGAGCTCCGATTCATCCTCTTGATCGATAAGTGATTCGGAGAGGAATTTAACCATAGTCTGCCGCCAGCTCTCATACTGTGCAGCATGCTGGTTCATGGCTTCGCAGAAATCTTCAAACTTTTCGAGGACACGACGACCCTCTAATCCAGTGCTATAAAGCCGGGACTTCATATGGGGAATGGCCACGAATTGCCTCTTCTGGGACTTTTCCTTTATCACTTTCATGAAATGTCCGACTCTTCGGGAGATGTCAACCAGCATCTCCTTCCGGATGACCTTCGCTGCTGCATACGCCTCCTCTTCCTGTTTCTCCAACGACCTAAATTGCTCAGAATCAGGCGCAGTGAGCTTCAGGTCCGTCTTGATCTGGTAGTACGCGTTTCCGGTGAAAAAGATACAGATATGTTGGACCTCGAGAGCCATGCGTAATCTCTGGCGGTGGGTACCGATGCGTGCGTTCCTTTCAACTTCGTCGCCCTCGTTGTCGCTTGTCGAGACTACAGACGCAGAATCCCGAGCATCATCAGCGGAGGTGACCCGACCCTTCATGCGTTCTACCTGTAACCGATTTCGACATTCTTGAACGACTGCGCTCGCTCGCTCCAAGGATGCTTTCCAAAGGTCAAGCGCTTCACGCTTGCGCATTGCATTCTCCAGCAACTGTCCCCGCCGGAGCTGGGACATGAGAAGCGAGCGCTCTTCTGTGTGTATGAGCACGTCGTTCTGGTCAATCATAACTTCGAGTACCTCATTGACTGATCGTAGTGGCCCATTGTTGCCGATGCCTAAGCCCCGACGGCTGTTTCCCGCAGGATGAAGACAGGTTTGACGGAGTCTGACCAGCCAACTTCGCATCCTTTCGATCATTGACGGGTCATTGGGATTCCACTCATCACCCAGGGGTGCGCCTGACAGATCAAGGCCACAATCTTCACACATCTGCTCGTATAACTGTCCATAATGTTGTTCCTCCACCGCAGTGAAAGGGACCGTTATAACCACTCTCTTCTGCGGAGGTAAACGAAGCTCGCCGCGAACATGATCTTTGCTATGCCGAAGAGCGATTTCATGAACAATACCTGCTAAGATAGGACGAAATGAAAGACACAGCCTGTTCCAGATGAAGCCACAGTAGGGATCGTAATGAAGAAAGAGCAGGAGACCAAGAAGGTCTCCAATGTCTTTTCGAAGCGGCGTCCCAGTCACGGCCCAAGCCATTTGGCGTGGGATCAAACGAGCGACTCTCGCAGCATTACTGACACCACTCTCGATCATCTGAGCTTCATCTAGGCAGACCCGCCACCAGGATATCTGGACAAGCGGCGTTCTTCTTGGTTCGAATCGTTTCTCATGTCGTAGATTCCGCTTTGGCGCATCACCAGAATAGTGAACCTCGCGGGCAAGGACGTTGTAGGTGGTGAGTACAACATCGTGATCAGAGATCAACTGGATCAGTTCAGCATCTGGCAGTTTTTGATGACGCTGGATACCTTCATAGTGGAATACACGCAGTCCCGGCGCATGCAACTCAATTTCCTGTCTCCACTGCTCAAGAATCGCTGGAGGTGTTATGATCAAGGTTGCACCTGACAGCCTCAAGCCGTTGACGCGTCTGTGCTGATCCGAACGGTCTGGAGAGACCCGGCGGCGATGAAGGCAGATCAAACCGATCATCTCGACGGTTTTGCCCAGGCCCATCTCCTCGGCCAACACCCCGCCCTTGAGGGTGTTCTCCGCGGCATACCAATTCGAGATGTCGGTAGTAACAATCATAAACAGATGGCTTGCGAAGCATACGTTCCCGTCTGCATCGGCAATTTGTACGAAGGATGCTGGCAAATTACCGCTGGCATCCTGCTTCGTAGGGACCACCTGTCCATCTGATTGAAGCTCCACGCCTTCCCTTTGCAGAAGCCACCTGACTGCTCTCCTTTGAAACGGAAAAAGCTGGCATTCTAGAAGGCCGCATTTTATATCTGCCGAGGACGCGGAGGTGCTCGGAGGGACGTAGACATTGTCGTAGAAGTCACGCGGCGACCAAGTTGTAGCACCTCCTCCTTTGTGATGCTTTTGCAGTGTTTTGGCTACCACATCGTCATCTGCCTCCCGCAGAATGAACTTGGAGAACACTCTTAATGGACCAGCGGGCAGTTTGTTGATCTCCGGAATAAGGAGTGAATCTCTCCACAAGATGACTGTTTCCAGGTGAAATGTCTTTCTGTCCGGCAAACAGTGGAGAGTAGACTGGTAGCAAACAGGCGGTATATTCCTGTGAAAGCAATCGGCACAAACAAGGGTTGAGGCGAGCGATAGGTTACTACCAAGTTCGACGAGTTCCGGACCTGAAAGCTCATCTGTGAAGATGGCTTTTCTTTCCGAAAGCGTCACTATTGCCAGACTGTGGCACTCATAGGGAAGACCATTCTGGACCGTCTCAGGCTGGGTACGAGGCACTCTAGTGGCTTCAAGGATGACAGGTACAGCATGCAGCAGTTCCGTGGGGCGATCATGTTCTTCTGGCGTCCGTGCCGCCGACGCAAAGCTCTGTCCAGCATCAGCGGCAATTAGTGGGAAGAGCCTCCGGGCCAGGCCGGCTCCTGTCAGTACAGGAGAACACATACCAAGTGTAAATGAAACCGTGCAAGCGGGATATAACCCAATGGAATTTGGGATTCCGACAGCCCATTTAGCTGTCTAAGGCTTTGAGGCACCGAAGCCAACTTACGGCGTTTACTCGGTTGATCAAATGCTCCAGGCTGCTCAGGCCTACCGAAAGCAGTGGCCAATAGCTCTGGGACAGTGCCTGGGACGGAGGAATTAGCAGTAGCTTAAAGACAATCCGCCTCAAAGGAAATTAATAAACGGTACCCGAATAAGACAGTTCGGCCTTCGCCACCGCCATCCTGCACCCTCTTGTCTCTGCCGCCTCGGATTGCCACAATATGAGAGTGATGGAAGTCGGGGCAGTAGGGCGACAGATCAATACCGGGGATCTTATCGGAGGGCTCACGTGTCGATAGGAGGAAAGGCTAACTATATATGGAGTACATAGAGTTGGACCCGGAGCTTGCCGTTCCAATCACCAGCCAGAGATCATCCGACATCCATCTTCTCCGCCCGCCATCAAAAGGGCCTACGAAAGTCTGAGATCATGGAACATTCTCTGTTACTGTATTTACAAGATCAGCTCAATCTTGACACCGCGAGTGACCAACATTTCCACCTCTCGCACAACTGAGCGACAACTCCGAACACGAGGTACCTAGCTGTCTGTGTCGGATACAACGGTGCCATTCACCGCACGGACGTTTCGATAGTATGGAACCCCACCAGCATTGCTCTGAAAAACGTCGGTTGTTTCCCCGGTGGAGACTGAGCGATTGCCATCCGAGGACTCATAGTAGTATGCCGTGCCCCATTGCTCGGTGTGTAGATCCAAAGCCCCAGAGGTGAAGGTATACGTGGAAACACCGAGACTACCGGTCGATTCGATGTCCAGCCCTCGGCGTATCAAGGCGCTTATGGAAAGTCCATCTTCCAGTCCGTACGTGGTGTTACAGAACAAAGGATATTCGAACGTCACCTCATCGGTGGTTTTGTTTCCCGTAAGCTGTGAAATCGAATTCTGGCCGAAGGTCTGTTGGTTGTTTTTCTGGCTCAATCCTTGCTGGTTCAGGAAACCATAATTGGAGTACGACAGGTTCTGGCTCCAGGAATATTCAGAAGACGTCACGGTGAGTGTTCTCTCGGCCAAGACAGAGTATGACAAGGTTTCGTTCGTCCCGTTTCGACTCTGGACCAAGTTTCGAGTGACATCAAAGGATGGTGCAGGTGCAATTACCTCTGGTGGTTGGCCGTTCGTGGAGTTTGCAACGGAATATGACACAGAGTCATCTAGGTACAGGAAGATGGTGCCGGTGACCACCCAGTAGGAGCCAACAGTGTCCGAGAAAGTAACTGTTCCATCGTCTGAAACATTCAAGCCCGTAATTCTGATTTCAAATGAATGAGAGCCGCCATCCGTAAGTAAGGGGAGGAAGGGAGAGATATCGATCTCAGGTTGCCGTAGGTCAAAGGCGTCAATACCCACAATGGGACGCCAGAAGCCGGGTGCGACACCACCAGTGAAAATAATGGGAAATGGCCAGTCCACACCGGCAAGAATGCCATCGATATAGAGCTGGACTTCTCGGAAGGGGGAGTACCCGTACAGCTCACCGATGGTGTTGTCAAAGGAGTATTCATCAGCAGAAAGGACATTGGACCACCAGAACTCTTCCGTTGACTGGCCACATGCCGAGATGGAGACAACGGCACGGGACGTTGTCGGAGGAATCTGGTATAGCACGGTAGCATTATCCGTTGGGAGCTCAAAATCGCTTGACGCGTTCTGCGCTGATTTGAGTGCAGAGATAGGAAGGATGACGTCGGGGGTCTTGACGTTGCCCTCATACGAGAAATATGCCGTCAGCGTGGTATTATAGGACCCGGTATAGACGTCGGTGATGATGTTTCCAAGATCGAATATCAGCTTCTGCTCCTTTTTCCACAATACGTTGAACTGTGACATGTCTTTGATATACGTCCAGATGATTCCATCGGTTGTTGGCTCCGCTGTTGATGTGCGGAACACCTCTGTGTCCCCCAGATACATGAGCGCCAAACGGTCATACTGGGTACCTTTCGAGGTGACAGTGAAATTGATTCGAACGGTGTCAAATGTACAGTTTGGTGGATCGTAGATCCCTATCTCATATTAGCATGCTAGCGGATCATGGAGGGATTGCTTCCCCTTACCGACGTATGGTTCCCCATAGCTATAGCCGAATACATGGTCCATCAATAGAATCTCTTCATTGCACTCAGTGCTGCCATGGCTTATAGTGACCGGTTGATAGACCTCAAAATCTTCCAGGAGGGCCCGCGCCGGGGAGAATAGCAGAGAGCCGAGGCAGAAGGCGGCGTAAAGGGAGGCCAACATGACTGCAGCTTTCTAAAGGATGTGCTTTAGCCCAAGTGACGCTTTCAGCTCGTCTGCGCTCCTGGGACGGGGTGGGACGGGCTTTCCAGTCGATGTCGCGATCGCTTCCTGAGGAGCAATGGCACGGACTGCAAGCGAGCGACGCGAATAAATATTGCAAATACTAAAGAGATGCCCAATGTATAATATGAACGCACTAAATGCTACTAGAGGCTGGCCTGTAGTAGTACTGACGCCCGAGCAGGATGCATGTAACAGCCGATAGTGATACTCCCTCCCGGGGCCGGGGAGGGTATTTGTATGATGGAAAAAGAAACTAGGAAGGCGTTTCCAGTGCATGGTGCATGCTACATTGTGAGTAGCTGCGCTCTATGGCCACGAGTCGCCGAAACGGACGTTCTCCGTGGGCGTAGTTTTTTGGCTTAGCCTGGCTTCTGCCGACGGTGCGACTGATAATCATGGATCAGCCGGTGGGATTGGTGACGAGATTGATGGTATCATTCACGCAAAGTTTAGTGCTATGGGGCAACTGACCGCCAGCCGTGCCTGAAGAGAGTCTGTGCTAGCTTGCTTCAGGGCGCAGGCATTATCGTCGGCCGACCATCAGGAAAAGCCAGGATGCATTGCCCCTGGCCCTTGCCGTGAGCCGATGATAAGCTGCCCAGGGACGGGCGCCATTGGAGCAGCGCGGACGCGAGGAACCGGTTCTAAATGAGGAGCCCGTTAGTACCTGACATTTGCAGGAGACGAGGCGCATACCGGCCAATCATGCCCGGAGTCGAAATGATTCCTGCATGGTCGAAGCGATAGTGTCTTTCCCCCTCTTTTTCCCCCGACGGACCACCCCGGCGTATGGCGGATACCATATACATGGTATGACCGATGACGCCTGAAGACTTGCTCCGGCCCCATCCCTCATTTCCCTTATCACCGAGCTCGATTTGATTGCAGATTCCTCCCCCCTAGGAAGTAGTCCTGTGCACTACTAGTGCTGGCAACAATGGCTTATCTGATGATTGAACCGGCGGCGGACCGAAAAGAATACGCGGGTCGATATCCAGGCCGTTTCTTCCTGGATCCATTATGTCTATCCTCCAAGTATGTCTATTTCCGAAAAAAAAAACAAGGCCAGAGATCACCGAAGACCCCAGAATCGCTAATAAACAAAGAAGAAACAGAATGGTCCTCCTGGCCCAAACCCACCAGGATCCAGCGGGTCAGGAGACAGAGTGGGGTGATAATATACAATAGGTAGGCCTCTTTCGAAGCGACAAAAGGCCATCCTCCGGGCAATTCCGCAAAACGATCCCCAAGGATAACGGCTCACATGAAAAGACGCCAGGCACCAAGAATCAGTGCGGCGGTACCGGTGCAAACACCCCTAGGAAGATCGGTCAGCATTCGGGCTTCGCAGCGAGTCGAACATCACTTACATGAGCCATTGTAATGTGGAGAACTTGACAGCCTCTACGCGCTCCCTCAACCCTGCCACCTCTTGCTCAATCCTTGTCTCAGTCTCCTTTATTCTCATCTCCTGACCATTGGCTTCTTCACGGATACGACCTTTCTCAAGGTTCAGATCGAGACGCACCGACGCTTGCGTGCGCCCGATCTCGTCGCGTAGGCGCGAATTGAGCTTGGCGAGGTCGGCGGCGATCTTCTCATGCGACGAGCGAGTCAGCTGCGCTTCGGTAGAATCTGCATTGAGTAGCTCGGAGCGCAGTTTGGCGAAGTCAACCTTTTGGGTGTAGGCTGATCTTTCGGTATCTATGGGCATGGTATAAGACGCCAAATACTTGGCACGTAGCACGGCAAGGGACGACTAACCTTCCCGAAGCACCATGGTCCGAGTCAAGTTCTGTATGGACTCTTGAATGACGTCGTTCAGGACCCTCATCATGGCAACGGCCTGCTCCTCGCTGAATCCCTCATCCTTCAATCGTTGGACAAATTTCAATGTATCGAAGTGATGGTCCCGTTGATGCGGGGCAGACGCGTGAAAAGCTCTCCTAGCAGGATTGAAAGTAGCGACATATACACCGTTATGCCGAATGGGGTTCCCGAGGGTCTCTGCGGCTGGTCGACTGGCCGGCTTGCCCGCTGACGGAAACCGTCTTGCGATCGATGTTGACGTGCCAACCTCTCGGGATGCTGCGGGAAATCCGAGCGGGGAAGAGGACGAGAAGGCCAAGGTATGAAGATGCCGTCTGGCAGGGGTCGAGTTCCATCTAGGTTGCTGCTTCTGTTGGCGCTTTGCTGGAAGGACGGTGGTCTGGGGAGGAGTGACGGTGGTGCGGGCAGAGGAGCCGTTCCAGGTAAGACGGGGGAGGATGGAACGGGGCACTTCCGTTACGGATTTCTGCGGCGCCATAGTTCTCGACGATAGAGAATGTGCTCCGGTCAAGTACGAGGAAGGGATGGAAGGGACGGGAGAGACGCCAGCACGAAGCCACGAGAATGGCCGACTTGATCGAGCAGATGTTAGATGATGATGGATGATGTTGTATCGTTTCCCGCGGAAACCTTTCGATCCATCGATGACTAACACCCGCCACCGCGCATGTGATCGGCGTCCTATTCTCCGTACATGGAGCACGGAGTACCTGGTTTCAGTTGATCCAAGCTGGCTTATATGATGGCCAGCATCTGCGCAGTAACAAGAGACTTACAATATACAGCCATCATAAAAAGGGTACAATCTGGCTGGTCTACTGAGCTGACCGTATTGACTTGCAACATCACATACTGTCCGCAGTGTTAGTGGCACAAAAAGAACGGGTTTACAATGGCTCCAGGCAACTCCCACACAGAGTGATTAACGAATGGGAATCTTCATTTAAGACATAGAATTTCTAGTGATCCCGTGGCCAAGATCTTACATGGGATAGATAGACAGGTGAGCAAAAGTCCAAGAGGAAATATACGAGCATAACCAGAGACAGAAGCCACATGCAAAACCATATGCGTTTGCTTGCTTAGGAATAACGCCAGTCCTCATGGGCCGATGGCTAATATCTAGCTGCTATAGCTCCTCAAGCCTACCCTGGCGCGAATATGGCACAATACATTTGAGTTGCACCTCTATAGCTGGAAGAGCTCTCTCAATTGTCTCATGGTGTCATCGGGGTCCTCCACTGAATGGCCGATCGTCCTGGGGTCACTGTAGATTTCATAGTCGTTGCCTCCAGGAAACGTCTTGTCTCCAAAGAAGTGAATCGTCTTGTACTCGATACCTGTGATGTCCTTCTCGGCCTCAACATGCTGTAGGCAGTAGGTCTTGTCCCATCCAGTCGGGAAAACGTCGAACGAGATTTCACCGCCGATCGAATAACTACAAACAGGCAATATCAGTATCAGTCATCTGCGCGCAGCCTCAGGACCCCGTATATGTTTACAACATACCTAAGACCATAGTCAGGGAATTCCTTCCTGAGCGCATCCACGAGATCCCTGCGGATGTTATGGATCTTGTCATATCTGCCAACATTGTCAGTCAAAGTTTCATGAGGTATGGCGCGTATACATACGCTTCAAACTCCTTTCGTTCTTCGGTGCTGGCATTTCTGCCGATAGGGCTGACGTTGATCATGCCATTGCGGAACTCAACGAAAGTACCGCGCTTCTTGGGAAGCTCCAGCTTCGCAATGTATATGAGGCAGAAGTTGACCAACTTCTGGTACTTTTCTTCTCCCAGCCATTGAATGAAACTGTTGCTGACAAGGGGCTTGCCCAAACGGAAAGCAATCAAACCATTCTCGGCAAAGCAGAAATCGAAAAGAGAGGTGACATTCGTTGAGGGTGTGCCAAGTTGTTCTTGCTGCTTAGGAAGATTCGAGCCACCGACCTAGGCAATGTAAGACCGCGCGCCATCGTGCTGGATTGGAGACAACTAACAAATCCAATGGCGCACTTGTGACGCAGCTGGGAGAGAAGGGTAAGCATCTCCGGAGTGACATTCTGCATTGGAAGGACAAAACCAGATCAGCATATGTCAGGATCAGATCTAGAATAGCTATAATAGATGATTGAGCCATGATTATAACTTACTGCTCTGGCAGGCGTTAATGTCTTGTCAACATCAAAGAGAACGATTGTGCCCTTCAAGGGGCGGTCCTGCAGCGCAGGATACACACTTGCTGCTTCAGTGGCCATGATGAATATCGAGTTGGAGAGAGGCGAGGAACAGGGCAGGAAAAAGAGACTTTGAAGCCAAAGCCGAGATCAATTGAGGGGCAACGGGCTAAGTATGTATCTTTTCAGGGGCGGACGTGTCACGACCGCATGCGGTGAGCTGGAGCGACCGCGGGGGTACCAGACAAATAATACGGCTTAACCGTTCTGGGCTGCGAGGCACCAAGGCCCAGTCCAAGGCGGTCAGTCCCCATCCTGGCCCGGACGCGGATGATCCACGTGGGGCTTGGATCGCTTATCGATAAGTGAGATAAGCCAGATGCTGAGACTCAGGAGGGAATGTGGTAGTGATTTCCATTGTACTGAATCTCGTCCATAACAATGTCTAAGTTCATGTTTAAAGATCCCGAAATAGAAACAGTCTACGGACTGTTCTTCAATTAAAAGCCAAGCATTGCGAGTTACAGACCAATCAGCCCTCTATCAGGTAGAGCAACAAACGCCAAACCAGCTTGAACTCCCTCCCATTGAAAGCTATCTCAACGGCCCATGGTAGTTTGGAAAACCTTGGCCGCCAATTCGCTCAAAAGCCGTGCACGGTCACTCCGGGGAAGCTGGAGGAAGACATCGTAAACGCTCTTGCCCTTGGCGTCTCGAACCGCTCCAAGCCGGTTACCGGCGACTGCACCAGCCAATGCCCCCGGGGCATTGGCCACAATAAAGCCAAGAGCACCGCCGCTGATTCCACCCACAACAGACCAGAATCGAGATGTTGGATGTGAATGTGTCTGGCCATCGGCATCCGTGTCTTCGCTGGCAAGGCCTTCTTCTCGCAGCATCTCTTCAAACACAGACCCAAACTGTTCGGATGCGCGGTGCTCACTGTCATCTGTGCCAAAGCCAAAAGCTGACCAGGGAAATCCTCCAGCACCTCCACGAGGGACATCTTCTTCCTCTTCTACACCGCCCGCCATCCTTGTCGCGTCATACTCTCGTCGACGTGAGACATCCGATAGCGTGTAGTAGGCATCGTTAATCTCCTGAAACTTGCGCGTCCGGGCTGGCCTGTCCGGGGAGTCGACAGGGACTCTGTCTGGATGGGATTTTAAGGATTCTCTGCACGGTTCAGAGCCTGAGCTTTTTGAAAGGGGGGGCTACTAGATCACCTTTTGTATGCGTTGCGAATTTCTTGCTGCGTCGCACTGGAAGAGACCCCTAGAACTTTGTCTATCATTGCCGTGAAGTCAGACAGATGTTCCTCCCACCCTATCTTGGCGTGGTGACATACAGTAGTCTCGTTGTCCTGTTGACACACACAGTCAGCTCGGCCAGGCAAGTTACGAAACAAGCCGGGTTACGCTCACTTGTCATTGTTATGTTGTTTCAAGGGTGATAGTAAACCCGTGGGAATCGATAATACCAGGAAGAGATGATGGAGTCCAGATCATGACTCGGCGCGGGGAACATGACGTCGACAGAATCTTGCTGCCTTAGGCAACCACAAGCACGGGATCTTTCTGCTTCTTAAGTTCTCGGACTTGTTCTTCAAAGTTCAGAGGCACTTCAGAGACGGGAAGCCCCTGAGCGCGAGCACCAATAACGGGGGTGGCTCAAACGTTAAGGATGCCGGAACCACTATTACCAGCCACTCGGGGAGAGCGTCGTACGTACGCTGCAGCTGCTAAGAACACGCTAAGCACCATGTAGTGATGGTGTTCAGCTTTGCCTCCTGCATAACTAGATGGATGGGGGTCTCACCTCATCCCCTCCCTCCCCCTTCCTTTAACCTTCTCACACGGCTCGTCTGACTATTCTGTATGCACTCCGATTGAGAGACCGCTTAAAGGACGAGTCAGTCCCCATAATCGACCGGAATCTTGCGATTCCTGATCTGACTAGATTCAACCATCAATTGGCTATTGCACAAATACCCCGAGCGTGTCATTTTTTCGATACCCGCCCTGGAATTCAGCTGTGGAGCTGGCCACTACCGCAAGGAGGCTGGATCTCAAATTGTGTGCATTTGCAGCACGCTACGACTCCGCAATAGTGCAAGTGCCTTTTATGTGCACACATCACATTGAGAGGGGTCCTTGATACCTTCGTGCCTTCAATTATCTGTTTTTGCGACGCTATCCATTTATATGCTATTGGCGACCGAGTATCTAGATTTGACACCGCAACCAAGTTTCCTCTCACAGTGAACCCCAAGTCAAGATGGGTTGGTTTGACGGAAAATCCTCATCCTCGTCTTCCCACACACGTGTCCGCCGACGCTCTTCCCCCTCCCGACGCTCCACTTATTCATCCCATCATCCTCGCCACTCTACCCCCTCGCTTTTGAGTATAAATGGCGGCGGCAGTCGCGCAGGACGGACCAGCCCATCGGTGCTTTCATCGTCATCGTCGCGACGCGCACGGCCCCGATCAGGCTTCGTACAGCGGGTGGTTCGCTACATCAAACGCTTGCTCCGTGATATCTACGACTACGCCCGTCGTAATCCGGTGAAGGTTCTCATTTTGGTTGTTATACCGCTCCTCACGAGTGGTGTCTTGCAGAAATTGCTCGCCATGGTTGGCATCCGCCTGCCTAAAAGCATCTTTGGTGGAAACTCCCCGAAGACTAGCAGCAATAGCATGTCAGACAACATCAAGGGACTCATGAATATTGCGAAAATGTTGATGTAAACGCTGAGACGTTTGATAACCATCTCCTTTGGCTAGGGAGGTTTATCGCATGGGCATGGATCTATCTTTCCTCTCACCAACTTGGACTGGAAGATTAAGCGTGGAAGAGCCCGAAAAAAGCAGAGACGACTACAATCATGATCACGATATGACGACAACGATACGACGAAAATTTGACCTGATGGCTTTTGTTGGTTCATACTTTCAGTGGTTGCTAAAAGGACCAATATTTTGGACACAACTTCTGACATGTATCATGCACAGAGCTTATAAGCAATGTTTTTTTTGTGATGTATTTAGACACTATTGCCAATGAAATGCTCGCCAGGGCCTTTGAAAATGAATTTTTAGACACCAAACACTGTTTATACACTTGCCCTCGTGGAACCCATTTGTAGACTCCAAGGAGAGCAAAGAACCAAAGCGGATGCGGCATACAAAGCGAAGCTGCCTTCCCCTTTACATCACCTGGGTTACGATTTTTGTGACCGTTTCCCCCGTCTTTTGGAGGAGCCAGACTTAGATGGTGCCGCAGAAGTGCTGGTGCCTTCAGCCGACTGCTCCACCACATCGGACGGTTCCTCCTCTACCTCAGCACCGTTATCCGCTGCTGGGGAAGAACCGAGCAGTCTGCCGACCGTCTTGTGGTAGAACCAACCCGGGAGGCGGAACACCATCGTATCACGGATTGTGGGACGCTGGATCTCGTCAATATCGAGCAAGAATTCCTGGCGCTCTCCTTCTTCCGTCTCCTCCTCCAAGAACACATTACCGACCGAATCGACGATCAACACCTTTCCGTTCTCTGCGATTACCCGCTTTCTCTCCCCGGTAGGCTCCACAGACTCGGAGGTAGGTGTGGCGGTTCCCGAGTTACGCGAAGTCGCCCGACCGCCTTTCTTACCCTCCTTACGGTTTTCGCGGTCCATCATGCGCTTCTGGCGACGGTTCATCGGCATAGCGGCCGCTTCTGGTTCAGGGGCCGGGGCCGGGGCAGGAGCAGGAGCAGGGACCGGGGCACCGTCAAGACCAGGGATACCCCGGACACCCGATTCGTCGCCCCAGGCGGCTCTCCGAGCTTGACGAATGTACCGATCGACGAACTCGCGCTGACGCTTCCAGCTCAGAACCAGGGCAGCGTAGTGTGCACCACCGCCGAATACCAAGAACAGTCCGGCAAGAACCGATCCCAAGCCCGGGCGGAATCGCGAATAATAGTATCCAGTTCCCTTCCACTTGGGGAATCCATTCTTCAAGAAATGGTCATAGCGCTCGCGAGCGGGGCCACGGAGGATATTGGCGACGGTATTCAGGCGGGCAGAGCGCTCGTGGGCCTCCTTTACGGCGGCAGCGATTTCCCGCTGCGAAGGACCCTTGTTGACATGGACGCCAGCCTGGGAGGTTTTGGATCGAGACTTGTCCTTGGAGCTGTTGGCAATGAAGGACCGCTTGACTTTATCGGGGTGCAAGAGTCTCGACTTCTGACGATAGGCCTTGCTCAGTTCGTCTTGGTTGGCATTGGGTTTGACGCCCAGGAAATCTGGCCATTGAGGACAATGAGTGGCGAGGAATTGGATATGGCTTTTTTATAAGGGGGAAACGTACCGTAGAAGGTCACATTGGCACCCTCTGCAGCGGTGACTTCGTCATTAAGACGGAAAATTTCATAGTCTGAAGGGACATGGAGGGTTAGTTACAATAGAAGAAGGCATTGGGGGAGACAGGGTGAACAGCAACTGACCTTCCTTGCTCCAGGCCGCGGCCAGAACAATCAGGGCTGCCAGCACCAGCAGACGAAGAGCGATGGGCCTCATGGTGGAATATGGGAGCGGTCAAGCCGCGAGACCCAGCGAGCAATAGAGAAAGGGAATGGAAAGAGGGGCAGTGGAGAACGATTGTGCGAATAAGCTATCTATATGCAGCTCTTCATGGTGATTGTTGGTACTGTGTAAAGTTGTTCTTATCCAAAGTTCCAAATCGATAGGTGGAATCCTCAGGCGATGATACGGCGAGCGAATGATCTGTCATCAGGCAGGAAGGCATTACGCCTTCGGTACGGGACTAGACCCGGAATGGACAGATCCGGGCTCACCGCCCGGGTCGGGATGGCAAGCCATGGGAAGCCATGAACGCAGCAATACGGGCCTTACGGTACGGGTCCGGTGGAGTCTGCAGATGTACGACGTGGACCAATGATGGACACCTCCCCAAGGCCAGGTGAGGAGAAGATGAGGAGAGGGCATAGGTAGGCAAGAGGTGATTGATACCTAATGCTTGCAGAAGCGTCTATCCAACTGAGACGAAGGCTGGGGGGAGGGGGAGAGAGCGAGGTTTAAATTCGAGACCGTCCCGGCCAGTGCGTCGACTTTCCCAGTTACCGTTGTTACCACTCCCTGGGACCCGTATCGGCAGCAGAACCGCCGTCATGGGGTTGACAAGGACTGAATGATGGATGATCCGGGGCATGATTGAAAGCACTCGGATGCAGTCTGCCTCGTTATTGAGAAGAGCCAGCCAGTCGTTCTCCTGTCACTTGTACTTGTCTGAAAAGGACCTCCTCCTCCTCCTCCTCCTCCTCCTCCTCCTCCTCCTCCATCTTCTGTTCCGCACCCAGCCCGAGGGAACACTCTCCACCCTCTGCTTTCTATTCTTAGCGGACCTCATCCACTGGGTCCATGAAACCGGAGCAGTGACTCAGGTTGCTGATCCACGCGTGTCTCGAGTCCCCTTGGTTTCTTTTTTCCAGCCTCGTTTCTCTTCCTCGTGCCTATAAGAACGGTGCGATCCACTGGGATTCCTCGGTGGTCGATACTCGATAGATAGATAGTAGTCCCTACTATCTACTTAGGCTCGGGTGCCTTGAAGAGCGGCCAGCACTAACTGTTTCGGTCTGTGCTTTCCGCCTGGACCGCCGACGCTACGGGCGAGGCTTAGGCTGCCAACGCCTCTTTTTTTCCTTTGGGGCCAGCTAAGCCGGTTCCAATCTCTCGTCGACATACATTCCCTGGTCCTTCGGTCCTTCCCCCTTTTCTCTCGCCGGCTTGACAGCTTTCTCTACCTTTGCCTTTCATCGTCATCATCATCATCATTTCCATCATCTTCCTACTCCCTTCGCTTCCTCCCCGAGTTACCTCGTCTGCTGTTTTTAACCTTACTTTCTCACAACCTCGAACCATCATCACCATGCCTCTCCAGATTCCCATTGACGCGATTACCTCGCGGTTCGGTGATCGCTTCAACAGCGTCCGCTCCCAATCCCTCGGCACCCGCTTTGCCAATCTGCGACCGGTCTCCGAGTTCTTGGACATCAAGCGTGTGTCGAAGCCCGCCAACTTCGGTGAGGTCCAGAGCCGCGTGAACTACAACCTGTCCTACTTCTCGAGCAACTATGCCGCCGTCTTCGTGATGCTCAGCATCTACAGCTTGCTGACCAATCCCCTTCTGCTCTTTGTCATCATCCTGGTCACCGGTGGTCTCTACGGAATCGGGAAGCTGCAGGGTCACGACCTGGAACTGGGATTTGCTCGGTTCAATACCTCCCAGCTGTATACTGGCCTGCTCATCGTCGCCGTGCCCCTGGGATTCTGGGCCTCGCCCATCAGCACGGTGCTCTGGTTGATCGGAGCCACCGGCGTGACCGTTTTCGGCCACGCTGCTTTTATGGATAAACCAATCGAGAATGCTTTTTCCGAGGAGGCGGTCTAGGTGGTCGGCCGCGAACTCCTTACGGTATGCCCCGATGGGGAAGACCACCAGGGGCACGAGTGGGGAGACAAGCCGGGCGTGCGGATCCGTGGGTAGACGGTGCGGTACGGATTGAGGAGGTTGACAGCGAGGAGGAAGATACATATATCCGGCGGGATGCTCGCTCTTCGTACGCGAGGCAGTCGGGCGGTTTGGATGAGAGCGGAGGGTCTCGGTTGCGCAGGCGGAGGATGGGATACGACTATGCGGATGAGATGGCTTCTGTCGATGGGGTGGACTATGACCTGTACGAGGACATGGACAGCACGGTGGCTTATGCCGTTCAGTTAGCCATGAAGGACAAGGAGGAGAGATTGGTGGATCAAGCTTTGGAACGGATACGACGCGCTCAGAAACAGGGCCAAAAGAACGTGCGACTATCGGGCCGGGAGCTGGAGGCCTTGGAACGCAAGCGAGTGCAGGCAAACCGGACTCCCGATTCGGAATACCGGGCAAGTACCCCCCGGGGGTCACCTGGCAGCAACCGACCCTTGAGGCCGCCGGAGAGCCCCAGCAGCAAGATGGGAGCACAACGTAGCGGGTCCAGTGCATCGTCACCAAGCAAGCATGGCATGCCATCCTCATTGTCGGCCAACAACGCCGCATATGCGTTCTGGACGGGGACCTTGGGTGCCTCTGCTGCATCCCAGGCTTCTGCGCGCTCACCATCTGCCCGGACTGCCTCGAAGCAGACCCCGTCTCGAGCCCTGCTGCAACCGGCCTACACCCCCGACCGCCTCGCCTCTGTCCCTCTTGCTCGCCCTTCCGGGGCCATGAAAGCCCCTGCCTTTACGCGTTCCCTCCCCGATGATCCGCAGTGGGTGCCCCCGTATCCTGTCTCATATCCCCGAGAACCGCCGCCGCATCCAACCGATCTCCGGCACGCCGGCTCAATGCCGTACATGTCGGGCTACCGCGGCGTCTTTGACGAATCTCTTCGGAGCGGTGGGCGGGGTGCGGCTGCTTCGCCAGGGGTATCGGGGGTCGCGGTGGAGGGCACTCATGGCGCCGGGGAGGAGGAAGAGGAAGGGAGTAGTTCCGATGACAGCGCCAAGGTGGTTGAGCGCCGGGTACCGGTCGGGCGAGGAAGTCGTCAGCGGAGCAGTCGCCCTTGAAGCCCCTAGACTCGTGCCCTTTCATATTGCTTTTCTTTGGTGGGTGGACAAGGTCGCTTCTGGTTTGCCCTCGAATGTTTGTTGCGCGGGGTTCCGGATTCCCGTGCTTGATTGTCTGCACCGATAAACCGTCGCGGAGTTTGTCTAGAGCGGGTAACTGAATTGGATGATCGTGCTGTTTTGTCTCGTAGTACGAGTACGGAGTAAGCGTTCGCCAGTAACTGATTGGACGTGGATTAGGTTCAGATAGCCGTGGAGATGAGGTTGGGGTGTAACGTCGGACATGCTTGGTGGCTTGAACTCAAATGGGGATCTCTTCCCCGTGGATCCTATGTAGATCTTCAACCGGCCATCCGCATAGTAGGTAGAGGCAGTGCCATCGTCCGAGCCACATCAGCGCCGAACTGGCCGATGACGTCGATGAGGTCACGGTCGTCGAACCTGGCCGGGATTGCTGCTCGACCCAGGCGTCATGGATTGGCTAGAACTTTTCACTTTCTGTCTGCCTGCTGCGACCTGACACTCAAGCCTGGTCGGAGAGGCCGGTGGGCCCTCTTCGTCGTCACCATCTCAAGAGTTGCGTTGCTGCCCTCGGCCGGGTAATTAAATGCTTACTCGGCCTCTCCACCGACCCAGTCGGCCCCTGGTTTCTTTTAGTCACTCGTTCGTTGGCTTAAATCTCCCCGGCTGCCCTCCTGGGTTTTCAGGTTCGATTCCCACTGCCAATTGCCCTCGAGTCGTCTGGCAATCGGTGCTGCTGACGCCCTCTTCCGGTGAACCCTCGGATCGATTGATCGACGACAAGCCACTTCCGCCCCTTCCGGCGCCGCGTTCCACCCGATCGACTCACGAAAGCGAAAGCCAATCGCCCTTCTATATACTCCGTACTTCGCTCCTCTGGGGTTTCTTTGCCAGCAACCCAGTCGCTTGCGTGCGCGGTGCTGTGCGCTTTGCTCGAGATATAAAAATCTTCCTCCATAGGGGGTGTAACAAAAAGCAGCGGCGAAGATGTGGATCATATCATTTTGGGTCTTCCCCGTCATATCGGCGTGTACATGGATCGGTAATAATCCCTCCTGATTTGCGCCAAACTCCGCGACAGGAACTGACAAAATGCGCAGCCATGCTGATTGCGATGCTGGCGACGTGGGCGAGAGAAGGCTCGCCGATATATGCCAGTATGGAGCCGGGCCAGACGATCGCGTAGGTGATCACGCGACCTCCTGCATGCGACAGCGATGCTGATTCACCACCTGGCAGGTATATTTCCGATATTGGAGCGCAGGGCCTGAAGCCGCTGTTCATTGCAGGCAGCTGCGTCACGGTCGTTTTTCTCGATCTTTCGTTCCTGTCAGAGCGGTGGTTGCGACACGCGGGCCAATTGGTGCCGAACAGGGGCCTTTTCGACAAGGCCTGCGCCATCGCTTCGATCTGCTTCTCAATCGCAGGTGCCCTGGGGCTGATTCTGCTGTCGATCTTTGATACCCTCCGTCATCCGCATATGCATGATGGCTTTTTGGTTATGTTCTTGTTCGTGTTTGTGGCGCCCTCACAGAAGAGCCCGGGACTAACGCCCCTACAGGGTCGCATACTTAATCAGCGCCATTCTCATTTGCTGTGAATATTGGCGTCTGGGCATCTTTTACCGCTCGCAGCATCGGATTCTGCTGGCCAGTTTCGTGATCAAGCTCTCGTTCGTGATCATTGAGATTGCGCTCGCCATTGCCTTTGGGGTCCTGGGCAGAAAGGGTGGTCGGTACAGAAACGCGGCGGCTGTTTTGGAATGGGGTGAGTTTCTTCCTCATGCTGCTTTCATTGCGGCCGGACTGGCTGGCTGACTCAGGTAGTGATCGCGCTCGTCTTCACATTCTATGTCCTCTCCTTCGTAATCGACCTGCTGCCATCGGTGCGCACCCGCCGCCATGTCCCGCAAGGCGAGAAGATTTCCCGAGCCGGGCAGATGAATGGCTATTCCAACGGAACGACGAATGGGAGAGAAGAGACCTACGAGGAGCCGGTGACGATGGACTCGGCCGGTCCGAATGCCAGCTACTACCGCGGCCAGCGAATGTGAAGGAACGCCGCCTGCGAAGTGAACGATTTCTTATGTGGAGTACATACTCGAAGCAATGTGGTTTGATACGATAATATACGATAGATACCCGGTGGTTCCTTCTTGGCGACTGGAGTGAGCGGGTCTTGCACGGATGGATACTAGTACTATGACCATATCCATATCGGTGTCGAGACCCGCCGGTGGCGATTGCTGTTGGATTATACGGTGCTGGCTCTTTCTGGCGGTTTGGATTTTTGGAGACCCCCTTTGCTGCACTTCTTACCATTTACCCTTCGACCTAGTCGCATGTACTACTCTATACTTCAACCTCCTGGCTTTAATACCACCTGGATGGTTAATACATACTATGGAGCACCTGACATGCCGAGAACAACAAGAACATGATTACCATTATTCATCGAGAGTACGAACCGTCTAGGGTCTATTCACACTCCCTCCATCTACCTGTACAAGCATCCCCTTGCCCCTTCCCTCCCATCTACTAGTCTCATCCCCACTCAAGCCAGCAAAACCCTCCGTATCCTCTCCACCTTCTCCCGCCCAATCCCAATGAGACCCAAATACCCCTCAACCCCACCATATCTCTCCTCCAGATGTGCACAGATCCGCCCCGTAAACCCATCCGGACACTTCGTATACTCCTCCGACAGCCCCAACAACCTCACCTCCTTCATGCGCTCCTCCATCTCAATGACCAGTTCGCCCTCAGACCGAACATAATCCGCCGCCACGGCGTCAATGGGCACGAAATCGGCCACCAGGAGCAACAGAAGGAGGATGATCAGGCCCGTGCGGTCTTTACCTTGCGTGCAGTGAATGAGGATGGGGTAGGGGGTGTCGAGACTGTCTTTCTCAGTAGAAGAAGAGGAGGAAGAGGAAGAGGCAGGGTCCTGGTCGTCGAGGTTATGGGTCGTGGGAGTGGAGAATAAATCGAAGATGGTTTTCATTTCCCCGAAACTGCTGTCGAGGGTGTCGATTCCTAGACCGATCAGGCCCCGAGGGGACATGACTTGTTGGCCGACGATGAGGACAGCGTCATCGCGGTAGCCTGAGGCGGCGAGGGCGAGGACCTTGCTGTTTCTTTGGGTTAGGATTTGTGTAGACTTTGTTGGGGGGGGGTGGGTAGGTAGGTAGCTGGGTAGTTTAGGGAGGGAGGAAGAGGGATTGGAAGGGAAAGGGGAAGGGGAAGGGAAGGGGAAATACAAGAAATTCCACCAATCGAGACGCCAGAGCAGAGTCCGTTCAAAGGCCTTCCCGGTGAGGCTAACGGGGAAGCGACGGACTTCGGGGAGATCAATGAGATGAAGGTTGTTTGTGGTAGAGGTGGGAGGCGTGGACGATGTCGATGACGCGGCTGCCAGTTCCGAGAGACGTTTGGTGGTGGCCATTTGGTGTTCGGTACTGATGCGATGCATTAACGGTGGCCCCTTTGATATAGATATGGCATGCATGCTTTCATAGATTGAGTTAAGGTGGAGAGGGGGGTCTACTTCGTACCTAGATCGGAGATCGATGATCGTCGCAATATGCAGTTCATCGGTGAGACGGCGTTTGTCACGCTCCGAGGCATCATCTAGCTTTGGGGGTTGTTAGTATTTGCTGGGCTGGGCTGGGCTGCGTTGACCAAATCTCAATGGATGGAGATGGTGAAGAGGGAGAAGTACCCTGGCACTCCGGAAGAGGATGCCCTCCTTCAGCACCCTGTGTAGTCGGTGTGTCAGTCACTACGAATGAATGAATGAACCATCGCAAGGATCAAGCAGCCGTACCTCTTCCCGACTAATTGGTTGATGGTGCGGCCGACATCGCGGAAATTGATGATGTTGTCGAACGGACGGCCGGGGGAATCGAGATCTACGCTCGACTGGCGCGGGTGGTAGGCAGACATCGGGGGATGCTCGCTCTATACCTTATACAATGCGAGAGAGTAGTAGCCACACGTAGTAGTCACCGGCGGAGACTGGGGAAAGATCAGTGGGGGTCGCTCATGGGGGATTGGGAGGAGATCTTGCGTGGGGAGAGGTACGTTCTACTCGCTAGTGGCAGGACAAAAGGCAACAACAAACAGGCTGGCCCTCCAGAAACATAACCACGTCCAGGCGGATCGGAGCAGACGAGATCATCTCGGAGCCAGGCGAGGCCGGGAGGAAACGTGGATGCGCCGCTGGGGAGCCGCGCGGCAAATGGCGGTGGAGCTGCAGACAGCCAGACTACACTACTTAGTCCTTATCTACTCCCGAGTATGACAGCACCGTCTCCCATACAACATAACATTACTTAGTGATTATGTACCCAGTCTCCCCTGCCCACCGGAAAAGTACACCGGAAATACCAACATTTCAATCATAATCGCAACCACGAGAAACTATTAGGAAAGAAAGAATGAAAGAAAAACACCCGGAAAGCAAAATCCCTCCCCCTCGCAATCATAGCTTCTCGGAGAACCGCGATTCCCGGCCGGTGCCGCTGCTCGCTCGCTTCCCCACGGCTGCAGGAACCGTCAGACCTGCGTCAGGGACACTTAGCTGTCGCTCTTCCGTCTCCACTGTCGGAGTGGGGATCGCTTGAGAGCTTCGACGAGCCATGTCATTGCTCCCAATCCCGTCCATCTTCGCCTCCTGCGAGTTCTTGGAAACAATCTTCTTGAAGCCGGTCACCAGCCGATTGCGCTTGTCCGCCGCAGATTCCTCTTTGCTGTCGGGTGATTGCTGACCAGCGTGGTCCTCGGCTTGTCTCTTATCCACCTGACCCTCACTGATCGACATCCTGGTCAGGTCATTGGCCGTCACAGGATGGGATCTAAGCGCCGCTCCCCGCGAGTCGTCCTCAACAGCTGCTTGTCCAGATATTTCAGGGGCTACAGGTGCAGCCGGTAGTTCGGGGACCTCGGGATCCTTCTCAGCTGGGTGGGCGATTTCCCAAGTCTGTCCTTCTTCAGCTTCAGATCCCTGCACTGGCTGGGATACCCGGCTCTCCTGGGACTCGGCTTCCACCGCTTCCACCGCTCCGGTCTCCTCTGGCCGTTGCGCCACTGCCCCTGTCTCCGCTGGGACAGCGCCTTCCTGGGTGCCCTTGCCTGCCTTTGCGGTTTCCCCTGCGGTGCCACTGAACCGACGGCCCAGTCTTCCCTTGAACCAGGTCCTCAGCTTCGACTCAGATTTGGAAACGCCCTCAGTGGGACTGGTTTCCCCAGCAGCACCTGAAACTGTAGCCTCGATATCTCCCACCGAGGTCTGCCGCGGCGCAGTCTCAGCGGGTGCCTCGTCTACCGCTCCGTCGACGGCCCCGTTTACGGTGTATCTTTCGCCAGCTGTGGTGTCGGAAAACCGCTTTGACTTCCTGTTCCATAGCCGAGCCTTTTCATCCTTCAACTTGGATTCGGATTTCAGAGCCGCTGCTTGCTTACAGTTAGAATGCCTTGGTCTTTTCCTTTCTTTTCTCTTGCGAAAAATATTAGCAAGGCGACTTACCTCTCAGTCGTTTCTCTTCCGCCCTGGTGTCAGCGTCTCGCTCGCGCTGGATGGCGTCCCGTCTCTGTGCCTCTTCCTGATCTAAACGCTGCTCTAACTCCCTGGCCCGCTTGGTTTCCGCACGGTCCGTGATCTCGTCAAAGGTTGGCTGCAACCTGGAACGGGCAAGAGCCTCCACATCTGCCATGTCGATGTACTTCTCGGAGCTGATATTCACGCGATCAGCCAGCTGGTACTGCGCATCTGTCTTCTGTCTCTGCTTCGCGCGGGCCAGTGCAGTTTCTTCCATTTCCTTTTGCATGGCTGCGGGGGCACGCCCAGTCGTGGCATAAACACGCATCTCCATGTCTTGGATGGTCGCATCGACGTTCCTCCTCGCAGCCTCCATCAGGAGTGCGCGATCCTTTTCTCTGCGCTCATCCACCGCATCCAGCTTAGATCTCAAACTGTACATCTGGTTTCGAATTTCCTTCGAGCGCTCCGCATCAACCGAAGAAGCATCCGTGTCAATCGACAGTCGCCGTCTACGGACCTGCAAGCTAGAGCGCGTCGTCTGCGGCTCGATTCCGTAATATTCACGGTAGATTGCCGTCTCATCCTGCATGCTGGCCAATTTCTCCGCCGCACGCTTCTCAGCAGCATCCTGTAGGCTGAAAGCTTGTTGCAGAATCATTGGCTCGGCCCCAGTTGCTGTTCGCTGAGATGTGATTCGACCGGAGCTTTTTTGTTCTTGTTCCTTGGCCTCAACGACCGCATACATGTCACGCGCCATGGAGACTGCTGCGGCCTGCAGAATGCTCTTCCGTTTATGATCCTCCAGCTCGGGAGAGACAGGCGGGGAGGCAGTGTAAAGACGAGCATTGGTGTTGGCAATGTGCTGAATCCTACTGGCTTCCATGGCACTGTCGAGATCGCCGAGGACCTCGTCCGCGTCCATGCCTGCGTGAGGCGCCTCCGACGGTGCAGAATCGGCTCTCCTTCTGTTGGCATATAGAGCCCCCGTCACAGCATAATGGGTTCTATCTCGGCCTGTCGTGCCGGAACGCGTCTCAGGCATCTGACGAGCTCCGGACAAGTCATACTTGATATCTGGAGACTCGGAGGGGCTGACTACCGACCGGCGGTCCCTGAAAACGTATGCAGCAGCCTTATATCCTTCGAGGCTTGGCACCTCGGCCGCGCGATTGTCCTCCACATGTTGTGCTGTGGCCGATCCTTTTGTCACCCGTCCTCTGGATCGGGCGTGGGCCAGCGCAGCCACTGCAGATGCATGACTAAAGCCAGGACGGGAGCCTGTCGCCTTCAAGACTGGAATACAGGTAAGGAGTCAGTATGGTAATTTGTCCTGTGGCAGGAAATCAATACACATGATAATGGGGGGTGGATGCTCACTGGCCAATTCAGATTCCGCAGTGGAGGGCTCGCGAACGGATAACCTTCGCTCCGGATGGGTCACGTAGAGCGCCGCAGTTGCAGCTGTGAGAGACGTGGTCAGCTACCGATTCGTCTCGGTAATTACTATCGTTATGGTTTTTTCCTTATTTCTTCATGATGAGATCATGGACCATAGCAACGGGGAGATATGATAAGTAGTAGGGTAGGGATGTGAAACAGACTAGCAGGGCACAGGGCCCCGAAGAGCCAGGAAGCAGACGCAGATCGCTTACCTTGACCCGCCAGGCGGGCTGACCGGGACCGCCCGATGGCAACACGTTCGACGGGGGCGGGTTGTTCAAGGGTGGTGGCCATGATAAGATACCGACGATCGTCTGCAGGGCGGAAGGAAGCGAGGCATTCCTGGCAGAGGAGGCGGCAGCGGAAGAAGAAGAGGGATCAGAAGGACGGCGGGGAGCAAGGGGAGAGAAGAGGGAAGAAACGTTAAAAGGTGGGCGAGGAGGGGATAAAGTTAATGACGCCGATGATGTTGTGAAAAGAGTGGTAGAGTTCATGAGGTGGTATGGAGGACCCGAGAAAGCCTGAGGTATGGGGGGTGGCCGGATGGAACTGGAAGGGCCGCAACCGCCCATTGGGGAAAGAACGGCCAGGGAGGCCAGGGAGGCCAGGGAGGCCAGTGACATCAACCGCGCTGATGTCATCATGAAGGCTGCCCGTTGCTGAAACGGAGCTGAACAGCTTCCGGTTGCGTATCACGCCAGTGCCCTCTGTGGTGCCCGTGGTGCCCGTGGTGCCTGGCACTTCTGGTTCGTCTGATTCATTGACTCCCGCCTCAGCCTTACTACCATGGATCTTCCACGTCCTGACGAATGTTGCCGGGTAAGTACCGTGTACCTCTCTCCAAACCCAGGCACTGCCTGGGACAAACTTGCCTGTGTACAACCACCACCACCAGTCCCACCAATCCCAACCCGCCGTGTCTAGATTACCTAGATCCCTCAACACCTCGGATCCTGTGTAACGGCTAGAGGATATCTAGTGTGGCCTTGGCCAGACTATCGGGAGACTACTACTCCGTACACAGTGCTATCTGGAGACCCAGTCCAGCCCAATGGTCACCTAGCGGGTTAGTGTCGCCCTAGTCGTTCGCCCAGAATTAATTGCGCGCGGACCCAGGTCATGTCATCATGGCGGTGCATCACGCCCTGCTCGGGGATTCGCTATATCCCGGGGGTTTTATAATAGCTGCCCTCACAAAAGATGCACGTCCCCGCAGCCCAAGATATTGAAGCTCTGTGGTCTCTTGTCACTCAATCGTTTGCGACCCCTCCTTCCTTCGCCCTCATCACCACCTCCTTTCCCCTCTCCTCCCCTCCCCTCCCCCATCCCCAAGAAAATAATCCTTCCCTTCCAGTTGTATAACAGCTGCCTCCACCCTCCACCATACCCCATAAATAAACACAACCCTATCCACCACCCACCAGCCACTGACCACCACCACCATGTTCTGGTTTTCCTCCCACCAGCAACAACACTCCGCCCTCCCACCTGTCTCCTCCACCAAGTCCAAAATCCGTAGAACCCTCAAGTCGCCCGGACGGCCCATCGCCATCCGCAAGGACCACATCACCGACACCCAGACTCTCCTGATCGTGCGACCCCAAGGCGACGCACAGTCCGCCGTGGCCTACAAAATCCAAGACGCGGACGGCATTACCCTCTACACCGCCACCGGTCGCAAGTTCAGCGACCGACCCTGTCGCGAGTTCCGCGATGCCTCGGGTCTCCCGCTCTTCGAGCTGCATCGGAAAGCCCCCTTCAAGAACAACTGGTCCGTCACCCTCCCCGGCAGTAAGATCACCAGCCCGATTGCGACGGGGGCGCTGCGTCGATCTTCCTTCAGCGCCGCCGGCTGGGGCAACTTCACCATCACCTTCGACAATGTAGCGGCCGCGGATGGGAAACGACCCGAGGAGAGGACGCTTACGCTGGAGGTGCAACGGCATGGAAACGTGTTGGCCCTGTTCGACATCGTCGACGGAGATCGCAAGGTTGCCGAGGTGAAAGAAAGTATTCGGCATAACGAGAAACTGGCGCTCATGCCTGCCTCGCGATATGGCTATCGCCCGGTGTTGGATGTGATTGTCACCCCTGGGGTAGACATGGCTTTGGTAAGTACTCGATAGGATGCTCCCGATTCCAAGTTCACGTCGGAGTGTGTGGCCGGGGTGGTGATGATTGTTGACTGACTGACTGGCCGTCTAGATTGCTACGATTGCGGTTATCGCCTCAGACACGGTGTTTGCGTCGAATTATTGACTTTGCATCGCTTGGAACGTTGAACAGGATTATGGCGCTATGAGATATGAACCTAATGACCTTTTTCTTCTCTTCCTCTGGTCTCTATTGTCTTTTCGTTTGTTTACGCGGCTTGTTCAACCCGTTGATGACTTAATCAGGGCGTTTGGATGGCTGATGGTGTGATCTCGGAGCTGGCCCCAATACTACATTGCTCTACCACTCCACAAGGTAGAGCGATCCATTGGGTTCGTGGTGCATGGTTCTAGTACTTGCGCCCTGCCAAGGGAGACTGTTGGTTTTCTTCAGCGTTGGAGTTACACCTATTTGCTGGAGTTTCCTCAAAATGTATATATTCGCGACCGCTAAAGTTCGTCAGACTCATCGGAGGGGGGTTGCAAATGTGGAAGAGGCAAGCGATTTATCATTAACTTCGGTAGATCTCTCGCTTTCACCATAAATTCAGGATTTTCAGTATATCATAGCGGTAGAAGAAAGAGCGGTTCCATTTCCCAAAAATATCTAGACGCACGTTAGCCCATTTCCTTGCTACGAGGAGCGAAGGAACATACACATCGGAATGCTCAAGGCACAGATCCCCATCTGGATGCTGGAGATGGCTAAGAAGGCCGGCTTGACGCCATGGGCCACAAGCCAGTCGTAGGCAAAAAACGTCAACACAAAGCTGAACATATTCTTGAAGACCAACATGCACGTGAATGATTCGATCGCGATCTCGCCTGTTGAGCGTCAATACTCCAGGTTTAGCTCCCGTGACTAGGCACCGATACTCACGATGGGCATCGACAATGTACAGCGCACTCGCCACCGCGCCCATGACCATTCCTATGATAACTAGTGCGAAAAACACGTCCGCCACAAGCCACCCATATCTGGCGACATCCTGGGCGATAATGCCAAACCCATAAAGCCCTGCGCCGCAGAAGATCAACTGGAAGATCACCAGAAGAATCCGGAACTCCGGCTCGTATTTCCCTCGATTGAGTTTGATCATCATGCGGTTCATCGAATCGGAGAGAAGCCCCGATAAGACCAGACCCAGAATAGAGCCGATGAAGGCGCCCGTGTACAGGTACCCGGTCTGTACTTCATTGAACCACAGTGGAGGGCCAAGGAAAATGGCGGCCAAAACCACCCCGATAAAGACGGTCCATCCTATGATCACGCCTTGGATCAAACAAGCCTATAGGAGTTAGTATATGACTTGGACATTGGATCTTTTCTTAGGGCTTACCCAAAGGATCGCGGGATGGAAGAACAGGGGAAACGGCCGTAGAAGAAGCTTGAAGAAGCTCTCATCGGTTTTCCGGCCATTAAACGGTTTGAGGGTTTCAAGGTAAGACACCTTGGTGGTAGTCTTCATTTGTGTCTCTCGAGACAGCTCTTTTGAGGATGTAGGACGATGACGTTCGTCGACAGACGGCGCAGACTGCCATTGATCGTCTGGTCCTGGAGTGGTCTCGGGTGTAATAAGATTGTTGAGCTGTACTTGTGAGGTTGGGCGAGGCTCGGCCTGGTGGTCATTAGTATATTCAAAATCTGATCTCAGATGGTCCGGACGCCTGAAAGCCGTTTCGGGGACGAAGAAGAACGTAAGAGGCAAAGCTGCTGCTGTGAGAATGGCGACCAAGTAGAATGTCCACTCCCAACCAAGGCTATGCGTGATCTTGCCTGCCAAAACTGGGGTTAGGAAAGCCGCGCCGAAGAGTGCGACATTAGAAAGAGCCATTCTTTTGCCCCGTTCCTGTACGTTTGTTGGCCATGTGCTTCAAAATACATAAGACGTCGGAGCCACCTACATGGACATAAAATAAGTCACCGACGCATGCATTTAATAGAGCCTCGAAAGGAGCCAAAGCAACGCCCTGGAAGATGCGAGCCCATAGCAGACTCTGGTAGTTATGCTTGCTGGCCCCGGCCCAAGCACAGCTCACTATCATCAAGGCATTTCCGAGCAGAAAGAGGTGACGCTTTCCCCAGAGTCGTGCAGTGGGCACAATCAAGATACCGGCGACCCCGACACCACAGAGATGATACCCAGTTAAGAGCGCAACTGAAGTGAAGCTTTTTCCGTAGTAGAGAGCAATGGTGACAGTATTGGCAGCCATCAACGAGCTGGTCGTTGCGCAAAGCACTGCCACGAAAGAAAGGACGAGTAGCGTGGCATCGCGCCTTCGAAGTGGCCAATTCTATAGCTCAAACTCGTCAGTTATCGAGCCACCTAGCCTCTCAGAGGGACCTTCTAACGAACCAATGGATCATTGGGGTCGTCGCTTGGCTGAGGGACGAGGAGGATAGGCACAGTGCCTGAACGATCATATTTAAGGCTCGAGTGAACGACCGGTTCGTCAGTGGCGCGTTCTCTTTTAACAATGTCCGAGGTCCCTATTAAGAAGCTGTCATGTCTGTTCTGTCGAACCTGATATTTTTGTGCATCGAGACAGGCTCTTACCAGGGACGTGGGCGCGCGTACTAGTATCTAGCACGCCAAGCCCCATTTTTACTGGGGTTAGTTCGAACCTGCAATGATGAACAGTCGCGTGTCTCTGATGGGAAAACGCAAGAGCCAGTCAGTTAGTGGCCGCTGGAGGGGCTGGACTTCCACTGGGGACTCTAAAAGGCAGGATCAAAGATTCCACGAGAACTGTACCGGGGAGCCTAATGCAAAGCGTCCACCGTCCACAGTTTGGCAATGCACCTAGACGACGAAATCGTTCCTCGGGGGACTCTTGCCTTCCAGAAAGTATCTACTATGTAACCAATGTGGCCCGAACAGACATTCCATTCTGCAAGGGTTGCGGAGTATCAACCACTAACGAGGTCGAATTAGAAGTAGCGGATTGCAGTACGAAGTACCCTTGAAGCCTTTGCTGAGGACCATCAAACAGAAGGCGACCAGGTCCAGCATTTGAATCGTAGCTCATTTCCTCCGTACACCAGCTGTCGATCGGATGAGGTGGTGCAACTCCAGTAAAGGGGCTGGGCTCATTTATCAGACACGGGAGGGTGTCAAGCAGGTGTCCACGTCTCTGATTGGCTATCCAGGTGATACGTAACATTTGGATACGAACAGTAGCATCGAGTCCTCTCATATACTCTGTATAGATAGTACCTAGATATACCTTCATAAGTGCAAACTGTAATTAATTCATTAACCCTCTTCGGGTCACTTGTTGCGGGAGGAACCCTTTCCTACTGCCCATGCCTGCATGGTTCCGAGGCCACAAACATACGGGAAAGACATTCATTTCATGATGCAAGGGGCAGTGACCGAGGCGAAAGGACTGGAAGAGAGCCTTAAAAGTTGGTTGATCGTTGACCTTGAAGCAGTTGGCCGAAGGCTCCACCGACCCTGCTGTTACTATGTAGATGAAAGATCAACATCGGGTGCGGGGGATCCTGGATCATTGGGCTATCGGGATGTTTAGCGGCCACAGTGGGCCCGGCCTGGTCCCTCTGGAGTGCAGGTGCTGTACGAAGTACTGTACTAGCTTTCCATCACTCCATCTTTTTCCTGTACCACTTCCACCGGTTACTCTGGTGTACCAACATGCATAACCACATTCCACTCCGATTTTCATTCTGGTCTCATGAGCCAGGCCTCCCTCACTAATTGACCACTTCAGGGCTTCTGTGATGTCAGTCGAGGGGAGACCACTTCAAGTTCATGGTGTGATTATCATTGGACCAACAGATCTACTCCATGCCTGGTGAATGCATCCATCCAGGACTGCAGAAGCTCTCCTGGGCCCGCTTAAGGTTCAATTTTGTTTCTCGTAGCAACCGAGTGATTGCAGATGACAGCAGATTATACGCAGGCAACATACATAGGTAGACCTCAACACTACCAGAGTCTCCCGTCTCCCATATGCCCAGATAGTATAAATAACAGGTGGTAGGATGGACTGCGCACTCTTCCCCTGGCTTAAGCTCACTAAGTACTTACTGTGTAATACTTCAGCTCTTGAAATTGCTTGAGGTAAGGAGTTGTATTGGGGGCAACTACCGCCAACCTCCGGAGTCCTGGGACCTTGAGAGGCAATGGCTTTCCTTTTGAGGTGCTGGTGTCTCGACTCCAAGGGGTCCTTCCCTCTTCGTCTCATGTGGCACATTCTCTCTTCCGCCCTCTCTTCCTATTCTTTCCCCCCTCTTCACTTTCCCTTCTTTACCTTCTTTTACCCACTTAGTCCTTCGGTCTGAATCGCTTCTTCTTTCCATCCTTCCTCAACAAACAGGATCGACGGTCTATCCTATTTCACATCTAATTCAGCGTCCCAAAAGACATTATGAAGCTCTATCACCTTACTGTGGCTTTACTGGCTGGCCTGAACTTAGCCGCGGCTCAGGGCATGGAGAGCCTTCCAGCCTGTGCGGTAAGTCTTTGATATCTGCAGTATTCTATGGCCATATACCTACTCGAGCCTTGCCACTACCATGGAGCTGACCTGACAGTAGAGGGACTGTGCTACCGGTGCTATCCCAAAGAGCTGCAGTGCCATTGATGTCGGCTGCATCTGCTCCAATACGTCTTTTATCACCAGTATCTCCTGCTGTGTTGCTACTGCTTGCTCTGACCAGGACCAAAACTGTATGTTCCGGTTCGATTATAATAGCCGCTCCTCCCCCAGAGCCACTCCCTACGTTATGGACTTGGCGATACGTAGCGTCAAGTTGAGTCAATTGAAGCATGCTGACTGCTTTGTCATCTACAGCTGCCATCACTTTTGCACAGCAGATCTGCAGTGGCGCTGGCGTAACCGACCTACCCCAGAGCGCCGGTTGTACAAGCGGGAGCACGGCAAGTGCTACGGGGCAAAGTACGACAAACACTGGCGCTTCTGCGACTACTACTCCGTCCACTGCAACTAATGGAACCAACATCGACTCCTCCAACACTGCCGCTTCAGCAACTGCTACCAATACGGGAACAAACACGCAGTCAGTGAAAACGCAGGCGGCTACCGCAACTAATAGAAACGCGGCAAGCAGCGCAACCGCCAGTAGCGCTGCTGGTATGCTCTGGGAAAACAACAATGCTGGAATTGCTGCAGTCATTGGTGCAGCCTTCTACGCCTTGCTTGCCTAAGGGTCCCCGGACCATGGGCCATCGGATGGTGTTATGCTTGTAGGCTGTGGGAATGGATCTCGGTTCCCTCCTATATTCTGGACTGCAAAAAAGTTTCAGCATCTTACGAATAATTTCTCTCCATGAGTGCTGTCCGAATCGCGTGGAACCTTGCAGCCAATAGTAAGATGTTTGATTGTATGATACTCGCGCCAAAAAGATATGGAGTATCTCTTGTTGTCTCTTATTGTATTGTTTCCAAGTATATGTGCGCTACCTTGCACACATGGCTGCAAAGGTACAGTGCTGTCTACCGGTCGTGTTCCACAAATCGGGAAGCCGCTTCCTGTCGCTCTTCCCGGAGCGTGATAAAGATCTATCGAATGTCAGCAAATCGTGGGTCTAGGACCACCGCCATATTGATCCGCAGACATAAATAGATACCTACCCATAGCCAGAACATCATCTCCATGAAACCGTACGTAAAAACCACTCTGTTTTTCAGCTGATCCAGACCCGACGCAGCTCCGCCCGCAGTCCCATAGCTACCCATAACGCTTGCAGCATCCATGCCCCAGGCCGCCGGTTGACTCTGATAGATGAAAAAGGAAACGGCAAAGAAGACACAGAAGCGAGAGGCGGATAGTAGAGTCCAGATCTCCGAGTAGAGTGAGGACAGGCGCGCCATAAAAGGGTTCGTGCGTATGGCTCCTGCCACGGGAATAGGGGACTGTATTCTGGCGGCCTGAGCCATGGCGATGATTTCGTTGATTTGCGGGACCTTGGTCACGAGAATGAGGTCGACGAGGGCATCGACGATGAGGAGGACACCGCATAGGGCGAAAGGGGACTGAGGACGGGAAAGACTTGGGGACGCATCCTGGATTGGTTCGGTGAATTGGTGAGCAAAACGTAGGATTAAACAAGGTTGTGCAATCAACGCACCAGATTCAAGAACTCCCCCAGCATAAAGACGACATCGGATTCGGTAACGACCTCTGGTGACCTTGTGAGGTACACGGCCAGCACAAACAGAAACAAGGCATGAGCCTGAATCAAGGTCTTGGACGAAAGGAGAGCCATGGTGGATTAGGAATTCTCTCGGTAGCTGTAACGAGTGACAGGCTAGAAGTGTATCCCGGTGAAACAGCTTGCTACTGTGTCATGGCTGGCGGAGACCGAGATCTGAAGCTGTCGAGAATAATACTACTCCGTACTCCGTACGAATCGGAACAATGCTGGAATTCCCCTGCGGCCCGGTGGGGCTGGACTTAGCTCCCTCCGATTGAGTCCGCCCGCCAAAGGATGGAGAAAGGCAGATTGTAATGCGAAAGACCCAAGAGTTAGCGAAACGCCTCGAAACAGCCTGTCAGCATATTGAGGGGAGGATACCGTCCCTTCTCACTCCTTGCGCTCTGTACCTTTCACCGGCTCCCTGATTATATGGCCAGGTTCCTGGACGGACGCACTTGTCGCGGATACTGACATCATGACCGACGTCGCAGTCACCTTTACCAAAGAACGACACATCAAGTATTTCCTTCGATGCCTCAAGACCTTCCTTCCCAGCCTATATACCTCAAATGACTCCAATCGCATGCTCCTCGCCTTCTTCACGGTCGCCGGCCTGGACCTTCTAGGCGTATTGCAGAGCAAAACCACCGCCGAGGAGAGACAAGGATACATTGAATGGATCTACCACTGCCAGGTGCCGACGGGCGGGTTTCGAGCATTCACCGGAACAGACTTTGGCGCAAAGAATCGCACCCCAGAGAATGAAGCCTGGGATCCAGCCAATGTGCCTTCGACCTTCTTTGCGCTAGAGCTCCTGCTCATCCTCGGCGACGATCTATCGCGCGTGAAGCGGTCTGAATGTTTACAATGGCTCCCGCAGATGCAACGTAGTAACGGAAGTTTTGGCGAGGTGCTTGGCCCTGGAGGGAAAATCGAAGGTGGCGGGGATCTACGGTTTTGCTGCTTTGCAGCAGGCACGCGGTATATTCTGAGGGGGAAGGGCGGGGAAGATTTGGACGGCATCAAGGATATTGATGTGGACAAACTGGCATCGTTTGTTCAGGACTGCCAAGTAAGCGGATCTATTTCACGCCGTCTCCTCTGATACGTGACATTTGCTGAGACGCATGTTCCAGGCATACGATGGTGGTATGGGAGAGGCGCCCTTTTGTGAAGCGCATTGTATGTTGAATCCAAACAATCTCTCAACCCTCTGTTACAGGATATCCGCTTACCTACCATATCTCACAGCCGGTCATACATATTGCGCAATGGGCGCTCTATCCTTCCTAAACCGCATGGCAAAGGATCAGCAACCGCCACCAGTCCTTTCGCCAGGTGTGAGAGAGTTTGAGTCCCTGGTTCGTTGGCTCGTTTCCAGACAAACTGCAGAGCTTGGTGACACAGAGGAGGACTCCGATGATGACGATGATGGCCCCAAGGCCGAGGCCCAGAGACTACCGAAGGCTGTCGAGGAGCCAGGCTTAGATGAGGATCCCGATAACCTTCCTTTTATATTACCACCAATGGAAGCGTCTTTACGATGTGCAGGCTTTAATGGACGGTGTAACAAGTATGCCGACACCTGTTACTCGTTTTGGAACCTGGCGACTTTAGATGTAAGCACCCACGTCCTGTTTTTAATAGAGTGAGCTTGCTGATCCGATTGGGTGCGGGCAGATGATGGATAGACTTGACCTGGTAGACACCGCTCGAAATCGGCAATATCTCCTCGGGAAAACCCAGCATATCATCGGCGGGTTTGGGAAGGGTGTGGGTGAGCCACCAGGTTGGTAAAACGATTGCGTGATCTTTCCCTTGAAACTCATGGCTGACGGGCAACTGCAGATCTCCTGCACTCCTACTTTGGGATGGTCGCTCTCGCGTTCCAGGGAGAAGAAGGGCTAGACAGTGTTGACCCAGCACTGTGTATCAGCCATCGGGCGGTGCAACATTTACAGTCCCTCCCTTGGTGGAAGGAAGGGGCGTAGGGCGATGGATGGTAGCTGGGGTGTCGAGCCTCGGTGAGATATAAGTTGTCATATACCCCATCCACACTTAATAGGTTGGTTGATATATATAATGGGCCAAGTTATATAGCCTTGTGGTCAAGGTGGCCCATGGTGAGCCGAGATAATCTCCAGCATGTCACCGATGTGATGCAGTCATCATATGATCTTTTTTCCTCGAAGAGCGATAGCCTCATGAATTCATGAAACGGGATGGAAAATCCATACGGAGTAGTGCATCGGTGGGCACAGGGGCAGCCACTAGAGGGGACTAGAGAGGCATGTCATAATCCAAGACCCTATCAGATCTCTCTCTCGAGGGCTATGTAATCAGGGGCTTTGGCCGGTAATTAGGGACGACCAGCTGAACTGGAGCACGTCTTCTTTTCTCCGGAGTCCGGACAGACGGCGATGACGATGCTGGAAGTGAACCTGCAAGCGAATTGGACTGGTTTCAGGGGCTGCGTCGATGATCCACCAATGCTTCTGGCGGCCTGGAACGGGAATTAATGCCGGAACGATGACATCGGTTATGTGCACTAATTGCTGGCTCGGGGAGGCATTTAGCGGAGGTTACTCGGTACTACTCCGTACAATCACAATTAATTCCTTCCCTCCGACCCCATCTATCTGCAATCGGGATGATTAGGTCTATGAATGTAGTAATAAGAACCACGATCATTGTAACAACTATCTATCTCCCCTCGAACGAGAATTCTTGATGGACCTGGACGGTGTCCGACCGCAATGACAGAAACGGCCCACGTTCCCACCGGCTAAAAAGTGACTGGTGGCTAAGAGTAATTAGGGAGGAAGGGGAGAGGCCATACTGACTAGTATGTAATCCTCGCTGGAGAGAAAAATAGAAACAGAAACAGAAACGGTGGGTTGGTGATATTATTATTTGGCTGTGGATGGATGGGTCGGAGAGGAGGGGGGGACTAACAATCTACGTCCTTCTCATCCATC